AGTTGTATCATAATACATAATTTAATTGAAAACTTGAGGTCATTGATTCCACTGTGTATGAAATTCAGGCAGTGAAAAGTGCTGAGTAGAGTCTTAGCGGGACGCTCGTTCTCCTCCGCTCACAGAACGAGCAGCGACCAGCCTGCGTCCTCTAGCCTCTACAGCGCTGCTTAACACCAGGGCTTCGACTTCAAAATTCGAATATCATTCTAAAATAAAAAATATATAGATATTTGAACAAATATTAGACAACCCTTATAATTCGAAATGTATTTAATGACTGCAAATAAAATAGTTAGCTCCCAAAGGTTTCTCCGGGACGTGCTAGGCAGGCAACAGCTAAGCTAGCTAGCTGTTTCATGGTAACTTCCGGGTTTTTCGCAATCGCTTTTTGTCACTTTAAAACAGTATTTTTGTCATGAAAACGTTGACAGCAAATTCTGAAATCGGCCGTGCATGTGTGTTAAGGATGTATATGTATACTGTATTGTCCGATTGACGTTTAATGGTGTCGATTGATATGTATTTGTTTATTGAGCGTGGCTAGCTCAGCTAGCTTCTCTACACAGACAAGTGTGCAGAAAAACTGCACAATGTAGTGACAGGCGCTGATAGCTTGTTGTACTTGCAAAGTAATGGCAGTATTTTACACACCTGAATTACAAACAGAGATTGGATTGGGGCTGCGGTCATTATTGGTTTGAGAGTTCTGTTTTCAAGAAAAAATGATCGGAAGAATTGCATTCAAGTCAATGGAGTGTTCTACTGCTGCTGTGAGGAGCTGTATAATAAATTATAATTTAAACATTAGAATATATTCTAATGTTTAAATTAATACATTCGGACGCGAAACTAATGGTATTCTTTAACTTATATATTGTGTTAGCAGTGCATTGCTTTAGTACCATTTCATCAGTGATTGTTGTACAGCTTACAAGTTGCGCTAATGCTAATGTTAGCATAGGTATCAGATCGCAAATAAAACTAGGTGGCTCCGTGTTATGAGAGCGTAGGGGAAATGAGAAGCCTGTGAGCGAGTTGCGGGGCGGTGCTAAACATTCAAACATTGCAGAAACGGGTATAGCGCCTTTAAGATGACTATTTATGGTAACAAGTGTCAATTGTATATCTGAGAGATGTACGCCTTTAAATCATTTGATCTCGTGTAAAAGAAAACCTGTACCAAGGACCCTAGTTTCACATCTACCTACTCTGTTTCAAACTGTGTACATATATGTATATAGGGTTCTTATTTTTATTGTATTGGACAATTAAATTGATATAGAGACTACTACCTTATGAATTAGGGTTAGGATTATAACGCATTAATTACGATTGATAAACGCGACTAAAAATATATGTGTTTTTGCTCCACGGAACCTTTGTCATCAGGTGAGTTTCACACGGATCGTTCATACTGGTGTACCAGTTGGAAAATAACAACTATCCCCTATTGTTTTAGTGCAACACTCTGGGCCACATGATAAGGTTATCACACATACACACACACACACACACACACACACACACACACACACACACACACACACACACACACACACACCTAAGTGTCGCTCTTTCAGAGTTTGGATGCAGTACCTCTTGTTACAGAAAAAATAAAAAAACACCTATACAATACAATACAATTTAGTCTTGTATAGCCCTAAATCACAACTGTAGTCATCTCAGAGGACTTACCAAAAACTACTGAAAATCACCAACACAGATCGGAGAATCAGCAGTTAAAACACATAAAGACTATAGACCACTACATGTTGTAGAATATTAAAAGTGTCCTGGCTCATCACCACAGTCCTTCTAGTTTCTCAATAACTGTGTAACAAACCCATCCTGCATCAGCAAGGAAAAACTCATATGAAAAAAAAAAAAAGTTTGAGAAAGGGATCTGCGTCACTCTAGTGATTCTTTATAGTCCTCCCACCGCCTTCATCATGATTCGCCTACACTGTTTGTTCTACGTTGATAGGCCGGGGCAGGTCCATCCTACCACCCATTCTGATTTGCTGTTAGTACGACCTCCCAACCGTCATCATGATAACGCTATCACACACATACACCTAAGTGCCGTTAACAGGGAGGACCTGCAACTTAGCTGTTTTAGAATAAACCGTGATCATAAATCACTTTAGACAACTGTGAAAGCATTATCACACACACACAGAATCTAACTCATTAAAACTCTTTGAAAAATACCGTGCAGTAACACCTTTCACCACTTGCTCAAGAGCGCCGTCTCTTTTCTGGGGATTTTAGGGTGCAGTACCACCTTTTCACCACTTGCTCTCTACCGCCGTCTATACTATCTACTAATGTGGACTTCTGAAAATATGAAACAAACTTCCGCAGCTCATCCCATCAAAGGATCACATCCGTTACACAGATGAACACTGTCACTATAGAAATCTTGACTAATGTATAAAACCGTTATCTTCTAGCAACTACTGATGGACAGAGGAGGTATTTGGACACATGAAAAACCCAATATATTTTCTGATTATTAAAATATAATTTTGTTGGCCTTCTGTCGAACTTTTGGACCCTTTAGTGTGAACAAGCCCATTACATAAAGTTAGTTACAGAACTACAACTTTTTAGCAAATTTTCAAAACAGAGATATTTGTTTCAGCTTATGAACTTCCTAGATTTATGCAGCTAAAACCTGGAACAGTCTTCCTGAAAATGTGAGACGGGCTTCTTCCCTGACAATGTTCAAATCCAGGTTAAAGACTGTTCTGTTTGTATGTGAAGGAGAAGGATTGTATCTATTTTTAAAGTTTTAAAACCATTATAGTGGTTTTAATTCTTATGCAATTTTAGTGTTTTTAATTACCTCTGTGATTTTAGTTGTTTTTTTAAAAGCGATTTGTTTTTATTTTTATTTTAGGGCGACAGTAGCTCAGATGGTAGAGTGTTGGTCTTTGGACCTAATGGTCGTAGGTTTACTCCCACCACGACCCATGTTGTCTGCTCCCACTGATGTCTGCTGTTGTTGTGTCCCTGGGCAGGACACTTAACCCCACTTTGCCTGAAGTCCCTGCTAAAAGATCAAGGCTGTATCTGTGCTGAAGGAGCAGCCATCTTTAGCTGTGGACCCACCACTTGCTGGAGGATCAGAGAGGGACTGGTGCATTGTGAATGTGCATTGGCAGCTCTGATTTCCACCCACCTGACCCAGAAATGGATAATAAAGGGAAGAAAATGAATGAATGAATGAACAGGGATTTTGGTGTTTATGTGATGTGATGATTTGTGCCTTTTGAAGGAAACCGCTCTACAAATAAAGATTGATTGGAAGCTAATGGTAAACACCTCGTCAAAACCTGTGGCTTTTATTCAAGTGCCGTCTATATGTGGACCTTATAGACAGTACAGTACAGTAAATAATAAGACCTTTGGGCACTCTGGTCTCTTTCACTTTTTTACATTTTAATGTAAAATGTATTATTATACAGAATCCCAGTAGTTATCTCGGAGGACTTTACACAACTGTGTAAAGACAATGCAAACCCATTTGCTCACTGAAGCCCCATAAGGAAGGATTAAGTTTTGCTCCAATTCACTCAGGCTCCCAGTGACTTACATTGAAAAGTAAACTCCTCTAGCTCAGCCACCGTTTGTCACACTAAATTATCAATGGTTCAGCACTTTCTATATGACCCTGCTGTTTTCTTTTTTGTCTATGTAAATCCAATATCATATAAGGATTGACCAAGCCTTCCTTTATTCCCAGGAGAAACTTCAGCTGGCCTTAGCAACCACCTCAGAAACATGTCTGCCCCGTTACAGCGCAAAGCTAACCCCGTCCGAACAAATGCCCATATAAGGAAATGGGTATCTTCTGCTTTCTGCAAACACTATGGGTCGACATACCAGGGGTGTCCAAACTTTTTAGCAAGAGGGCCACTTTAGTTCATCAGACTTGAGCTGGGGCCGACGACCTGAATTTAAGTAACTGGATTTACTGGATTCTGGAAATTAAAATGGGTTATGATACGTCCTTATTGATTCACATCACAGCTGCATTTTTTTGGAATTATAGGACAATAAAGTCATCAACTGGATTCCTGAGGGTCTGAGATTTACAACAAAGTATAGCATGACTGTATTGGTGGAGCTGAAGTTGTCAAAGTAGCGACTTTGTGTTAGCAGCAGAACTGAGTTAGTACATGCCTAATACAGTAAGTAAGTAGTAGTAATCTTTATTTATATACGACCTTTTCACTGCACATCGGAGTCTCAAAGCGGTTTACAATTGTTATTTTTGGGAGTGGGGGTGCCAGTACAGGAGGCACATGCCAGACCTATTGTACATATTTTTAGTGGTAGGGGAAACCGGAGCACCCGGAGGAAACCTACGCAGACACGGGGAGAACTCCACTCAGAAAGGCCCTGGTCCAACCGGGATTCAAACCCAGGACCTTCTTGCTGAGAGGCGAGAGTGCTATCCACTCAGCCCCCCTCTGCCGCCACAGTCAGTTCTTCCGGACGTCCACACCTGCCCTCGGCCTCCGCCAAACTTACAAGTCTGTTCATAAACAGCATTGGGATCATGTTTGACACATACTTGCATCATGTATTGTTGTTTGGTTAAACACAAAATGTATATAAAAATAAGATGCCATTTCTTTCTCATTATTTATTTTAACACTGCCCCCACTTGATTGAAATAAAAATATATCTAAAAGTCAAAAAATAGACAGATTATCAAGTACAAAACCAAAATAACATGACAGAAAATAATTACTTATAATCAAAATGACCTATAATTAATTTCCTATAAATGTTACATAATTGTTTCTTCGGCTGAAAAGTTCTGGATGGTAGTTACCAGGTCGCTATTTAGAAGCACCGGTAACTCCACATTCCACCTGTGCTTCTAAAACAAACCTGTAGATATAATTACGGATATAGCTTTTTTGTTATATTTAACTTTGTTGGATATTTTGTGTGGACGTTGACTCAACGAATTAAATTAGAATTCAGCACAGAGCCCTGTGCTGCGACTTGGACAGGACACTCTCTGCTGCTGCATACATCTGACAAAGAAAGAGAATTCATTAGCTGCATGGTTCCATGGAAAAACAGTGAAATATTTCAATTCTTTGGAACATTCAGAATGGAGATTATACTAAATTATGGCCAAAGAAGCAAGATTTACATGTAAACTCCTCTTGATTATAAGTATAACTCAGGTTGGTGGGGATGTATGCTTTTATAAATGTAATTTTTAGAAAACTCTGTTTTGCCTAAATCTTACACGATCGCCTTGAACATGCAAATGTACGGTGTGCTCTTACAGATACAAATGGAACGTCTTGAAAGAGCTCCTGTATGAAACAGCGAGATGGACGTCGAAAAGTGCAGTGGGCGAGTAGGAAGGACACCTCTGAATACAGACAGATGTCATCAAAGGCATCAGGGAACTTCTCCTTGATCCTACAGGAAACCGCAACAACATTCAGAGGGCGACGCGGCTGGACAATAGAGGTCAAAGACCTTCTTACGTCAAGAGGTTGGCTTCATGTTTTTTTGTTCCAACTGATGAACTTAGGTTAATAATTAAACGCAGCACCTCTTTCCTGTGGAGGACCCGGACTGGAGTGTCTTCAGGAATGGACTTTCCACCTTCAAGCAACAAATAAATTTGGCATGTTTATTCCAGAGGACACATACAAATGTAATTTACAATTTATACCTATTGCGATCTCTATTCTTTTTCTATTGCCAGAGGATCCAGGGGAGATAGCATCACTACAACCTGACACTTCTGTGTTGTTGCATGTGCTTGTAGTGTCTGCATGGATGGCAGCAGAAATACTATTTGAATATTCTTTTTTGATAGATATACAAAATAAAGATTGCACGCTTCCCTTTTCCCTGTAATTATCCTTAGTTTGACATTAAACATATTAATCTACACCAAGCACAAGCAAATGAGATCACCATGCTAACTTACAGGTCATATCTGCGGAGAGAGGAGTTAACCCAATGTAAGAGTTCCGGTTTTAGGCCATTCAAAATATCAGTTATTATACAAATGCCATCCTGAGGTAATTTCTAAGCACAGAAATAACATCTCCATGGTGCAAACCCCATCAGAAAATGTGCACCAAATAATTTTAAGTAAACCAAAAGGGCCTGACCTGGGGAGCTACTGTGAGAGTCAGAGCCAAGCACACAGAGCGCAGCACAATACAGACAATTTCTATCATTGTGTTCTTGGAGACCAGTGTCCTCTGAGCCAAGCATTTCAAGTGGATTCAAGCCCATCGACAGCTCAGTGGAGAGCCTCGCTGGCTGACTTCCATTGATGCAGTCTGAGAAAGCATGGGAATAAACCATGAGATTTCAAGGTACTTTATACTTAGGTATAGATACATAAACACTTTATTCTTAAATTAAGAAAAATGTGTGTGTATATATATATATATATATATATATATATACACACACACACAAATATTAGAATATATATATATACATTATATAATTTATTATAATTTCAGTGTGATGGTAGGAAGAACAATGTTATTGTATTGTTTGTACTACATATGTAACTCAGAGTCAGAACCAGTTTTGAGAGCAAGAGTAACTTCAGTGTAAAACAACAGAAACAGCTTTGTATGGTGTATTAACATGAGCACTGGGTCTCACCACTGTCTCCAGAAGAAAGGATTGCCATTTTTTGGAAATATGGAGTTTCTTTGACCTAATCAAATGCAATGGTTCATGAACACTTGTTAAGAATACTTGAAAACTGTACTGTAATTGCTCAAACATAATAACAACTGTTCTTACCTGGAACATAAAGTTTATATCAACAGGTAAAGCAAGCCCAATATAATCCTCACAAGACGTGGACACAAGAGACCGGACAGAGGAGGAGCGTTGCAGTGTGCTCTGGTTTATAGGACTCAATAGTTTATCTTTGTCTAGAGATGTAAAACTCATAGCTTTATAGAATCTGAAAAACAAAAATAGCACAGAAACCAGGTAATTTAAATACTGGTAATTGTTTTCTATAGAATAACTCTGGGTCATACCTCTTTGAGGCGAGCCTGGAGTCCAGGCTGCCTGTCTTCATCGTGATGGCATCAGCAAAAAGTATGCCTTTGGCGGGAGACCCCAGACCTCCACCATGGGATAGAGACGGATGTATGCGCTGGTGTTGCAGCTTCCGCAGCATCGCATATCCCAGGGCGTCCCGAGGACTTGTGTGAGCATAATGGGCACTGAGGAATCGAAGGCTATAGCTGCTCAGAGGGGTCACAGAGGGAGCCCTGAGAGAATGGGCCCTGCGAGGCAGGGTTGAGGATGACCCAGGAGGGACCAGAGGGGGAGACCAGGAGCTGAGGACAGCTGCTGGAGTAGCAGTCTGATGATGTGGGTGGATGATCTGGTTGTTTATTGTGCTGTTTGGACAAAGACAGTCCGAGCTTGAAGCCATCAAGGTGTCTCTTGATGCACTGAAGGAGCCCTCACTGCTGATGGCAGTATCTAGGTTCAGACTCAGACTGCGTGTCTTCAAGCCAACAACACCCAAAGATTTACTCTGATCTACAGACTTGACTTCTCCTCCCCTGGAGTGAGTGTTTTCATTTGATACGTCTATCTCGTCTGTTGAGCTCTCTTTAGATAGATTTCCATTTCTTTCATAAAGAAAGGAGTGGTCTGAATCAAAAGAATGGAGGCAACTTGATGTCTGAGGATTGTCTGAGGCTGGGTCCATCAGTTTGGACAAGGCTGTTTCAAGAAACTCAACACTTTCCACCTTCTCACAATTATCTGGAAACCATTCAATATGTTTTTTTTGTTCATTAATTTTTTTGTGATAGTATATCTAATTATTTATGGTTTGAGGTTATTCCTACCTGGATGTCCAGACTCTGCTGCCCTGTGGTTCACAGAACTGGGTCTGAGATGTGCCTCAAACTCCTCTGGGACGACCGGCCACAGAGTGCTGCGACTGTGGCGCACAGAGTCCCAGCCCTCCTGCTTCAGGGCCTCACAGCCCTGCCTCGTTCTGCTCATCAACCCCAGCACATACACGCATGTCCTGCAGATCAGGGTACAGTCACTTAAAGAGCTTTTGAAATGTAGTAATAAATAAATAAACAATGAAAATAAAAAAACAAAGATTGAATTTATGAATGTTTTTATGATGAATTGAAAGGTTTCACCCTCTGATGGAGAGGACCTCACAGTGATAGGCCAGAGCAACAATGTCCGGAATCACGCTCTCCTCAAGCAGCAGGTTCAGTCCCCAGTTTGTGGAGCCAATGTTGCCCTGTGGTACAAAAAGATGGTTAGAATAATCAATACTTATCAATATTATCATAATAAAACAATTTCTCACCAAAGCCCAGAGGGCGGCCTTGAGATGTTTGATTCCTTCCCAGTTTTCCAAATTTGGACATCGCACCTGGCAGCTTAGATCATAAACTACATTCTGCATCAAATACAAAATAAACTTGAATGTTGTGTGATGAAATATCAAGGGGAGTTGGATGAAGGCTTGGTTAAAATAGATAACATTGTATTTGATGATGTCATGAGGTTATGATAATGGAAATATTATTTATCGACTGTCAAAAATGTCTGCTGCCAGGATGCCATTGATAATAGAACAACACCTGTGTGTCACACCTGTTTTGAAAACCACTGTAGATTTGAGCAGGTTAATTATATATAATCTAGACCCTGGCCTGAGTTCAATTCCCTGGCAGAAACAGCTGACAAATTAACCTTAAGATCTGGAGTTTTTGCTGTCCACTGCCTGACATAAAAACATTATAATAACAGTTACAAAAAAGTGCTTAAATTCACCGCACCTGAGTTTCAAGAAGTTGGCAGCCAGGTTTACTGTGAACAAGCTGGCCATACAAATGCACAGGGAGGTAAACGTGACGCTTGGGTTTCCTGCCAGACAAAAATACAAAAAATCTCAACGTCTTAAAAATCTATTGCCATTATGGTGTGGCCTACAGTATGTATTTACCTTTGATTGCTACGACGGACATAATTATCCCCATTTACAGACTTTTGATATGTGGTCAGAGCTTCATTCAGCTGTTCCTCAATTATGTCCACATACCTTAAGTTATATGACTGTTGCAAAACACAATGGAAAACATAGCAATATGCACAATGTAAAAGAAATGTGACATAAAACATTGTTGACCTTTTTCCATTTCTCCATCTGCGATTTAACAAAATATTTTTCAGTAAGATACGCAAAGCCCTTCGGGATCGACAAAAATCTGATGGACAGTGAGAAGGAGCCGTAAAACAACTGGAACTTTCAATAGCTTTAAAATAACTATTAAAAGTGGGGCGTTTACCGCAGCAACAGGAGCAAACCTTTGTCACCAAGATGATTAAGAGCAGGTTTCATCTCAATCAGTGCATGGAGGTTAGCCTAGAAACACAAATACAAAACTCTAACTCTACAGAGAAGGGCATGCCATAGTATAATCATGTTTATAGTATTAAAAGGGCCAAATCTGTGTCATTAGAAATGTTGCAGAACAAAAAACAGGGAAAAAAGCATAATATTCATTTCCCTGCTCTCCCACCAAATCCAGATCAGCATTCAAGATTCAAGAATTTATTTGCCATTTGCAGTAAAACCACATTGGAAACACTGTGCAAGTCTACCCCAGTGTGCACCAGACAGCACAAAACAGAGCTCTTGCCGCGGCGCCATTTTTCCGGCACCATGTGAATTCTAGGCGAATTACATTTTTACCAAATTTATACGAGCTATAGTCTGGTTTAGGGCTGAAAATGTCAACAATATTTCTTCAGTAGTAATAAAAGGTAGACTAATTACCTATAAGAGCACAAATTAAAATTAGGGCTGTCAAAATTATCGTGCTAACTCACGTTAATTAAATTTCTAATTAATCGTGTTTTAAAAAAAATAATGCGTTAAACGCATGTCCAAATGACCCGCCCATGCATCCCCTAATCTCATCCAGAATGCCGTGGACACATGCGTGTGCAAGATGGCAACAGAGCAGGTAGGTCCTCTGGGAATTCAAGCTTTGATTGCTATGAACTGAAGTCTGCCTCCTCCATGGTCGCAGCGTTCTGACCTGGGGCAGCTGCGGCCGCTCTGGACAGCGGTTGCCACCTCCAGCAGCTGTGAGCCACTAACAACAACACCGCGAATGGTGCTGCGGTAACGTGGTCATATCCAAGACCATACACGCACAGAACTATTCTCTGCATGTTGTGTGCGTGTCTTTGCGTAACCTGTGCACGCAAATACACAGCTGAAGCTGAACTATGGAGCCTCAGGAAGTGTCCGTGTCTCCTCCTGAAACGCAACTAAACGCGCTAAATTAAAGCTGGGGCACGTACATTTTCCCTTTCATTAACAGCTCATGTTGGTTGTGCCCAAAAGTAAAAGGTTGTGAGCAAATCAAACAGATTTAAGTACATTCGGTATGAATGACAATGTGTCATTACATTTGATAATCTCATTTAACTTCAATTGGAGTGGATTTGAAATAGAATGTTAAAAATGCTCACCATTAATATGTGATTAATCAACTAAAAATGTTAATGGTTTGACAGCTGTAATTAAAGTGCATGAGACATATATCAATATTTAATTGCACTACCATGAGAATCACCAGGACTATTACTCATGTACAACAGAGAAACCCTATTTTAGACAATATCAACAAGGTTCATTAATGGTTTATTATTTGTAATTGATAGGCTGTAGAGTATATAGACAAATCAAAAAACATAAACTCTATTCTTATTTGTCATCTTGAGGTTCACTTGGACAACGGATAGCAGTTTAAACTTTAAGGTAGGGAAAAGTACTACCTGACAGTTTAAAAATAAATTGTAGCGAGTATTCTAATTCCTTTGTTACCTTATCTCCACAGGCCTCATCCAGAATGTCTAACGCCTCCACTGACACAGCCTTGCAGCGGTCATGCAGCTGAGTGACCAGCAGCTCAATGCCCCAGCTACTGAAGAATTCCACATTAGCTCTGAGCAGCACTCGCAGATGTTTAGTGGCGTACAACCTACAAGACTAGACAACAACACATGAGAATAGGAGAGTGTAAAGTGTTATTCTGCTGCATTTCTACCCTGCCCTGATGGTCCGGTATCTGCTTCTTGTGATGTATATGTTATGACTTTGCTTGAAATTTGCCAAGTTTGGTTTGAAGCATGTACATTCCTCAAGCATGAATTGGTTTAGGGCTCAAAAAAACCAATGTAAAAGGAAAGCTTAATGACAAGCAAAACAATACTTATAAAAACCCAAGTAAAGAGCAGGCCTTCCACCAGGACATGTGAGAAATGCTCTTTTGGGTGAGTTGGGATGTTATGTTGATTGCAATTAGAATAAAATTGGAAATTTTGTCCAACCTATTGTCATTTGAACATACAACACATCAAGACTTTTCTGCAAGGTCTGCAAGTTGGGGCAGAGAATTCACAGTAAAAGTTAATGAGTGCTCAAAAAAGAGAATTCAATTTCTTTAAATGGGAACCTTCAAACTCACTGCTCTGGGAGTTCTGTAAATTAATCTGAGTTTTCACAACTATCTTGTCCTCGTAGTGCTTCAATTGAATATTTCACAAGATTTGCTTTTCTTTGCATGTCGTTTACATTATTTTAAATTGTATATACAAATCATACGACATCCCAACGTCATTGCTTTTGAGGTTGTAGTACTCAGCGCCGTACATCTGCTGAAGCTGTGAGGATTTTGGACAGAATAACACGAGCAAGTCCATCCCGACTGTAGTTCAGGGAAGTGACTGTTAGCTTCAGGAGGTACTCTTGGTTCTTCACAGTACTTAGATTGAGAAAACTAAACACAAAAACAACATACTATTATGATAACTACACAGGGAACAAGCTTAAATTGCATATCAAATTTTTACCATTGGAAGACACTGCACTTTTCAAGCATTTTGACCCCAGGTGGATATGCTGAGAGTGTGCCGAGGAAGAGGAGGTAGTACTGACTGAGTGTAGTGAGAAGACTATTGCTCTGCATGCACTGGTCCGATCTAAGGCCCAGGAAGGAGACCAACCAATGGACAATGTCTCTCACCAATTCTTCTAGAAAGATCTGGCCCTCCTAGCAAAAATAAAATAAATCTAGTAAATGTTGACAATATAGTATTGAATGAATCTATTGCTTGCATCTTTACCTCTTCAGAATACATGAGAAACTCGATAAACTGGCAGCCAACTACCGTGATTTGTCTTGCCTTCGGGTTGTCCAGCTCAAGGTTGCAGAAAATATTGCTACTTGGTTTGTAGAAAAACAACAGTCGACGCACAAATCTGACAAAACACAAACAATTACAAATAGAAAACTTATTTTCTGTTTCAAGTTCAACTCCTCTTTTACTTACATGTGCATTTGTTCACCTTTGTTGCTTCGAAGACTGACATTTGGCCACTGTAAATAATTTGAAGGCGTCAACAAATTTTTTATAAGACATTTTATCAACAAAATGAAACTTGATCTGAACCTTTAAAATGGTTCCAATCAGACTCCAGTCCCAGTCAAGGCTTTCCTTATGGCTGAGGATATGGCTTTCTTTTAGCGTCATCATCAAAGCGTCCTCAGTGTCCTTGAAAAAGCAAGTTCAACAATTTCCACTCAAATTTTGCTTGGCTGAATTGTGAACTTTTGAGAATGTCATGTGACCAACAGAAAGTGTGGAATGCATAAGTATTGTTGGATGAATCTTTGTGGATTTATGTAGTGCATGTCCCATTACAGATTCCCAGCTGTGGAGGTCTGTACCTCCTCCAGAGTTACCACTTTTCTGAACAGTGCTGTCCTTGTTCGAGCTGCTAGTGTGGGTGGGCAGCCATGTCTTGGTAGGTTGTCGGTTGTGCCTTACTCATTCCATTGACTAAGCAGTGCTCTGTGAGATGTCAAAAAAAACGTGGGAAATCTTGGTATCATCTAACCATGCGTTAAAGTTCTCCTCCACTGCATCACTGACCTCTCTGTAATAGTCATGTAATAGGACATTACTAAACATACATTCAACTTCACTTTTGGAGCTCATTACTTTTACAAACATCATGTTCAAAGCAGGAAAATGCACTGCTATCTTGAGGCTTTACAACATATTGAGTGGTTGTCAGAAGCCAATAGTTGATTTAAAGATAGACAGCTGCAAATAAAAGTGCGAAGAAAAGTGTGGTTTGTAAAATATTCAGGCTCCTTCTGAGTGCAACCAATTTCCTTTACAAGTTGCCTGAAAATGTATGAATGGTCAAATGTTGACCTCACTATTAAGTAGAGTCCACCGCCTAAACTAACAGAACAAACCCTGAGCAGAGATTGTGCCAAGAGGCCCATGGTTACTCTGAAGGAGCTGCAGTAATGCACAGCTGAACTGGAGATGAGTGCCATATAGAAAGCCTGTGTTGAAATCAAGAAGTATGGGACAGATTCAACATGTGGAAGACGCTGTGGTCAGATAAGAACAAAGTTGATCTTTTGGTCTACATGCAACACTCCTCAGCTCGCACCCTCAGTGCCCCATTCCAAGTGTCAAACATGGTGGTGGCAGCATCATGATATGGGGTTGCTTTTCTTCAGCAGGGACAATTACAGTGCCAGATGGGAAAGTGGATAGAACCAAAGGTTATTCTTGGAGGTTGAAGTTTACCTTCCATCAGCACAATCTCCCGAAACATAAAGCCTTTTCACAATGTACTGTAATTCATGAAGGCTGGAGAACTTTGCAATTGTCTGACACTTTGTGTTGGTCTTTCACATAAAATGGCAATACAATCTCCATGTGTGTGGTAGTTACATCATAAAAGGTGGAAAAGCTCAAGGGGTATGTAATTATGTTAAACATCATTATGTTAAATATGGTCAAGAATATAAACAAATAATGAATACACTTTGTGAAAGCAAGGACAAAACAAAGCCTGAACACAGTAACAAAGTTAGAGGGTAAAATTTCAAATACCATTTGATCAAATTCACTTAAGAGAAGAATAATGCCTTTGTCTGCTGGCTCCTCACAGTCAGCTAGTCATGGTGGACATTTCATTAGAAGGCAAAACTCATTTTACATGATGTTCACTTAACCTAGATCATCACACATCAGAATGTACTTCTTAAAAGGACAAAGAACAATAGATTTCAAATGGGCAGTACCTTGATGATAAAGATTTCTTTCTGAAGTCTGCCGTGCTGCTCACGAGTGTAGTGTGATGCCCCTGACGTCCGCAGAATATGGTCCAAATACAGACTTGAGGGTTTTGGTTGAACTTTCTTTTTTTCGTGGAACCATTTCATATTATTTACAGCAGCACTCGCTCGTCTATGGTCGAAAAAGCAGTAAACACATTTGTAAACACATGCAGGTTTAATGAAAATGTCTTACTTACAGGCGCTTGTCATGGGGGATGTCAAAAGAGGAAGCAACGTTGACAAGAGTAGGTAAGCAGTGCAGATGGAGGCTTTGGCTGTGTGGGAGTATGCAATTTGCCTAATTGGTAGTAAAAAAAAAAAAAAACATTAAAAAGCATAGAACATCTATAAGTTCTAAGTAAGATTAGTTTTAGTAACATGGCTGGTACCATATTGAGCAGTTCCTTTAATAAAATGGTAGCCCGTATAGATATAATGTCATCACTGCTTGCAATCACTTCCACCAAACCCTGGAAAAATAACATTGTATTTTAATAAATCCAGTTTTTTTTGTACAGCCTATAATTTGCATTCTTACCTCTAACAAACCACTCTTGATGAAAGTTGAAAGTACAAATGCCAGGTAGTTGTGCATAAGATCTGGCCTAAAACCATGTATAAACATATGTTACTTACTATAAAATATGAAATGAATATTTTGTTAAGTTTACCTCGAGCATGATCTGTGTGGAAGAAGTGCTGTTGCTTCAGAAGCCACAAACCCATCAGCCAATCCCCAGGTGTCTTGGAATTTGCTTGGGTCTAAGAAATAAAATAATCAATAATGTAAAATATTTAACTAATCAACAAGCAAACGTCTCGCTAGTGTACCAACCTACACTGCTGAGAGCTTCCATAAAATTCACACTAGGCATAGGTATAGTTAAATGAAAAATGTCATATAGTACATCCAACAAAGCCCTCTGAAAGACAAAGAAAATCACAGTTTTAATGTATGAAACTACATTTATTAGGCTCATTTACTATAGACAATGAAAAATAAGAACACATACCCGCACTTCCATGTTTGGTATACACAAAAGGCCAATAAGGGACTGTATTCCAGAACTGCCGGACTTACAGAGGTTAATGATACCTGCAAGGTCACAAAAGCAGTTGAAGTGACCTCAAACAGTCACAGCCAACACAAATGAAAATTAATTTACCCGACCAGGAGCGAAATGAAGCGACTATAGACATTTTGCTGGCCATAAAACGACTCTCTGGGTCCTGCCTGTTTCAGTAAACATTGAATTGTTGCAAATGCTTTTTCACTAATGTGTCACACTCACTTTGACTGGCCCTCCTCCGTGTCTGGGTTGTGCCTGTAGTGGAAATCTGTGTATGGGGCCAGTATTTGCTGAAATTGACATTGAAACAGAAGAGATAAACCACAGATGCAGCAAGAATCAAAAAATAAATATTGTCAAAGTTTCATTCATTTTAGAATAAGACACTGATCTTTTATATAGATTGTTTAAACATAGAGTTAAAGGAGCAATATGTAAAAAGCTGGCCAAAAGTGGTACTGCAGTCACAGTCAATATTTTGTAGTCCTCTCCCACTCTCCCTGACTCAGGTTGCCAGATACACACCAAATCCAGCAGCAAACACAAGGAATTATTTTATCAATTGTTTGTCTATCTCCATTCACATTCTTTTAGTTCTGCGGCCACATGTGATTAGTTAGCCGCGGGGAGTTGTGCCAACCCGGACCTTGGAGTTCCTGATTGGCAAAACCGCAGAGGGTAGGACATAAAAATGAAAACAATAACAACTTTTACGGGTCGTAAAACTAATTTTGATATTCAAATATCTCGGCTGAACTACTGTTATCAGTTAAAGATGTATTCGAAAGAGCATGATTTAATAACGCCTTTTGAAATATTGGGGCCATTTAATGATGACTTGACATGCAAATATTACATATTGCTACTTTAAAATATTTCAAGCTTTTGAAACTTTTTCATGAGTAATTTACATAAAGCAAAAGTGAAATACCTCAAACTCCACGTCGGAGCGTACAAACTGGCGTGTGTGTGGGTGGTTGAGGAGGTGGAGGATGGTGGTGATCAGAGCCTCATTGATGCGACTCAGCTGACAGTCAGTCACGCTCTTCAGGATGGTACTGAGGCCTCCCGCCTGCGCCACCACAACAGGGTTCTTCAGAGCTGCACAAGAACAGACCCACTCAAGTCCTGCCTGAGACCCCAGTATTTCTGTGTGTGTATATTCACCCAGTTCACAAATGATTGCCACACAGGCCCGGGACAGACGGTCACGCTCATGCTGCCCGCCGTTACCCACTGCGATTAAAGAGTTAGTAACTGAAGACGGAAACAGCAGTGCATTGACACTGATCATCTGTTGGACAAGGGACAAGAAAATCAAATAGATTTTCCTATATATTTGTTACATTTACACTAATAGTACCTTTCGAACGAGTCTGAGAGCCTGTGTCCTTTCTCCTTCATTGTTTTGCTGAATGTCAATACACCTTCCCAACAGATGGCAGAAAGAGTGCATCAAATGGAAAAAAAGACAATATGAAGATACTATTTGTAATCAAACAAATGTAAATTTGCCTCTGATGCTTAATTTACCTTGCAATGAGATAATCCACCTGCAGACGCAGCACCTTCTCTAATGTGCTGCTGTCAGTGATTAGGTGCCGTAGAACTCGCAGTCCAGCTGCTCGCACCTCTTTAGCTTCATGCAGCAGGGCTAAACGCACACTTAAGGAGAAGAAACAAGGTTGCACAGTGTAATAATATTCTTGATATCATTTTCAAACATACCAAATGATTATTTCCTCTTGTGTGAAGCCCAGCTTCTCTTCAGAAACACCAACACTGTAATGAAGCTGAAGCGAGCGAGTGAAAATCATCTTGAATTAAAGGAATGTGTGTGTGTGTGTGTGTGTGTACCTCTATTACCTTGACAAAGTTGTTTAAGTGTGCCAGCTTACAGACAGGAGAAACTCCTTGCTGCTTTGTGACATGTTTGAGGATTTCCTTAAGATTCTCTGCTGGGTCTGAAAACAGCCAAAGCACTTGATGACATTTGGACTGGTTTGACTTCACTTGCATTAGCATGTCACTTGTGTGTTTTAGATTTTGACCCCTGAGGCTAATTTTCCTGAATTAGTGACCACAAAGTGGTGTCAAACAGAAACATGGTCACACCAGGGGTAAATAGTGGTACCCATCACAGACATTTCAAAAGTGAAGTTACCACAAAGAATGAACTACATTGTTTTAATTCACCATGCATGTCTACAAGTAATAGGAATATGAACTACAACGACATGCAAAAGTTAATTAATTAGGGATACTGTGAAGCGTGAGTTTACGCTAATTATTTTCACTGTGTGGTTTCCCAAGTTAGTTTAGTCTTTTATTACAAGGTAGATTGAGCCCCTCACAGTTGGTGTATTAACATAGAACAGATTGCATCGCACTGCACCAATAAAATGTGACTTTGGTCACTTGATATGGAGTTTGATCCCACGTTGTCAGCAGCTATATGATGATTGACACTTCCTCAGTCTCGTGTCAGGAGATTGGAAAAGTTAAACACGAACCACAAGGATGAGTACAGCTGTGTTACCTACCTCTGCAAAGATCCAAAGTAACAGGTTCCTCTGCGCTGTCATCGCGACCTGTCAGTGGAAACATGAATAAAGTCTACTAAGTATCAAGAAAAATAAATAAAAACTACTTGGTTCGATTGACGATGTCTCTCACATCTCATCCGCGCGTTCCTGGACGTGCGGCTCCGGATGCTGCTCACCGCCATCGGTCACAGATCACAGTCTGCGGTCTGAGGTCTGAGCACCGAGCCCAGCGGCGGTGAAGGGAGTCCAGAGGAGAGCTACACCAGGGCCGGCCCTGGACAAATGAGCCCAAGGCGAAAGTGTGCCCCCCTCAGTATGCTCTACCAAATAGGGTTTACAACATTTTATTCATTTTATTCACAATCTGTGTCGACATTTTATTTACTTGGTTTGAGGAATTTCAAATAACTTAAAAAGTACATAGTAAATTATTGTTCAATAATCCTCAACCATTTGGTGGATCACTTTTTGAGTCACTTGAAGCTGAAATCTACCTCATTGGGGCATCTCTATCACTGAGGGTTCAACAAAAATAAAGAAAGAAGATTGTTTTGTTATTAGAGCTCCTACACCTTTAAGTGTCTTAAAGAGTTGATTAGCACATCTACCTCATTGCTGACAGCTCAATAATAACACAAGTTGACAGCCAAAAAATGGTCAGGGGTTTCTCAACTGATTTAGACTAATTTTGGTGTTCTGAGTCCGAATATCACATGCATTTTGCCCTATCAGGTCAACTTTTTGAGATACAGCCATAGTGTTACGGATTACGTACGTCTACGTGATTATAAATTCTGCTTATCAAATTTGATGGAGTAAATAAAAACGGAATGACTTTGAATACGTTGACTTTTATTTCTTGAGGAAAACGGAAAAAACGTCAAGGGTTTCTCAGCTGATGATCCGCAGAAATTAGTTTTTTACGCAAAATCGATGAAAAAAATATTTCTGTAGCAAAAAATCCTGACCTGATTGAGCAAAACCAAGGTCATTTTCGGACTCAGATTATCAAAATTAGTCTAATTCAGCTGGAAAACCCTGGACTATTTTCAAAAAATATTTTTTTGTTACCCCATGTAATTGACCAAAATGTGTCAGGTATGCACCCCGCATGCACCCCCTGGTATAAAATTGGGGTGTATGCGCCCCACCCCTGCTCACAGCAGAGCGCCTGAGCTGCTGCACTGGAATCAAGACGTTAAGAACCCGGAGAATATATACAATTTAGGAGTTAGATGCTCAAATGTCGTTAAAATACAATATTATTAGTGAATTTGAAAGTGCAATTGAAACGTTTTGGGTTGTTGTATTTTAGTGACATCCAACCTCGTTGTGTTGAGAAGCTTCTTTCCTGCAGAAGTCGGGATGTAAGATGAACAATGAACATTGCTGTCCCTTCATGTACATGTGCCGTTCGCCTGTAAAATGTGCAGTGTTGTGTGGTTATTATAAGAATGTGTACTTAGGTATCACTATGTAAGCAAGAAAGTAATCTGTATTCATATAGCTCCACTGACAGACCTAGGTCATATAGGGTTGTTAAAAAGCAACATTTCTACAATTAACACACTATAACATAGTGAGAAAACAGGGTGGATTTAAATGGAGAATTTTTTGAAAACTGTGATTATTTGTATTGCTTTTGGGTGATTTGAAGGATAAGTATATTGCTTATATAGCTTAATTTAGTTTTGAGATATGAGGAAGAGGGCTTTCTATTTACATTTTTTGATTAGTGAATGTGAAATTTGCCCAGAAGGATTATCAGTAAGTCGTAATTGGTGTTGTATTTGTTAAAGAGACCAAAGAGCTTGTCTTGATAACGGAAAAGTGATGTTGGGGATCTATAATTTGACATTTTCTTCTCTTTTTCCTGACATCCCGCCTGTCAGCCCGCCCCCGTGGCCACGCTCACTGAAATGACGTGTCAGCCGAGTCCGGAAGTGTGTTTTGTTCCAGTCCAAAATGGCTTACCAAACCCTACAGCAGGAATATTTACAGATTCCTGTTGTGACTAGGGCTTATACCACGGCCTGTGTTCTCACGACGGCAGCAGTGGTAAGATAATATTCTGTTTATTCGATGTTTTTGTCACAACTGTCACTTATTTTTGCGGGCTGTGTGGAAAGAGTGTTTATGTGTAGGATAGCTAGGGGTGTTAGCCGCAGCAGCAGAGGTAACGTTACGTGTCCGAAACATGGTCCAAAACATGGCCCAAAACATGGTCCAAAACATGGTCCAAAACCTCTGTATGACTGTGGGAAGTCTATGCATTAGGCTTTCAAAGGCGTGTTAAAACTAATCACAATCTCATGCGGATGAAAGTTTCCGATGTGAATTACAACTGTGCTGTGACGAGAGACACTACTGATGTGTGTTTCGATTTCTGCTCAACATGGAGCGATCAAAGTGTGTCACTCCTAGTGACTGTATTATAGTTATTATAGTCATTACAGTCTATAATATATAGTGAATCTCAGCTCAGTGTCATCATATTACAATAAAACCTATTTGTATATTTTGATTTTAATGACTAATATTCTCTAAAATGAACGCATTTGCATTATTGTTTATGTATGTATGTAATATGTATTTAACATTGTAAAAAGTGTGAGTTCTAAGTGATTTTGCTTAAGGCTTTTGCCTCATTGCCAAGTGCTGCATGTCTATTGGCTGCTGTTGACAGTCACAATCGCAGTGGCGCTCGCTGAGTGGTTTTCCAAATGATTGACGCGGCGCCTGTTTTAAATATTTGAATTCTTTAACTGGTAATATAAATTTTCTGCATATGTATTCTCTAGATGATTAATAATTTCTGTCAATGCAACAGAGAGGTTGGTTAAAAATTATTATAAAATAGACATAATTTTACAAAAAGTTGAAATACAAAACTCATCTATAAATTAGTTCAAATATTTTCTTGTTTCTTTTCAAATGTTTGGAAACGTTCAGAGCCAGCAAATATTTTTTTAATACAAGATGTTTTATTTTTTGATCGAGAATCAACATGACTTTTTGTTTTTGCAGCAACTGGAGATCATCACACCCTTTCAGCTATATTTCAATCCAGATTTGATTTTAAGAAATTATCAAGTGAGTAACCAACCATCTTTGGAACAAATAAAGGTTCTGTTCCCAATCACTTTGTATCATTTTTTTTTTTCTTTTTACAGGTATGGCGACTAATAACAAACTTCCTCTTTTTTGGCCCTGTTGGTTTCAATTTTCTATTCAACATGATATTTTTGTATCCTTTTCTGCTCAATGATTAATTCCCGAAGTATTTTGAGGAAACTGAATATGATTTTGGATATTTTCTTAACAAATATTTTCAGATACAGATATTGTCGAATGCTCGAAGAGGGCTCTTTCAGGGGGCGGACAGCTGACTTTGTCTTCATGTTTCTTTTTGGTGGGCTACTGATGACTGTATCCTTTTTAAATACACTTGATATTTTACAATTACTTGGAGTACAGAATTATTGCCTGTTGTCATATCTCTACAGAAATATGCACCAGATGTTTCTTAACATAGTTTTAGATCTTTGGTACATTTGTGAGTCTGGTCTTCCTGGGCCAAGCCTTCACTATTATGCTGGTTTATGTGTGGAGCAGAAGAAACCCCAATGTCCGCATGAATTTCTTTGGCCTGCTAAATTTCCAGGCTCCTTTTCTGCCTTGGGTTTTGATGGGATTCTCACTTCTGCTCGGAAACTCTATTATTGTGGATCTTTTAGGTATGCTCAACTGCAATTTTTGACAAACCAATACAAAAGCTGCTTGTATTTCACATGTTCTACTTTCAAGGTATTGCTGTTGGACATGTGTACTATTTCCTGGAAGATGTCTTTCCAAACCAACCAGGAGGAGGACGTTGGCTTCGAACTCCATCCATCATGTTGGTCTCTTTTCAAATATATTATTTTTTACATAGAAATGCTTCATAAACGTTAAGGTCTATATGTTTGTCTTGCAGAAAGATGCTGTTTGACACTCCAGAGGAAGATGCCAACTACAATCCTCTGCCTGAAGAGCGCCCTGGAGGATTTGCGTGGGGAGAAGGACAGAGACTTGGAGGCTAACTGGCCTGGCCATCCCTGTTTTAGGGTTACTATGGACATTCCCTAACAATGAAGGGACAAACATGGTCTTTGTCCATGTTTGCACAGTTCTGGACAATGAATGCCAATCCGACCAGAACTTATTTGGAAGTAACCGTCTGTTGTTTTGTAAGTGGGCCTAAATGATCCAGAGAAACTCTTCTTGAAGCTCTTAATGTTCCATGAATAACAGAAAGAATTCAACTTCTCTGAACTGTGAATGGTGAGCCGTTGGCGTGGTGATGTTTTGAAATTCATCCAACGCGTTGATGGAAAAAAGACATCGACAGCAGCTAAAATTTTCAGGATTTTTGTTCTGCTCATATGGCAACGTGCATTTTTTCCATTTCACTTTTATAAGTAATAGATTTCTCTGGCAAGTGAAGGTGTCATTTTATTCTGATTAAAATGGCAGACAAATCCTACATTTGTTGTGGACATTTGTTGTGCGGTAGTGCCAGTCGAGCAGTAGAGGGCAAGCATGAGCACTGTTGCGTGCTCTCCAACCGTCACAAGCGTAAAGCAAGCGCTCTGTGGCATTCACAATAATCGGAAAAGACGTGAGTTGCAACATTACGGTTTTACGTAATCAACATATAAGGTGCACGGGTTTTATGAATATAACATGAGTTATTGCTTGTTTTTTTTTTAAGCTATCTGGTGTAAAATATTGTTGAAATTACCTATGCGGTCAATAAATATCAAACAAAGCACCGTATTTTCCCATTGTGTTCCTGACCATAAACGCACCAAAACGGTTCCTGAGTGCGGTTTTCTTTTACCTCATTCAAAATGATGCCATTAGCGCTTAGTAAAACATTTGGGCAAAAGCCAGTCAAATTTCAACTTGAAGAAGATGGGGATTTTTACATGGTCGGCTCTGAGGTATGTTTCCACATCCAATACATCACCGTTTGTTCTACATCTTGTGGAATGCTAACATGCTAACCACATGCTAACCTCCATTGATTCATATGTACCTTATAAACAAAGACAATTTAAAAAAAAAATGCTCTGGAAAAAAGTAATGAAGTGTCTCGCATAGCTATATGTTACAAAAACAACATGCAATGGATCATTATAATTATTAAAAGTGCCAAAGTGTTTATGGGGTGTGTATGAAATATTTAATCATAATCAATATACACAGTTATAATCCACTTCTGTGGCGCTCCTCAGGTTGGAAACTACCTGCGCATGTTTAGAGGCTCCCTGTATAAAAGATATCCGTCTTTGTGGAGGAGACTTGCTTCAGTGGAGGAGAGGAAGAAAATAGTAGCGTCTTCACACGGTGAGTACCAAATCTACATGTAAATAAAATCTTGTAAATGACCACATGTACCGGTTTGTATTTATTATTTTAAAGCTACCAGTGTCACTCTCCTGAAGGCATCAGAGTGTGAAGAGATCTTTGAAGGAAATGATGAGAAATATAAAGCTGTGTCTATTAGCACTGAACCTCCAGCCTATCTCAGGTTAATATAACTTTGGAAGGCTTAAAGTTTGCTTTCACTTAACATACCATCTTAATTATATAATGTTATGCTTTGATAGAGAACAAAAGGCAAAGCGAAGCAGTCAGTGGGTGCCTACATTACCTAATAGTTCCCACCACCTTGATGCTGTGCCTTGCTCTACCACAATTAATCGCAACAGAATTGGTAAAGACAAGAAGAGGACATTCCCTTTGTGGTAAGTTTTTTTTTTCTAAATGTATAAAAAATGATTGAGGCCTCCTCTAACCACTCTTTACTCTCTTTAATCTAATTTAGCTTTGATGACCATGACCCAGCAGTGATCCACGAGAATGCAGCTCAAACTGAGATGCTGGTTCCCATTCGTCTGGACATGGAGATCGATGGTCAGAAGTTGAGAGATACCTTCACATGGAACATGAATGGTGCAGAGCATTGACACCACTCTCACATGAGTTTATTTATGTTGATGAACTCGTCAATTTACTTTGTCTGTCTTCTGCAGAAAAACTTATGACACCAGAGATGTTTGCAGAGATTTTATGTGATGATCTTGATCTAAATCCACTGGCTTTTGTTCCTGCCATTGCATCAGCCATTCGTCAGCAGATAGAGTCCTATCCTACTGACAGTATACTGGAGGAACAGGCAGATCAGAGAGTTATCATAAAGGTGGGTGGCTTTTATCAAAGAGATCCAAACTGTGATTTTCCTATGAGATAATTGTTTGGTCTGTAGATCACGTCCACAAGACCAAAATGTCAGCAATGCAATTGTTCAAAAGACTATCGATATAAACAACGTCCAAATTAATGTATACCTATCTGAAATGTATGTGCAGGGTCTTTAAATAGTTTTAAAAGCTTTAGATTTTTGAAATTGGAAATTAAACTTTTTTTCAAGGATTTTTACTATTGATATCCTGGGCTTAAAATGTGTGCAGTAGCATTCTCCTCAAAAGTTTCAATTTTTCATTATTTTGATTAACTTAAAATCAATGTTGGCATGTTGTTCTCTGGTCTGTGAAATCTGCTGTGGTAGTTCATTTATTTTTATATTGATCTTGAAGATCTTCAAATGCATGAATTTTGTGTGTGTGTGTTTTATATATATATATATATATATATATATATATATATATATATATATATATTTTTTTTTACAGCTTAACATTCACGTTGGAAACATCTCTTTGGTCGACCAGTTTGAGTGGGACATGTCTGAAAGAGAGAACTCTCCAGAGTCTTTCGCCTTAAAGCTGTGTTCAGAGCTGGGTTTGGGGGGTGAGTTTGTCACCACTATTGCATACAGCATCCGTGGGCAGCTCAGTTGGCACCAGAGGACTTATGCCTTCAGGTATTATTTTTAATTTTATTTTATTTATTGGGTTACAAACAAATCAAAATATATGTCTATTTCGTTGCAATAAGGAAGGTAACAGGTATTTACAGTTCTATAACATGAATCAAGTTTAGATTTATTTGTATATTTCTTCAGTGAAAATCCACTTCCCACGGTGGAAATTGCTATTCGTAACACAGGGGAGGCAGACCAGTGGTGCCCTCTGCTAGAAACACTTACGGACGCAGAAATGGAAAAGAAAATCAGAGACCAAGACCGTAATACGAGGTGCGTTTTGCAGAACCACTTGCTTTTATTGATTAAGAATAATTTATGCAATTATTCTCTGCAGACGGATGCGGCGGTTGGCCAACACTGCCCCTTCATGGTAGATTTGGTTTTGAAGTTTTACCTGGAGGGGAGTCGCTGTTACTAGACCACTACATGTCTGTAGTTATGGTGACGAACCGGCAGTTCATCTTCGGACCTCTCGCCATTTATGGAACGTATTTACACTTGTATCTCTACATGCTTAAATCTCAACTAATTTTAGAATGCAACCCATTTTGTACAGTTACGTCATGTTAAAATAAAGGAAATCACCATGTATATGTTTTCTCATTTATGGAACGACTACAAATCAATGCATAGGTTAACTATTTTAAATTGTCTGAGCGACTGTTTATTAAGGATTTCAGGCTCAAAAGCATGGAAAGTGACCAAAGATGCACAGTACGTCAGACATTTAAGATGAGTGTTGTTTAATGTCAAGCTTTGGACATTCCACACCATTTACTTTGATGGACCTGTACTTAAAAAGGCAACAAAAGAATGGGTCTACCTCAAACTATTCCACAAACTGCCAGAAAGAAAATGTATCTTTAATTTGTGAGTTCGACACACATCACTCCAGGGTGATTGAGGCTCATTCAACAACAGCAGCTACTTAGCTTCCTTCCATCAGAAAAATCCATACTAATATTAACTTAAGTATATGTTTGACTTTGAGATATATGTTCATTTTACTGGTAGTTTTTGTTTTGCCATTTCATCAGCCGTTTTCCACATTTTCTCTGAACCACATACAAGTTTGTCAGATATTCAAGTTTGTTTATTTGACAGTTAACCATCCAATCAGCAAAAAATGTTACTACAAACACCCACTATTTATGTTATTATGGTTTATTGCAAAACAAAGTGAAATTTATACAGTGTCCTGCACTGGATTTTACAGTATAGCATTATGTATACAATATTGTTAATAATACAATACATTTAATTATTATAAAAGATCAGATTGTATGAATGAAAGCCACAACTATAAGTCAGTTCATATATTGCAAACATTTACAGACAAGCACCAAAAGTAATAACTGAGAACCGGTATGAAACGTGCAGAACTATTGGAGGTATTTGAGGTATTTTTACTGAAATGACTTCATACAATGCGGTTTCTTTTGCTTCAGTTGAACAACTATTTGTAACCTGAGTATCCATGTGAGCTGCCCACATCACACCAACACTTTGATGGGTTCTAGTGGCATCCAAACCTCAATTTACAAGAAGCTGGCTCAGAAGCAAATGCATTTTTTGTGAAGCGTTTTGACATTTAGAAAAAACTTTTTAAAAATACTAAAACATAATCCGATTGTATTACAGTAATTTATAAAGCACTATACACAATAGCTTAAAAAAGGTATGTATGATTAAAAGACTTTGGGTGAAAATGAATAAAAATCAGTATGCTGCTGTGAAAGTTAGTGTTCTGTGTTCATGAATAATTGGAGCATCCAAAGAAATCTATACCAATTTGTCGAGGGTAGCCATCTAACACCCTCCGCGCTACTGGGTCAAACTTCCAGTACTGCGTCCCGCTAAGGAAATTGGCATATCCTGTAAAAAGATCAAGTTTTTTAAATGGTTTGTCTGATTTTATATTTACATAAACATCATCCATCTTTCTTTACCATATCTGTCTTGAAATGCTGCATCGATATGTTTAGGTAGGCCACTCCATTCAGGCATGACCTGTGGATATACATCGTCAACTCGATTCTCCAGAGGACTGAAGGACCAGTAGGACAAGGACTTGAAGAGAAAGACTTTTTGTTCGTTGCCCACATCCCATTTTAAAGCTGCTTGGATGTCAGATACTGGCAGACCCAGCCTCAACACGGAATCTGGCCCAGTTATCCTCCTCTCTGCATCAAACACCCAGTAATTCTCACCTATAACAAACGGTGTGCGGATCAGAACAGAAGTATTGGCTTGTTATGCAAAGAATATATATATATTTTTTTTTTTTTATCTCTTTCCAATGAATCAATGTACAAACCTTGGAAGAACCAGATGTTTCCCAATTTGTCCTCATAGACAGCATCAATGTAGTCAGGGATACCTCTCCAGTGGCGGGAGGCCAAAGCCGGGTAACCTGCCTCAAGTTGCCCACCCCGAATGCGCCATACATACTGGGACTAAATGCACAGGGTAGATTACACATTTGGTCTATTTATCTACTTATTTGATGGAGACAAGTGTACACAAATAATAATAATGAAACACTACAACATTTATAGCCAAGGCTAATTTCCAACATCCGTCGATAGAAGGGCTCTCCTTGGACATTTTACTGGTTTTCCCTACGTTGGAAAGTGTTGAAATGTTAACCATCTGGTCATTTGGAGAACTGCACAACATTGTAATCATACAGGAAACAAGGTTATAATCCTATCCTAGAACCATAGGTTCTTTGTTTTTTGCAGAGCATCATGGTGTTGTGCAAGTAGCAAATAATGATAACACGCACAATAAATAGCACAAAGTTATGTATTGAGTAGTTTTAAGCCTAACTCTAACAGCTTTCATTTGACAATTGTGTTCCTTGTGCGTAGATTTTCTCCACATTTTGTGTAGATTTTGTTTCAATGACATCATTATAAATGCATAATTCCTCAACATTTGATCACAACCTGCTAATTGACTGATATAAATATAGATACAAAGAAACGGGTCATACACACTTTAAAGAAGAAGAGCTCTCCTCGGATCATTGACACAGCATCATAGTTGGTTTGGCAGGCGTCCGGCTGTGGTAAACATTGTTGTTTCAGAATAACTCATTTAGAGAACATGCAGCATTTAGTTACATGCTATACACGCTCACCATTCCTATTTCAACTTCATTGGTTTCTGTGATGTCCAGTGTTGTGTGCGTCGGGGGGCCGTACAGAAACTGGATTCCTCTCTTGTCGTCCTCACTGAGCTGCAGAGGGTATGAATCACTGTAGAATGGGCACATCACAGCGTCTGGTTCAAGCGAGTGCTGTAGTCCCAGGACATGGCCAAACTCATGCGCTGCCACTTGAAGGAGATCAGTTCCTGAAACAGCGGGCAAGGCAAGTTTATTTGTATAGCACAGTTGATACACAAGGCAACTCAAAGTGTGTAACAAAATCAAATAGAAATGAAAAAAGGCATTAAAATCATAACTATTCACAGTAAATTGAAAAGAGTGAAGATAAAATCCCTCAGTTGTACTCACAGCTAAACAGAACTGTTTTAACCAAGATCTGAACATTGTCAGAGAAGAAGCCTGTCTCATATTATCAGAAAGACTTCCAGATTTTAGCTGCATAAACCTTGAAATGCTGCCTCCCCATGTTTAGTTCTGACTCTGGGCAGCATGAGCAGTCCAGTCCCTGTGCTCCTCAGAGTTCGAGCCAGTTCATATGGCACTCACATGTCACGGACGTACTTTGAGAAAGGACATTTGTTGCAATTTGTAGCAACCCCAGAGCAATGAATTATTGCCTTTACCATATTTTATTGTTATTTCTTCTGTAATTTATGGGAGGATATTTATCAAATTTGGGAAAGTTTGGAAATGGGACAAGAAACACTTTTTGAAGGTGATCCAGATCTCCATCTGGATCCAGGATTTTTGTTTTGGAATAGACCTCTTCGTGGCGGGCTTTACTTCGTTAGTCGTATAATACGAATCATGCGATGATATTGTATTGCATTGTCAACTGCATATGCCTAGTAGCTCCGCATATTCCACATATTCCAGTGTTAGTTTATAACACTAGTGAATTATTATTGGTGTACATTTTTGATATTCTTACACTTAGCCATTGCAACACTACCAAGAATAGGATAAATAGGTTTCACTTAAGCTCAGAGCGCATTACTATTCATTAAAAAAAATCTTGTCCCAGACAATGATTTAAATGACCTCAAATATCGAATCATTTTTTCCTTTTCCCATTTATGAGCTTTACTGCAAATGTTGTACAAATCCACCCATAACGTTTCGAGATATGGGTGGATGCTTCTAAATACCAAACAAGTAAACTTTAAAAGTAAAATAGACAAATGAAATTTTTTTGTAAACTAATCAGATACCAAATAAGCGTTTTTTTTTTTTTATTCCTGGGCCAGGCAGGGCTTTTCTGTGTGCAGTTTGCATGTTCTCCCAGTGTCTGTAATAACATTGTTTTTAAAACATGTAGGAATTAAAGTAGTGAGTGAGTGAAGAGATTGTCGATCTAATCAGGGGTGATGTCTGTACGCACAGTGTTAAACCCAAGTAAATGTTACATGTTACATTCACAGCTCTGACAAAATACTTACCTACATCATTACCCACAGTCCAGTGCTCATCATAATCAAAATGGACCTCTCCCGCTCTGTGTGTTCGTGGGAAAAAGGCGTGGGCAAGGATCCCCCCAGGACCGTCAAAGGGCAGACTGTCACCATGCCAGTATCTGGATTCAAACACACATTCAGTAAAATAATAATAATCCATCCAGCGCTTTTTTGAACACTCAAAACAGAGAAAAACAAACAAGATGCACAAAATAACTTTAATGCTTTTGTTCAATTGTTGTTCAATAACTACTAATCTATAATAAAATTAATAACTATTGTTTAAAACAAGAAATATTATGCATCATCTTTTACTTGAGTAGAAAATATAAGGCCGCAGATGTATCCAAAAAAATTGTTTACAAAAAAAACGCTTACTGCCAGTAACTCCCTCTGCAACCATCAGTTGGAGGGGTTGACTTTTTTTGTATTTCTATTCCCCAAATGTTTAAATTACTGGCTGCAAACATGTGATTGTAAAGAACATATTTTCACCTGAGAAATTGCCAAAAATAATTTCAGAGGTCTACTTTTGTTTTCAGAAAGTCATAAAACTTCACTAAGTGTGATGTAATACAGGTACAATGACATCATATCATTACTTGAGACAGAAGCATTTAGACAGAAGAGGCGAAGTTACATGATTGTGACTGATGTTCCTGATTTTAGCGTAAATACCAACTAAATAAAAAAAAATCATTAAATGGCTCGAGTGGGATAACGGGTCCAACTAGCTGCATTGTTATCAATAATATTTATGCACAACTAGCAACTCTAACCTGTTGAAGTCAATGATAATGTCTGCTTTCTCTGACTTGACTTCAGTAAAAGTTAAAGGTGTCACTGCGGCCCAGATTCTGAAGGCCTGGTCCAAAACATGACGCACTTTAGTTTCAGTCATCTGCCAGGGGAAACGGACAATCCTGCACACACAAAAGGCACAGGCAAAAACATGTTAACACATGTTTATCTCTATGACCTGTTTGTCAAAGCTTGTTGAGTTTTGTGGTACTTAACTTGGGTAAAGCTCGCATAAACTATACATTAATGGTTGGTAAATGGTTGTGTGATAAATGAATACAAGAGGAATGACAACTCTTTATAATTGGTGCCTATTGCAGATTCTACAACTGTTTACTTAACTTTTAAACAACTTCAGTGGTGTGTACTATAACTCCCAGCTTCTCCTCTCGGTCAAGACAAAGCAGCTCGTTTAGTGCAATCATAGTGCGTCATTTTTACTTTTTTTATCATTATTATGTGTTTGGTAAGAATGTTTGATGTATGTATTTTCTTCACCTGTATGTGAGGTCTGTCTTTTCCCAGCGCCCTCCAAAAAGGGCATAACGTTTCCTGCGCTGTTGCCAGCTCTCTCCTTGTTTCTTTTTTTTCTTCATGCTGTAGTACGACAGATCTACTCTCAACAATGTATGATAATCTGGTACACCACAGCGAGGCCTCTTCCACTCTGTGTCATTACTGGGCAACACTAATGACATCAAATTATGTTTGTCATTTAGCGTTGCCTGTTCATGCCTTTCCCTCTTCTTCTGACCCACATTTTGGTGGCTGTGAGCCCCTTCCTGAAAAAACATAAAATCATTTAATTAGGGCTGCAGCAACTGATTATTTGTTCATCAGCCCTCAAGGTTTGGAAACAAAATGCACAAAAAATATATATCATGAACATGTTGTAGGTTAAAAACTACTGCTCAGAGCAACTTTGCTGAAGTGACCCTAACTGTGCCATTTGGAGCCAATGATTGTTGGTAGTAACTAGTAACTGTTAGTAAGTTGCTGCATAGACGGCTTTACTCTTGCACAGCCAACATGCTATATACACTGTACATACATACATACATAGTTTAGATACATAGAAAAAAACATGTCATGGGAGCATGCATGTTTGCTATAGTGTTTGCACACAAACATTATATTTGCATACATCTAATGCGACCACCTAGAGTTTATCTTAACAATTTTACTGAAAGACAGACATTGGGTCTCTGAAGTGATTTCCAACTGTTGAACTGTGTGCCAGGAGATAAATGGCTCTGCATAAAGTTTTCAGAGTGCATTGTGCAAACAACCTACAAACTATCTCAGCACATGTCTTGGATTACACTTGATGATGACTCTCATTAAGTCTTATAGTGAATGATGTACAGATATGTCATTGCTTCAGCAAAAAGTATTTCCGCAGGCTATGCTGATTCGACAAGTAAATGTAAGGTGAGTGACAGTCAGTCAGTAACTATTTTTAATGTGCTGAAACAAAGCTTTGTGTTTGATGGGAATTTTGAGGCACGAGCAAGCATGTTACAACAAGTCTCTCTGACTCCCATCTAAACCTTTCTGCCCAAGCATCAGCTTGGTGGTCCACAAAGAACAGCATTGTTATAAAATGTGTAGATTTTTAATGTTTTTCTAATCATCTACATTTAAAAAGTCAAGTATTAGGTCTAACATGCTTGCGCTGGAAATAACAAGTTTCTGCATCGTTTTTAGGACTCAGTGAAAGCAGTAGACAGGGTGAGCCGATGTCTGGAAAATCCCTGTTTGGACATGACATCACAGTGTCTGCTACCATAACCAGTGGATGCTGAGATGATGATAGGGTGCTAATTACTGATGTTTACATTAATAACTACAATCACTATAGGTAAAAGGTCTCAAGGATGAGATAAAGAGGGTTTTACATTCACTAAGCATATTTTTGAATTGAGGGGGTCTTAAAAGTTCAAGCATCTGCTAAACACTCACATGTTAACTAGAAAACAACCATAAATCATTTGCTTTAGCACATAAAGTATGCCTATTTTCCACTGAGTGGGCTTAACCAAAATATTTTCAGAGTTAGGGCTTGACTGTATGCTTTGGAGATTAAGCTGTCAACAATTAAGCCGGTGGACAATAAGAAAACAAATATGTGGGATTATGACATTGAGAGTGCATGTCTTTTCCCCTTTTTTGATTGATGCATGTTTTTCTAAGTTTTAATTTTCCTTCATCAGCAAACGTTTTTTTTGCCTATATTGCCCCAGGTGTAAATATCCTCCTGCAGATCAAAATCACCAAAGTTTAAAGTGAGATCATCAGAAACACATCTGGTTTTCTTTAACAACTCTGTAAAATGTCCTACAACATAGAACATGTTATGTCTACATATATACAAGTATTATGTTCACAAGTTTACAACAAAACAAAAAACAAGTCAATAATCTCTTTGTATAAGGAAAATCTAGGAATATTTGTATTTAATCTGCAGATAACATACTGTATCCTGCTGGTATACAGCACAGACGTACAGGTAGGTCGATACAATAACTATGAATAAAAACAAACAGTTCACAACACCAGCACACAATATTAAATTGAATATATCTTTCCAATGTATAACCCAAATAGTTTCAAATGCAGTTGAATGAATGTATTCAGTTGCACTCACCTGTTGCTGAAACTTGAGTTCGTAAAGCGGCAAAGAGTGAATAAAAACAAATAGTTGCAATGGCAGGATGCTGCAACACAACAGAATAGCCTGCATCTTTCTGCAGTTTTTCTTTCCTGATGTTTAGGTAAATCTTTAAGGTCTACGGCAGTAATTCAGGGGAGCAGGACAAAACAAGCTGATGAAAGAAAACCCACAGAGAATGAAGCAGCGGCACTCAGTTAACGAAGTTATGATTGGACTCGCGGATCCCGCAGACCTCCTCATTGTCACCTTCCAGTACACAACGTTAGTTACTTAACCCTTTATAACTCATGTAAACAAAGAAAGGGAGGATATGGTATGGTTCATAGACTGTACGATATGGCTGAATAGAAGAAAAAAAAAAATCTAAAGGCTCTTCAGGCTCTGCAGCATTTATCAAGACAGATGGCCAGTATGGAATCAAAAATGGATATTACATTAATTAGGCAACAATATAAAAAACAACGATAATGCATTGCAAATAAAAATTACGCATACTGTAGATTAGATCAAACGTACTCTAATTAGTTCAAATTTATCTCTTGTTTTTTGTTTGTTTTTTGGTTTCTCTTTAGGTTTAGGTTTGGAATAACCTAGTCTGTTTCCGCGTTAGATATGATGCACAACTACATTTTCTCGTAATAAATTTGTGTTTTATTCTTTAGGTGAACACAGGATGTTAAGAGATTATTCTGACTCACTGGCACGTCCATAGTGAAACATGTAGTGGTGGTAGAGGAAGTAGAAAGCGGTACTCATGAGCTTGCTAAGCTAGCCGCATTAGCCGTAGCCTGTAGCATTGTCATAATGGCGCCCCTGGACCTTGATAAGTATGTCGAAATAGCAAGACACTGCAAATACCTTCCAGAAAATGATCTAAAGGTGGGTTTACTGTTAAATAGTGTACACTGCGACTTGCACTAATGAGACTTTTCTCAATCCCTCTTCTCTCGAGTGTAGTGCGTTTATAGTTAGCCTAACCTAGCATGACCAACAACAAGCTAGCAATATAAGAACGATGGTTATATATATATTTTATTTAGCTTTATTTCATCGAACAATGTTGTGGTTCATTTGTTTGTATTTCTGCCTTTGGTATCGACGTATCCACAGCGTTGTGCAAAATGTATTAGCATAAAACCTTGGTACCAGTTGCCAATTGCATAATCATAATCATAAACATAGCGTATGTAATAGCGTTAACTTGTGTGAATCTAAACTAGGTTAAGATGATCTTTTATTATGTGTGCAGAGATTATGTGACTATGTATGTGATTTACTGCTGGAAGAATCTAATGTGCAGCCAGTTTCTACCCCGGTCACAGTATGTGGGGACATCCACGGACAGGTAACTTTTACTTTTTTATCTCTTATTTTGTAACATTAACCAATTGACATCGGACATGGTCTAAATAATTACCTTGTACTTATTTCCCTAGTTTTATGACCTTTGTGAGCTCTTCAGAACCGGGGGGCAAGTTCCAGACACAAACTACATTTTTATGGTAAATTCATAAATCACTTCTACGACCTTTATTTGAGAGAAGAGGCAAATAAGTTCTATCAATAACATATTATTTTTCTTGGAAACAACTGTGATAGTTTCCCTCAGACACCATATGAACCTTTTTTTTTATTCAAGTGAATGCAATAAGCTTTTAATGGGCTTTTTAGTGGGGTTCTGCTGCTCTGATTATTAGCAAAATGGTCATATTTATGAAAGCACCTTTTTCATAATTATGTCTTAAAATAAAACCCGTCTTAGACCACGAGAAGTACTAATATGAAAATGAGCAGTAATTCTGTAATTGCCTGTAAAAGGAGTTGTAATTTGGCAGCGCACGGCCGTCCTCAAGTTTCCAGCACGATAGTCTATACACACAAATATAGCACATTATTCAGCAATTATTATCATAAGCAGCTTCGTCATATTTATTAATAAAAACAGTTTTGATTTTGATATGGTCAGCTTTGTACCCAACAACACTAGGTTTTCACCTGTTACCCGTCGCACTGTTATATATGAGCACAAGTCATATCGGTTTCCCTTCCAAGAAAAAGTGTGCACAATTTATTGTGTTGATTTTTGTATTCATTTTTTAAACTGGTCTTTCAAAAAAAAAAAAAAAGTATGTCAAGAGTTCTCTGGCGCATACAGCTCACAGGACCCTCTTTGTGTGTCCATGGCAGAGGGGTACAACCAAAAGCCAGCAGCCTACCACGTATTGAATTAGTTATTTTCAGCTACATGACCCAAAAGCACATGATACTGATGTATTATCAGGTTAATGAGTACCACTGCTGTGCCAGAAATATTTATATTGTGCAAATCACGATTATACTTTGTGTTTACTTGTGAACAAACACACCAAAATACTTATTTCAATTAAAATTAGAGTTGTGCACAGCTGTGGAAATGCGCAACTGCAGCTGCTGGATGATACAATTTTTTTCTTTTTGTGTGTTCTTCTGTAATGATTTTATAATGAACAATAATGCAAAAGAAAAAGCGTTTTTATAATCTTCTCTTTAAACCTATTGTTTCTTTCATGTACATAACAACATTTAAGTGTATTATACATTTATAACAAACTTTTTCCAGCCTTGATTCTGGTTTTTTCTTCTTTTAGGGTGATTTCGTAGACCGGGGATATTATAGCTTGGAGACATTTACACATCTTCTAGCGTTAAAAGCCAAGTGGCCGGATCGCATCACTTTACTCAGAGGAAACCACGAAAGCAGACAAATAACACAAGTGTATGGATTTTATGGTAGGAAATACTTGTATGGTTGTGCAGTTGTTTGTACCTGAACCATAAAATGTTTATTTTGTGATTTTCAGATGAGTGCCAAACAAAATATGGCAATGCCAATGCCTGGCGATACTGCACCAAAGTGTTTGACATGTTAACTGTTGCAGCTGTAAGTATTTCAAAGCCACAGTTATAATACAGACTGTATGCTGGTGTATTTTTTTTAATTACATTTAGGTCCATAAGAATTAACTAGTTAATTGTCCATACATTTTTATTCACCTCAACACTTGAAAATTTGTAGAGTAAATAATTGTGGAAGACTTAGCAATAGGGGTTTTGCACTATCATCATGAGTGAATGATGATGGTGAATACACCTCAATTAAAAATGCTTTATGGAAATATTGAGTAATGTAATGTACTGACCTGTAATTCAAGACATTTAGCATGACCATGTTTTAATGATTGTTTTCTGTTTAGTTGATAGATGAACAGGTCTTGTGTGTTCACGGTGGTCTTTCGCCTGACATTAAAACTTTGGACCAGATTCGTACAATAGAACGCAACCAAGAAATCCCTCATAAAGGTGCCTTCTGTGATCTGGTGTGGTCAGATCCTGAAGACGTGGACACCTGGGCTATCAGTCCGCGAGGTGCAGGATGGCTGTTTGGCTCCAAAGTTACAAATGAGGTATTGTAGTGCAATGCTAAAGTTGTGTAATAATGTTAATTAACCCTGATATAATCTTCTAATCAAATCCTTTTTTTCTTTAGTTTGTGCACATCAACAACTTAAAGCTAATCTGCCGTGCACATCAGCTTGTTCATGAAGGGTACAAGTTCATGTTTGATGAAAAATTGGTGACAGTGTGGTCAGCACCAAACTACTGTTACCGCTGTGGGAACATTGCTTCCATTATGGTTTTTAAAGATGTAAATAGACGAGAGCCGAAGCTGTTCCGGGCTGTCCCTGACTCAGAAAGGGTTATACCGCCTCGAACCACCACACCATACTTTCTTTAAATAACACCTTTTCTGTTGTCCTAAAATATTTATATGCAACAGATTTTACTATATGTAACTATGTTTTCAGGTTAAAGTTTCTTGATGGGTTTTTTCGATCTTAAACTCATTTTTAATTAAAAACTATGTCACCCATTGTGTCCTACAGATGCATTTTAAAATTTTGATCCAAATATGCTTCTTTAAATAAAGTGTTTATATATTTCTGGGTTACCCCTGGTGGTATTTTGATCACAAATTTGTTGCTGACCACTGCTGCTGGAGATGCTATTTTTTCTGATCTTTTTAGCAAATTTTATTTGAATATTTCAAAGAAATAGATGAGCAAATAGATGATTTTCAAGAAAGCGATGTGCATTTCGTGCACAGGTTCAGAAATGGGGAATGGTAAATAAACACAGCTCAGTGTGCCTAATTTGAAAACGACACTGAACAACGCCAGATGACGCCTGCATACCTCATTTAACTTGACGTGTTTTTGTGGATGATGTGAGTTTTCTGTTTTGTAAATTAATAAACACATTCATTCATTGTCACTGGGTCTTATTGTGAAACGTATAACCCGGAAACAGCTAGCCAGCGCCAGTGTGGCTGAGCCCGCAGTGTCTCCTCAGCCTCCTTGATTGTGATCGGGTCCTTGCCATGGATCTGTTATAATTATCCTTGTGAGACACAGTCCAGGTCTGGACGATGCTCACTTCTTGATCCTCAGTCAAACGCTGTCTCTGAGATGCCCGCAAAGCAAATTCTCCTCTCATCGACAGAAAGCGAGCCTCTGGTGGCTTTTGCTCAGATCCGTGAGCATCTCCGTGGATCTCATTCTTTTACATTTGGGGCTTTCTGCTGCTGAGGTAAGTGGCATTATCAATGCTGCGATAAAGAACAAGTGTAGCCTTTGGCCAGCACGGCTCTGAGCATCATGAGGGATATGGGCTTTTAGTAAGTGACTCATTCATTAAATTAGACAATTAAAAAGACAGTCTAGTCGCTTCATTCCTGAGGAATGTGAGCAATGAAGATCATTTAAATGACCAAATGTTTGTTTTAATGATTTAACGTTAATGCAATATAATGTATTTGCATATGATTAGCTTGCTGTGTATTGATTTAAACCTTATTGGTTAATTGTGAAATGACCTGATTGCACATCTGCGAGCTTTGGTTCGTGAGTATGAATCTGGGACATCCCAGGTCACCCTAAAAAGGTTTCCATCTGATGCATTTTGCCATAGTGTTCAAGTAGGACAAGTGTGCAGCTGTCAGCACGTCTTAACCCATCCCTCACCTAGTAGTAAATCATACATCTGTTTTCATACTGAAATCCACCTTACAATAAGTTACAAAACAGTGATAATCACCAATAACTATCACAAATGATTGTTGTTGTATTGTTAGACCATTTTGCTATGAAGTAAGAGATGGAATGGTGTTGTATGTGGACCACTGTAGTTGACCAGCCTTACACAATATAAATGCACACATGATCTAAACATCAAGTAAAATCAATGCATTTCTTTGTATTAGGTTCAAAAGACATGACTGGAGCTGAGACTGATGATGACATTCCCTTGGGGGAAAGAAAGACTGTCACAGATTTCTGCTATCTCCTAGACAAATCCAAACAACTCTTCAATGGTTTGAGGTCAGATTCTTATGCATTTCAAGCTGTTATTACTTGCACGTCACCGATTCCTTTTAAAAAAGTGGGCTTTTATACTTGGCTCTTTATGAACTTGTTTTATAATATCATCCATAAATAGCAGCAGTCTACAATCTCAACAATTGCTGATGCTTTTATAGCAATATCTTATATAATTCTCAAGTATTTTAGGAAATAAAACTTTGACATTGTTGCAAAATACGTTTTGGCCACTGGCAACATGCAGAGCCTGGAGTATATATATTCAGTAAATCTTTTTGATATATATATATATATATAATTTTTTTTTTTTTTTTTTGCCACTTTCCAATGAGTATTTTCAATCAAATACTATTGAGCAACAATTATAGGTCTCATATTAAGAGTAAAGAAGGTCATGATTCCAGTGCAATGACTTGATTTGATAATCCTCTTGTGCAGAGATCTCCCACAGTACGGGCACAAGCAGTGGCAGTCCTACTTTGGACGGACCTTTGACGTCTACACAAAGTTGTGGAAATTTCAGCAGCAGCATAGGTATGAATTACAAGTAATTGGCGTATTGCAAGCATTGTCTTTCTGTAATGATTATGTTAATCCTTATTTTCTACATGTTCACAAACAGACAGGTTTTGGACACACGTTATGGGTTGAAAAGGTGGCAAATTGGAGAAGTCGCATCTAAAATAGGGCAGCTGTACTACCACTATTAGTAAGTTGTAAAAATGTAACTTTAAGTTATCATAAACTGGAGAGAAAAAAAAAACAATATTTGTATTCTTTTTACTGACAGCCTTCGTACCTCAGAAACTAGTTACCTGAATGAGGCCTTTTCATTTTACTCAGCCATACGACAACGGTCCTACTACTATCAAGTAAACAAAGAGGGCAGGTACGCAATACTTACGTTATACTTACGTTAATACGTTATGAGTCATGTAAGTCAATATTTATACCTGTGTGTGTTTGTTCTTTATCAGGCCAGAGTTGGTGGTGAAAAAGCTGCGTTACTATGCCCGTTACATTGTTGTCTGTCTACTGCTGAACAAAATGGACCTAGTGAAAATTTTGGTGAAGGTATGAAAGAAAATGTATCTGAAAACCCTTTTTCTTGTCCATCAACAAGAGTGATCTCACAGACATAATATGTCTTCATTTACTGAATGTTAATTATGTAATAATGCTATACAATGAGAATACTGTCAAAATGTACTTTTATAATGAGTAAAAAATGAATGTGTTTTAATTGTTCTAAAACTTTGATTGCATTGTCCATCTGCAGGAACTTTCTGACGAGATTGAGGACTACACACAACGGTTCAACACAGAGGATCAACTCGAGTGGAACTTGGTGCTACAAGAAGTTGCTGCTTTTATTGAAGTATGCAATTTTCTATGAGTTTGAAACAAAGATTCAACATGTGTTTAACCCAGTTTGTCTCTCCCAATAGGCTGACCCAATTGTGATCCTGAATGACAACAATTCTGTTATTGTCACCAGTAATCGCCTGCTAGAGGGAGGGGTGCCACCCCTAGAACAAGGCATGGTGGTGGGACAGCTCGTCCTGGCTGACGCACTAATTATTGGCAACTGTAACAATCAGGTTAAACACTAATAATATTTTAATACCTCTGCGCTTCTTTTTGTGCTGTAATGAGTTATTCAGAGCTTTTTTAAAGTGTCCTACGTGTTTTGGTGTTGATCGACCTTATTTCATTTTAACATTCACACCTGATATAAAAAAATGTTTGCACAAAATGACAATAGACATATTTATTACACACATGACTAAATCACATGACACAGAATTATAGGATTGTAACTTTCTCAGATATCAGGACCTAGACAAATACATCTATACACCTGATCAAAATGAAGCGAAATAGCTTCAAAATGTGAGCTTTATTACTTTCTACAAAAGGAGATTTTGGTAAACCCAAAAAAAGTTGTGGCCCCCAAAAAGCTCTCATTTTTCCTCATAATAGGTTCTATTTTTGGCGTTTTTCCTTTTGGGGCTGTCTAATTTATGTTTTAAAAATGATAATGTTGTGCCGGCCGCATTTGTCTGGGCACGAGGTAGTGCAGCCTTTCGATTCAGTAGCCTGTACCATAGTTGGTGCTTTGCATTGGTACTTCCTTTGTAAAACTTGTAATTTCTCTGCTGCAGGTCAAATTTAGCGAGTTAACCATTGATATGTTCCGGATGCTTCAAGCTTTGGAAAGGGAGCCTGTGAATTTGACTACGCAAACGTCAAAACAAGGAACGCTGGTGAGTGACAAAATCTAAGCCCTGACCACTAAAAAAAACATTAATTTAAATCGATTTGACGTGACACAAGACTCACTTTTGGTTTTAACAGGAACCCATTGAAAAACCTGCAAAAAGAGAGAACCCCCACAAATATCTTCTTTACAAACCAACATTCAGCCAGCTGTTTACGTTTCTGTCTGCGTCCTTTAAGGTTTGCTTTATTCATCAATGCATGTTTAATATAATCCTCTTTTAAAAACGTAAAGAGGCGTTTGTGAGCTCATCTCCTGTTTTTCTTCTTAAGGAATTGCCTGCAAACAGTGTTCTTCTGATTTATCTTTCTGCCACTGGAGTCTTCCCTGCAGGCCATTCTGTTTATGAAGGTAAATCTATATATAACTTATTTTTCTTAAATGTATAAATTGTTCTAACATACGTCCTGTGGCCATTAGGACCTTTTGATTTTGGAGGAGTACTCACTAATACTAATCGAGATGTTGTCAATGGAGAGACGATGCAAAAAAGAAATCAAGCCCAAAAAGAAATGCACTGGTGGGTAAAGTATTAGTTATTATGATTATTATTATTATTATTATTAGTGTATTCTTAAAGGTTTATTATGTTTCATGTCTAATAATTGGTTTTATTTTTTTCCTAGTCTACATCCAGGAGACTTATTTCCTTTTACTCGTAAGCCTCTTTTCGTCATTGTGGACTCCTCTAACAGTGCAGCCTACAAGGTAAGAAACTGATAATAGTGCTGTCATGAATCCAATCGTAAACATTTGTCAAATAATGATTATGTATGTTTTTACATCCAGAATTTCACAAATATGTTTGGCCAACCGTTGGTGTGCCTCTTATCACCTACTATGTATCCCAAAAGTGTCCAAGGTAAGAATATACATTTTGCTGTTACATTGCTCTCTCAGAAGGGTTAGGGTTAGGGTAAACATTGTGGCTTAATCAGGTCTAGATCCTGGATACAGTTTATAAGTATAAGTAAAAAAACACATTGTTATTTGGTTCCTCTATACCAAACAATTGTAACATGTCTCAGAAGTCAACCCTGCCGACCTGTGTGGTTCACTGGGCCGACTGTGCCTCCCGCTGGCCGGTTGTCGCTAGAGAAGTGCGTCCCATGTTCGGTAGAGTTGGAATGCGCCCTCGTCTCTATTCATAGTGTCTGCCGTGTTTCCTGATTTCTATTGATTCTTTGATCCAGAACTTGTTTTTATTGGGTTCCTGATCGATGGTTCTTGTGTGGTTCCAGTCTATGAGATGGTTTTTGCATTTGCGGTAATCTGATATTGGAGATTTCAATCTGTCCTCTTGTGCCCTCTGTCTTCCTGTTTTGCTTAGTCTTGTTGTTTTCTCTGTCTCACATTCCTTAACAAGAACCAAATAACTTAATCAGCTAAAAAGACAAGATGAGCTTTTCTAAACTATAAAACTATTAAAAGAATATTTCAACAACCTTCTTCATCTCTTATTATTCTAGCTGATATGAACTGGTTTAACATCAGCCCACTTGTGGTTGTTCTAAGTCATTTTATAATCATTGTGTTCATCCTTTAGATAAGAAATGCTTTATTCGTCCCACATTGGGGTAATCTTGGAATTCAAAGCTTTCCACATATGATTCCCTACATTTTTCTTTCATTCTATTCCTTTCTGTTATTGATACTAGTTCTTAGGGATCCACCTTTTGCCTGTTTCACATCCCATTCCTCTGTCGCTTGTTTTAAAAGCAAGAGACCGAGAGGAGTGTTTTCTTTCCCCCTTATGAAATTCTTGCAATGGCAGATCTTGAAATAATAAACAGTGTGATAATGTTCTGTGTCTTCTAATATTGTTTTTGTCACCAGATCAGTCTCAGCGTGGGAGTCTGTTCACACTGTTCCTCTACAGTCCGCTCCTGGCGTTCTCCTCAGTCTGTGGCCTCAACAGTATGCGGCAAGGGCTGTGGGAGCGAGCTCAAGAATTCCTCTGTAAAGTGTATCGTGACATTGGACAGCTGATTACCCGCTCCAGATCTATAGGTACTGCCTCCCCCCCTGCTCTAAATACACTTTGTTTTCTTTGTTAAATACAGTAGTTTTTGTTTTTTGATCAAATGCCTTGTTCCATTTTCATACACATTTTGTAGATAAAATGAATATTTCAGAAAAACAAAAAAGCCTCGTCCATATCTCTACAGATCAAGCCTTTTTGCAGTTCTTTGGTGACGAGTTCCTTCGGCTGCTTCTTATCCGGTTTGTGTTTTGCTCAGCTGCATTGAGACTGCATAAACTCTTTCGGGTAAGCGACTCTAAAAAAGCCTATTTTTAAAAGGAAACATCAAATGGTAATAAATATAATCTTCTCTTTACTAAGGATTGTTGCTCAATATGTTGCCTTAGACATGTGAGGTAAAATAAAACGTTTTTAAAAGCTCAAAATCTTGCTGATGTCACCTCAGTGTCGCCATTTGCAGTAAAAGCACATTGAAATACCTTAAGCTAGCTGGAGCCAATTTCTAACAAAGTTAGCAGGAGCTGATGTCTTGCTAAGATAGTTGCTTATGAAAGCTGAAGTTTCCCATGCAAATGAAGGCATCTGATTGGTCAATCAACTTAGTCTATTAGCACCTCCATATTAAGCTTCAAGTAATCCTTTGGTCCAAAAACTTTAAATAGGTAAGAAAACAATGGATACTTTGGTATAAAAGTACAGCCAACCGACCTAAATGAGTTTGACATCCTTTGTACTCAAAAGGTTTGGCCCTCGACCCGTTTTGTGTCGGTGTAAAGAAGGCTTTATATTCCTCAATATTTTCTTGGGAAATCAATCTCTACAGTAGGTCTCCAAAGCGTATTGTTGGCTTGACATAAAAGATTTGATTTTATGATCATTCTATTTTTTATAATTCGCAAAGCTTTCGGAATTTTCATTTTGGAATTTACTTCCGTATGGAAACTCATTATCTAAATGTATCTGAAACTACATAAAAGCGGTAACTTAAATCTAATGTTTTGCAGGAGTGTAGGAGCTTCCCAGAGTCCTACCCAGAGCTGCCACGACAGGAGACCGTGGAGAGCAGTCTTCTACAGAAACATGTGATTGAGCTGGCCACAATGCTGGAAGTGCAAAGCTTATTTTGGAACGATGGTTTGGAGACCTACTAATGCTGGGTTTCATGTAAGATACACACTGAATCGGCTGTCTATGCCTGTGTGTGTTTTACACATTTAAACTTTGTCTTTGTTTAAGTACCGTGCCACATCAAACTCATAAAAAAGCCAGAAAACTCAGTGTATTTGGATAGTTTTAATTTAACTTGCTTTTGCAGTACAGTACATGCTAACTACCAGTTAAAGGCTAACAGCAGCTTGTCATTGAACTTGATAGAAAATGACAATTATAATTAAACGTTTTGACAAATCAGAGATGATGAGCTTTACACTTTGTTGAAAGGAAAGTTTCGTGGTGCTATCATAGAAAACATTCTATTTGTAAAAAATGATATTTTTAAAACATTATATGTTTGCATCTGCCAACCAGTGCTTGCTGTAAAACAGCTTAAATGTAGCAGAATTAAGATGCATGAGGTTTAACTTGCTTGATATGTTGCTTGTTGAGCACTGTACACCCTTGATATATTCATTCCACAATGTCGGTCAATATTTCTACTTGAAATTTTAAAATAATTTTGTGTCAGTGTGGTGTAATTGCATGCTAAAGCGTATGGTTGGTGACATTCTGCTAAAAGAAACAGACAGTAAAGCACATGAAAGTGAATTGGACATGGCAGATGTTCTACAGAATTGATTGGTAGAAGCTATAGTGTCACGAGATACTCATGCGTTAGTTCTGCAGGTTTTTGCATCCCTGGCTGCAGAAAGGAAGTTTCTTTTTTGTGACATTGGTCTCTAAACTTGAAACATTATCAGGGAAGCCATTTATTAGATACATTATGTTTCCTCTGTCACCTCTTACACAATGTCAAGCTGCTGAAAACAAGTTGTAGGAAGAACAGAATTGCTGTCATCAGAGTATTCTGCATTCATGCTGTTCCCTTCTTTAATGTATACAAGATAATGCCATTCTTGTCGACATGCATTATACTGAGTTGGGAGCAGGGTGACTAACTTTGTTTGTTTTATAAAGTTAGACAAAGCACAATTTTTTCCATTCTTGATTTTATGTTTCTCTGATCTCTGCAAGAAATTTGATTCCTACATTATTTATGTCATTCCAAAGAAAGAGGCACTTGTCAGGTCAACATGTCCAATATCTAGCCATGATTTTAAATCTCCAAACTCAGTTTAGACACCCAGCCATAGTTTTCGGTTTTGGCCATATTTCTGAGGTTAAGAATGTTATCACTAAACAAGATTTTCCCAACTTAATTAGTTAGTGTTTGTGTGAAGCCATTTATTGTCAAATAACCGTGTTGCTTATTTTCAAGTTATAACGTCTGACATTTCCACACTGTAGGACAAATAAAGGAGCTCCTCAAATGGTTGAGCCCATCTGTGGAGAGTTGAAATGTACAGTTCATGCAAAATGAAAGGATTGGAGGCTTTTTGCCAAAAATAGTTTTACCATCAGAGAGGATAAAGAACCTCATCCACAACTATCATAAACAGACTCCAAGCTGTCACAGATGTTAAAGGAGCCATACACAGTGTTGAGTACTGGGCAATGATATTGTCATCATTACAATTTGAAAATAGAAAACATGTTTATTTGACAATGAATGCCTACACACAACCACTGATAATGAGAGAACAAGCTTTTGTGCTATCGTTCAAAAACTCTGATGTATGGCAAAAAACATCTAAATCTCTGCATTCAAGCACAACTGTATGTGTGCATAGAGTTTACCAATTATAAATCAATGTAAAAAAAATGTTGAATTATTAGCAGCTCTTTGAACCAACATATATTTGTGAGACTAAAATGAGTAGCTATAGTAGATTTCCTTTTGGCGCAGCCTTTCGGGATTCACTGTAACGCTGATGGAGGATGTAGCAGAGTCTCAAAGACATGATGACTAAACACTGTAATGTACCATATTTATTGACCCTGACTGTACAGATCATGTTAAGTGGTGTAATGACAGAGACATTGTTTGTCTTGTATTCAGTGTGAGAAAATAATGAATGAGCAACCCAATTGTCTGTGGCCACTTTGTTGTTGGACTTTTAAAAAAAAAAAAAACAATGTCACATTCCAGCTCTTCAAGAACTTGAAGGAACACAGTTGACTTCTACTGGTTTCTTGCTTTTCTTCATTTTGTGGCCTGGAACACTGAGCCTTTTTTTCTATTTTGATGTAAATGTTGTAAATGTTTTTTTGTTTTTTGCTAGTGAGTTAGATTAAGATGCCATTGCCTTGCACTTTAATATGACGGTTTGTTTTGGTTCTGTTTGTTTTCCCCTCTTAGATTTATGACGAACAGATTGTGTATTTAAATACTTTATCTATTATGTTTGCCAAGCCAATAGTAGCAATAACATGTTGATCTATTGTGAATCTCTTTTTTTTAAGCATTCATTCATAAGTGAACATGAGATTAATTTTTGCTCAGGAGGAGTAATTGTTCATTAAAATGAAATGTGTTTTAATCTAAAACGTTTTACTGGAACAATCAAATACTAGAATGATATTTCTTACATGTCTCCTTTGTGTGTAATGGAAGATGTTCAAAGATTTAAATGTTTAGCATCAACTAAATATCCATTGGTTATTGTAGAACATTTTTTTTCAATTGCATGAAACTTTTTCAAAATGCCTGGTAGTTGTTTAAAAATCATTGTGGCATTTTTCATTTGAAATTTTAGTCTCAACCCAAACATGCCACTCATATCTGTAAAACTGGACAAAATGGTCAAGCCCTTTTCCCTGGCTTATTTCAAATTCATCTATTGATTTGTGTCTTGTGAAACTTTTGTGAGGACTTACTGGGTTTTCTTAAATTGTTCTGTAATTCTATGTGAAACATGTTAATAATCTTTCATCATTAGCGTTTTGGAGACATTGATAATTCAAAAGGATGAATACAATGAGAGAAGAAAAAAGCCCAGATTACATGCATAACATTCCTATGACCAATGTGACAACTGAGTAAGCACAAACTGGTACAACTCCATGTAAACTCTTCCACTGTTAACCATTACTTGGAAAAAATGTCATTTATCTTTACAAACTGTTTCTTGTTTTGAAGTTTGTATCTATATAAATGTGAAAAGATGGCTATTCTAATTTAGTCTTATCATTTTGTGTGACTGTTTTCAGTCTGTGGCTGTCTGTCAAATGATATTGACAATGTGAAATGATGATCAAATGATGATGAAATGATGATCGTTTGTGTCAGTAGTTTTTCTTTTTATAATTATTTACAATATCTTTTCCACACAACACTGCCCTCTATCGGTAGACTTTTACTTGAATCTTTGTCCAGCTCAGAATAATGAAGAAAATAGTATTCCTATTGTGTTGATTCAGAGAAGTCTACACAATATGTGAGTAAGCTACACCGCTGTCACTTTTCAGGAAGAAGGTTCTGAGCTAGTAGGGTGGAGTTTGAATGTGTTCATGTTGAGCTCGAATGAGCAATAATAAGGACAAAATTATCTTCAATTACAATGGCGCTGCACTACATAGAAAACGGATAAATGGATGTCTAACTTATCTGTTGCATCCTGTAATTTTTGTAAAATATGTACATTTAAAAAAACATGTTGAATCTGCAAATATAAAAAAATATACGAAACAAAAATAGTAATGTAATGATAAATGATAATTCTTCGTTTTTAAATGTTACATTGAACAGGAAGTTATAGCTCATGAGTATCTACAGATGATTTGATACATCCATGCCATGGATCTATTATAATAACCATGCAGATAATTTTGTATTGTTAGGGTACGTTGCTAAGTTACATTAAGAATTACGGACACTGTCCAATCACGACTGAGCATAATATGACGTGGTTTAAAACTGGCAAATGGGGAGTCGTGTTAATAATCCCAACATTTTCATCGAGAAGCAACCGAGGATCTATTTTGAAGAAACCTATTCATGCCCTGTAGAAGTTGTTTAACCTGCGTGTCGTAAGAGGTAAGTTCAGTAATTGTTACACGTCACTTCATAAAGTTGTGGGATATATCGCTCAGAGTTAAGCGGAGAGCTAAGCTAACAGCCCCATCCACTGTTATTGTTCATTAGTGTGGACTTCAGGACATGAGGAGTTCGGCCCGATTGGTTCTAGAACCTCTAAAAACAAAGCCTGAAAATGGAAAGCTTTAGTCACATACAGTATATAGTCACAAAATAATGAAAATTGGAAAAATTATATTAATCATAATAATGATAATAATAATACTGATACAATGTGAATTACAGCATTTAAGGCTTTCTCAAGGATCATTATTTTCATAAACTGTTACACTATGACAAATTTCAAATCCACATAAATCGCATTTAGGAACCCACTCGAATGAATCAATCTATCAATAAATGAGAAATGAATGCATTATCATCACATAGTCAAGGGTCAAATCTCAGATGTTGTCCAACTCAGATTTACAAATTACAATAAATTACTTGTTCCAGTATTGACAGATTTTGCTCTGTTTTGGAAGAAAATCAACGTTTTTATTTTTCATTCAATATCAATTTGTTTTCTTCTCAATAGGATATGATAAAACGATTACCGAGGTGAAGTTAGCCGAACGTTTGATATTCGCCTGATATTCGAACAAAATCCCCCTGGATTCAAAGTCTGTCCGTATTTTCAGTTTAGTGAAGAGTGTAGTATTAATTACTGTTCACAATGTTGCCACCTATATAAAAAAAAACGTTACTTAGGCTGCAGCTTACGATTTATAACACGAAAAACAATGAAGATGAAGTCTCCACTCATACTTGTGCTAAGCTCTCAGCAAGGGACCGTCTGCAAAGTGCAAGATTTGACAGAACGTTGCAGATGGGTTGGTGAATACAATAAAAACTGCTTTTAAAAAGTAGTTTTTCCCAGTTTTGATGAGTGTAGCAGCTCCATTTGAACAATAGCTAGCTACTACAGGCAAGAATTTGGGAAAAATATAGTTTTCCCCTTCACAGTAACAAAAATGAATTTGGAAAAATTCACTAAAAATCAACAAAGACTTTTTTCCCAGATTTGATGGGTGTAGTAGCTCCATTTGAACAATAGCTAGCTACTACAGGCAAGAATTTGGGAAAAATATGGTTTTCCCCTTCACAGTAACGAAAATGAAATTGGAAAAGTTAACTAAAAATCAACAAAGACTTTTTTCCCAGATTTGATGGGTGTAGTAGCTCCATTTGAACAATAGCTAGTTACTACAGGCAAGAATTTGGGAAAAATATAGTTTTCCCCTTCACAGTAACGAAATTGAAATTGGAAAAATTCACTAAAAATCAACAAAGACTTTTTTCCCAGTTTTGATGGGTGTAGTAGCTCCATTTGAACAATAGCTAGCTACTACAGGCGAGAATTTGGGAAAAATATGGTTTTCCCCTTCACAATAACAAAAATGAAATTGGAAAAATTCACTAAAGATCAACAAAGACTTTTTTCCCAGATTTGATGGGTGTAGTAGCTCCATGTGAACAATAGCTAGCTACTACAGCCAAAATTTTGGGAAAAATATTGTTTTCCCCTTCACAATAACGAAATTGAAATTGGAAAAATTGTGAATAGTGAATTTTTCCAATTTCAATTTCGTTACCGTGAAGGGGAAAACAATATTTTTCCCAAATTCTTGCCTGTAGTAGCTAGCTATTGTTCAAATGGAGCTACTACACCCATCAAAACTGGGGAAAACGTCTTTGTTGATTTTTAGTGAATTTTTCCGATTTCATTTTCGTTACTGTGAAGGGGAAAACCATATTTTTCCCAAAAGTTTGGCTGTAGTAGCTAGCTATTGTTCAAATGGAGCTACTACACCCATCAAAACTGGGGAAAACGTCTTTGTTGATTTTTAGTGAATTTTTCCAATTTCATTTTCGTTACTGTGAAGGGGAAAACAATATTTTTCCCAAATTCTTGCCTGTAGTAGCTAGCTATTGTTCAAATGGAGCTACTACACCCATCAAAACTGGGGAAAACGTCTTTGTTGATTTTTAGTGAATTTTTCCAATTTCATTTTCGTTACTGTGAAGGGGAAAACAATATTTTTCCCAAATTCTTGCCTGTAGTAACTAGCTATTGTTCAAATGGAGCTACTACACCCATCAAATCTGGAAAAAAAGTCTTTGTTGATTTTTAGTGAATTTTTCCAATTTCATTTTCGTTACTGTGAAGGGGAAAACCATATTTTTCCCAAAAGTTTGGCTGTAGTAACTAGCTATTGTTCAAATGGAGCTACTACACCCATCAAAACTGGGGAAAACGTCTTTGTTGATTTTTAGTGAATTTTTCCAATTTCATTTTTGTTACTGTGAAGGGGAAAACCCTATTTTTCCCAAATTCTTGCCTGTAGTAGCTAGCTATTGTTCAAATGGAGCTACTACACCCATCAAAACTGGGGAAAACGTCTTTGTTGATTTTTAGTGAATTTTTCCAATTTCATTTTCGTTACTGTGAAGGGGAAATCAGAATCAGAATCAGAATCATTTTTATTGCCAACGTAAGTAACGGGAGGTCACAGACTTGGAAATTGCTTTGGCTCAGTGCAACAGTCAAAAAGAGATAATAAAAATAAGAATAAAAAACACTTCTAAAGAATAAATTTAAATTTAAAATAGAGTTACAGTTACTATTTACAATATACAAGTGCACATGGTGCACACAATGTAAGGTGACAGCAGTACAGTGAAGTAAAGTGACGTATGATGGGCAGTAAAGTGACTTTATAAAGGGCGGGGGGACAGGTTAAGAAGTGTTCAAGAGTCCAACAGCAGAGGGGAAGAAACTGTTCTTGTGGCGGGAGGTTCTAGTCCTGATGGACCGCAGCCTCCTGCCTGAGGGGAGTGGTTGGAATAGTCCATGTGCAGGGTGAGAGGGGTCGGCTGTGATACGACCAGCCCGGCCTCGAGCTCGGGCGACGTACAGGTCCTGCAGCGATGGAAGGCTGCGGCCGATCACTTCCTCTGCAGAGCGCACAATGCGAGGAAGTGATCGTGATAGTAGCTAGCTATCATTAAATGGGAGCTACTACACCCATCAATTCTTGGAAAAATATCTTTGTTGATTTTTAGTCTTTATTAGTCGTTTTGACCTCTTGCAATTTGCAGACGGTCCCTTGCGAATATCAGGCGAATATCAAACGTTCGGCCAACTTCACCTCGGTAAAACGATTAAAGATCATGAACAGTCCCATGTACATCCGAAGCAATAGTATCTAAAACATTTCAGATGATATACACACAGGTGCGATAGTGCGTGTGTATCACCTATTCCAGTTTTTTTTACTGTTTGTATCCATTATTTACATTGTAAAACAAATTCTACCTGAATTACTATATCAGTAAACACAACTTTATATACAGTTGTCCTAAGGTCAGCCACCAATTGTGCATGTTCTTTCAATCAAACCAAGAAAATCATATTTTCACATGGCCTGTTTTTCCTCACTTTGTCTCTAATAGACTGAAATTAGTTCCCTGGGACTACAGATGAAAATTAACCATTGGCTGCAATCTGAGTGTCGACAACATGTTCAACCATATATGTTCATTGACTAGTACTGTCCTAGTCAAATAAATCAAGAAATGCAAATACAAATATTTGAGGTATTCCTAAGATGAAAATTACAGGCATCTCTCATCTTTTAAGTGGGAGCACAATTGTTGGCTGACTAAATACTGTGTTTTTAATATATAGATTGATAAAGCATGAAGAACCGATCAAGTTCCCCTCCAGTTCATGTACATGTCAGTGAGGCCACTCCAGTCCATGTGCACGTGAAGAGTCATAGAAGTCCGACAGCAGAACCTCAGGTGCATTTCCTGCATTAAACACTTGTCTCTTCTAATGTTATAACAGTAATGAGCTTTGTAAGTGCTTTGTTTAATTTAGAAGAGAAAGGTTAAAGATAAGGGAATTCTTCAGACCACAGCCCAGGTCAAAACCAGAGTACCATGGATCCCCCCCGGGAAGACTACCTTCAGAGATGCTTCCTTCAAATTTGAGGTCAGGAATATAATATTTGTTACCATCACATTTTGATTTTTTCCTTGAAGTTATTTTGTTTATTTTAAAGGGCCCTGCGCATTGTCTAGAAATTATTCCGAAGACCACTCAAGAAGAACAGTCTGCTTTGTGTTTGGCCGACTTGACATCAGATGGCGAGTGTGAACTTCATGGACGAATCAACCGATATGAACAGAAAGTTGACAGTTTGATGACAGAAGTCAGCTCATTGAAGAACGAGGTTTATTTATTTGCACTTTTGTGATTGCGAATATATAAAATCCTTTTAGTGTATAAAAACATTCATTGCTAGTGACTGCATTTCCTATGTATCAAGTGTCATCAAGTGTGACGGTAGAATTCCTTGTTATCAAAACCTGAATTTTTGTCTTTTCTGAATCGGTTGAACTGAAAAAGAAAGAGGAGCAAATGGAGCGTCAGTTACAACAGCTAAATGTCTCTCAGAGAGTTGCAGCTGAGCACAAGGAAGAACTGGCGATTGTGACCAAGAAACTGCAGCAGACAGAAGAAGAAAACTCAAGATTACGGCACTCGCTGGAACAGATGCCAATGGCTGACCACAACAGGTAATAAAAACTCTTACTTCTATCTGAAATAATTGTATATTTCTTTTGATAAACTTTCATTATTCTGTTGTATTCTTGTAGTGAGGCGACTTATCTGGACAAAGATAGTTTGCTTACAAAGTTGATGGAAGCTGAGGCAGATAATAAGGCAGCTTCCAAACAAGTGTCAGATCTAAGTGAATCTCTTTATAAAATGGGTGCAACACATGGTGAGGTAAGTATTAAGCTGGGGTTCCGACATTTATTTTTTCATAAGTGATACATGTTGCCTGTCCCAACAGAGTCTCGTAAAAGTAAAATGTTGTGAACAAATCAGGCCACTACATACCATCTTATCATGAAACTTGTAATCTTTTACATACTTGACAGAAAGTCAGCCCTGTGAGTCCCTCTTTGACACTTTGGGCTGAGAGCTGATTGGCTGAGTTAGGGTGGTCCTCTGTTTTTCACTTTTCTGTCAAAAAAACCAAAAATACAAGCATGTATAAACTAGTGATGGAACCATCTGTTTTAAACTTTGGTACCCCAGTTATCGCAATGTTATTATACATTAAACTTGGTGATACTAACATTTTGACTTCTATTTTGAAACTAATGAATAGACTAGTCTGTCTGAATTGCAATGACACGTGTAATGATATGGTATTGATCCGATTATTTCTTGCTGAGACGCAGGTGCGCGAACAGTTACCATAGCAGTTCAACAATCACAAATGCAAAAAACCAAAGACCAGCATTGTAAAATAACTTTAAAAGTGTATTCTTGATATGAATCTGCCTCAAATTAATTTCAAATTCAGAGAATATTCAGCAATCATTGAACATGTTATTGTGCATTGTCTGAATGTTTGTGTGTTTCTTGTATTAAAGTCTTCACATCTGGCTCGCCATAAAGAACTACTGCAGCAGAAACTGGAGACAATGGAAGGGACCAATCGAGCACTGCGACAGCTTCTCCGAGAACATCGTAATTCTTATGTACTTTAGATCAATGTTTAATTCTTTCTACATTACCAAAGCCTTGGAACACACAACACAACATTTAAACCATGTCATGATGTTATAAAAAGAAAAAAAGATTACACAGTATTTGCTTTTAAGTTATTCAGTTTTTCAATTTTTCTGAAAATATTGTCATTATTATGTAGTAACAGCAAGATTTATATAAAGCCTCAGTCATCAGCCACTGTGTGGCAAAGTGAAGCAAGCGGCACATCCAGATCAGTCTCTGCATTGAAGTATAATTTTCTAATGCTCTTAACTTGTTCAACATTTCTTTAAACAGAAAGACTCGGCACAACTGAGGATCCAGAAGGAAACATTGCTTAACAAACTTTCTTGTAAAGAAAAGGAAAATGCAGTAAGTTTTGGCATGATAATCATTTTATTCCAGCTTATTATTTGTGTATTCATTTTTTCAGCGTTTGATAGTAAAGCTTCAAGAGACTCAAAATCAAATGTACGACCTGTGTAAATCTTTGGATGATGAGAAAGTTTGTTCACTTTTTAATTGTATTATTTTCACGTTTTGTGATAATAATGATCTTATACTTTGTATATTTATTCTAGATAAATGCCAAGAGTGTATCTGATTTTTCTAAAAGTTTAGAATCCACAAGAGCTCATTTACAAGGTCAGCTGCGCAGTAAAGAAGCAGAAAACAATCGACTCACTGTTCAGATAAAGGTGTGAAATCAAACTAAAGCATATTTACAATAATATCATTCATTGACAGCATGTACTTGTATTTTGTTTAGAACTTTGAGAGCACTGTAAAGGAACAAAAGTCAGAGATGGATCATTTAAAAGAGCAGCTGATGAGACTGAAACAACAGACCGTCGCAGACAAAGAGGCTCTGAAACGAGCGACCAGAGCACAGAAACAAAGAGCTGAGCGCGGCGAGGACTCAGCAGCTCAGCTTCAACTCCAGCTTCTGGACATGGTATTTGATGGCATTCATTCGTGGACATGCTTGCTCACTTTTTTATTGATTTAAATAACCTATCACAGGAAAACCAAGTCACTGAAGCACTTTCGGCTGCCGAAACTTGGAAAAGTTGTCATAATGAAGATGTAAAAGACAAAAATAGGTTGGAGATAGAAGTATCAACATTGAACAGGTAAATGTATATGTAATTTTATATAAATAAATCATAAAAATAAAAATACATCTTATGCCCTTCAGTCGAATCATGGAACTGTCAGAGCAGCTCAGAGATGCAGAGAGAAAAGGAAGAGCAGACAGAGATTCTCTCGTGGAGCATCTTCATGGACTAACTTCAGAAAGCACAGCAGCCAAACTGGAAAATCAGTCCCTCAAGGTGCAACAACAAAGCAATTTTATGCCATTGTCATGTCGTTTTTGAGCGTGTAGAAGGACAGAATGTACCAAAAATGTCCTAAAAATATATTTATATGTATCTCACAAGATTGTGGCGGGGATGTAACTTTGCAAACCATGCTCGTCACGCTGGTTTCCCTAGTGCTATTGCAGGATGTGGTCAAATGCAAGAATGCAAAAGGAGTATTTTAGCAAAATATTAGTGAAAAACTAAAGATATTAGGATATATAAATTAGGAAAATATATGCATTTTATTGTCTCCCACAAGTAACTATTGTTCTGGGTACAGGGGTTTACATACTTAACACAGACATCACACATACACACATTTACATATACCATTAATATTGTGTTGGCGTATGACACGACACCACTGGGACATACTACAGTTTAATGAACAGACTACACTGTCTCTATTCTTCAGTGCAGAATCCGACTGATAATTGTTTGTGATTTCAGGCCAGATTGTTAACTCTTGAGGAGAAGTTGTCCTTGTCTCAGAGCGAGCTACAGCACGTCAAATCTACCATAGAGCAGTATGACACTTTGATTGGCAGCTATAACATACAAGTGAGCTAAACAATATGAAACTAATTTGCCATGACTCCCCTTAGTCAGTCTAAGAAACTCCCTTTATTTGCAGGTTGGTAAAACCCGGGCTGAGGCAGATGAGTATTGTGCGCGTTTGGCTAAAGCTGAAAAAGATGCCTCCATTTTGCGAGAAGAACTGGACCAGGAGATACAGCAGGTGCAGAGGGATCTGCTGGGAAAAATGGCAGAACTTGAACCACTTCCTGATGCTTTACGTCAGGCTGAGCTGAAGCTCCAGGATGCTCAAGAGCGTGAGCTCAATCAAGAACTTTGCAAAAAAGAACTTGGTTCAACAATAAATGAACTATGCATGAAGGTGAGACCACTTGCTACTGTTTGACCCAACGTTTGGTATTACATTCCCAAATGTATTGTTTAAGGAGGGTAGTTCCTGACTTCATACTGTGATCTATAGGGTTGGTGGGTTGAATCCTAATTTCTGAAAGATCATTATTTTAAAGTCCACAAGACAGTTTGATCAAATTATAGTTTGTTAAGAGATACTTCGAATTAAAATGTATCTGTTGGATGCAGGTACATTTTAATCATTTTAACTATCTGACGGCATAGTTTATGTAGCTAAATGCAAGTCAATTATCTTAAGTGTGTGTTAGATCAGGGGTTCCCAAAGTTTTTAGCCCGCGACCCCCATCATAAATGCCCTGTTAACCCGCGACCCCCCCATACCCCCCCCCCCCAACATCCCTTCCGTCACATGAAATGAGCATGTATTTCCTTGATACGGAGTAACGCTTTCTAGAGACTCACGCCACTACCGAGCTGCACTGTCCAGCCCAAAAAAGGAGGCTTGCATAATTTTACTCATGTAGTGACACAGTGATGGGCTTGGTGGGCTCCCTCCTCAGCAGAAGTGGAGCGCATTTCTTGCGGCTCGCCCTCACTGTTCTCCTACCGCGGTAAAGTGGGCCGGCTTTCCGGAGTCAGCGGTAAAGAGGTCCGCACATTAAAAGCGGGCGGCCGCTTTCTGCTGTTACTGTATGCGGTTCATCCCCGCGGCTTCTTTTTCCAAAGTTACTGTCAGTAAAGGCATAAACCGGCCACCCGCTTTTAATGTGCGGACCTCTTTACCTTTTGACTCCGAAAAGCCGGGCCTCTTTAACGCGCTGTTCTACCGCTGTCCTCCCTCCCTCCGCTGCCCTCTCTCCCTCCGCTGCCCTCTCTCCCTCCGCTGCCCTCTCTCCCTCCGCTGCCCTCTCTCCCTCCTCTGCCCTCTCTCCCTCCGCTGCCCTCTCTCCCTCTCTTCGCACCATCAGCCTGACCCCTGATACAAGTGACTTTTCTCCCCCTCCGGGTTTTTCTGTTGTGGATATTAACCACGTTTCATTTTAAAGAAGGTATTATTTATTTGTAGCCTCCAAACACCTTTAGTTTTAGCAAACAACAGCTGGACACGCTTTGTCGCTGCGCATGATGTGAGCTGTGTTACGTGATGATTTTGATTGACGCTGCAATGACTGGGACAAAATTACTAACGTTATTAAAATATATTATAGTCTCCAAACACAATTTAACAAGTAGTCCTTTTGAATCAAATCAAATGCTAAATAAATATTTAAGGGCTTTATATTTGCTCAAAAAAAAAAAAATTGTTCGTGTGGAAATCATCTTGCGACCCCCCCAGGGGTTCCCGCGACCCCCCGGGGGGTCGGGACCCCCACTTTGGGAACCACTGTGTTAGATCATTCAACAGTGAATCAAACTGTCGTTACCTCAATATAAATATTAACGTTCTGTTTCCCTGTAATATAGTTAGAGATGGAGGGCAATAAAGCAGAGCTTCTGAGGCAGAATAATAAGATGCTTCTTGAAGAAAACAGAAGGCTTCAGCACCATGTGGATAATATGGAAAGGTATGATATTTTGCAGAGTTACAAAATTATGAATATTTTATGTGATACATACATAATCATATTTTTCTTGTTAATTTTAAAGTAAACTGGGGGAAGCAAAGAATCAGAACTGTGAACTATTGTCTGTTGTTGCAAAAATGGAAAACAAACTTCAAAGCAATCAGCTTCGTTTGGAGGAAAGAAATTGTGAATGTCGCCTCCTCAACCAACAATTAGAGGAGGCTTTGAAAGAAGCTCAGCTACAGGTAAAAGGCTTTCTATTATTTACATGAGATTTATCAACTGTTAATATCTACAATAGCTAAAATATAAAACATAAGATCTGACCCAGCCTTTACTAGATCAAGTGTGTGTTTGCAAATATTACCTCAGTCTATTGATTGACCCACTGTACACCAAGCAATCAAAAGGAAGTGATAGCCCTCCTGCCATTGTCCATCTGCACTCTGTGAGCTTTGAAGCATAAGGGCAGATAGTTTTGCCCGTGTACAGTTTTTTTTTTATATATATATATAGATATGTGTTAATGTCTTAATGGTAAAACCTGCTTAAACCTGACTGTTTTTGGTTTGAGGACATTATTCATAAGTTGCGACAGTGGCTCAGTTGGCCTTTTAGCCTGAAGGTTGTGGGTTCGAACCCACCATGAGACTTTCTCCACCGACTCCCACTGGTGTCTGCTGTCGTTGTGTCCTTGGGCAAGACACTTAACCCCACTTTCTTTGCCTGAAGCCCCCTTCAGGCCCAAAGGCCAATGCTCTACCATGGACATTATTCATACTAAAACTGGAGTTTGAAAGGGATGCCATTGGAGCCTTGGTAGGAATGCATATAATAAATATTGAACTGATATTTTTCAAGGTTTCGGGGATCAGAGAACAGGCTGCTATTAAGGAGAGATCAACACAATCAAAATTATTGGAAATGGAAACGCAACTCAGTAGGACCACCTCTGATATAAACCAACTACGGCACAGTAAAAAAGAGGTGAGCCTCAGAGTACATTCAAGTATATTTTCAACCTTTTATGAAATGATTTTTACCAGGCATATTTTTTCAGACAGAGCAATGGTATCAAAGTCAACTTCAAGATGTCAAAGACCGCATGGACCAATCAGACAGCACCAACAGAAGTCTGCAGAATTATGTTCAGTTCCTTAAAGCTTCTTATGCCAATGTGTTTGGAGATGCATCTCTCTGCAACTCATTTTGTGCACCCCTTAAGTCTACTCATGAGCCATTTGATTTTTAACATAGACACAGTCAATGATTGACACATTTTATATTCATAATGACAACAGCAATGGTTCTGTGGGATACATGTATTCTGTAATTGAAGATGCTGAAAAGGTGACATTTTCAGATCACTTTCAACATACAATGCACCAGCAAATTTACAATAAACAAAATCTCCTGTGGAATGCGATGCCTTTTCTGCCTTTTTATTTATCATCCTGAAACCTATGGATAAATTATATTATGAGAATATTTCACACAAAATAAGATGGCATGACCGTGAGCGTACAGTAAATTATGTTTTGTACGCCTGGTCCAGTCGCTCGTGTGGTCTCGGCACTTCTCGACTCTTTCCGTGAAGCTGCGGGGAATGACGTCAACGTGGGAGAAAACAGCCTCAGTGCGAAACAGCAGCGAGAGCAGCGGATCCTCATCCTCACCGTCGATTTGCAGCAAAAAACCTGGTCGTTACAGGCCTCTCTGAATTATACGGTATGGGGTTTTTTTTTTTTTTTTGCTGAAGTTGTAATTGCCATGCATAATTCGATGTTTTCTTGCATTAGCAAACAGTATTTTTATCATATTTTTTACGACTGGCTGGGCTGGGCTCGTTAGCTTAGCTAGCACACGCTAGCTTGGAGCTGTAAGCCTGTCTTTATCATAAAGCAGATATTGACAAATACCGATGGAAACAAAAATACATGTATTAAATAATCCCTTCTACTCCGTCAATAGTATGTGGTACTGTTACCACTATTATTTGTTTTAATGGTGGTTCGAGGAGTCGTTCTTCAATAATATATCACTCGACACACGACAAAAACAAAACAACAAAACACTGACCTAAATAAAGGAATATAAAGGAATACAGAGCTAAACGACTTGTTATTATAGTGGACTGCAGCAGCCTGTCCTGGGCCTGAATGAGACCATGATGGACCCGCCCTGTCCAGCAGAAAACCTTTGGACACAGCTGTTACATTCCGCAAGTCACTGCTTTAGCATTTACAGTCTGCGCCTTCTTATTATAATAGATCCATGCATCTACCATCCATTCACATAGAACTGCACAGAATTAAGAATGGCACACATATGTCAAGACTTTTTGATCAACTATAAAAGACGTAACTAGTTATCTTAATGACACACAAATCAGGTTTGACCTACGCTGCTTGATTGACATTGTTTTGTTTTGGCAATCGGCAATATCCAGTCATACATAATAACAAACTTTAATGGACATTTTATCTTTTAAACACACCAACATTTGGCCTTTACGTAATATTTAAGATCTAGTCAATACAATAAAGCATCTCTTACTCCCCCAGGACTGTAGACAGGCCGAATGTAGTTGAAATATACATTTTATAATTATGGTATCATTTGTTATCATTCTATAACCTTCATTAACCTAAAATGTTCGAGCAGGGTAAAAATGGAATATGGGTTTCAGATGTCAAAAAAAACCTATGCAGTTTGAGACATGTATCGGCCTTCACTCTCCAAATTGTATTTAATCTGTATTAAAGATGATTTTACATATTGATGCTCTCATTCCAGTTGGTGGGATGGGACAGTAACTTGACCTACTTACAAATGGGCCAGTCCTCTCCTGTGACATGTTTCTTATTATATTCCATTTAGTTATCAGCCTTCTTACATGCTGTACACTGACACACACACACACACATTAGATATTTATGAGTTTAGTGTGTTAAACGTAATTGATCTTTTTAACTTCAGATCCATTATGTCGACCTTCACTAAACCCAAGCTAAAGGTACTAACTTTGTGTGTGTCGTGTGTTTCTGCATGTTTGTCTTTGGTTTGGTGTAACTAGGCTTGTCTCGATAAAACATTTTGAAGCGCAAATTGTTGTTAGAGAAATCTAATTCAGTAACCAACTAAAACGTGCCCTTAAACATTTGCTGAATTGGTTGAAACAGAATTGAATACCAAATAAAACTCAATTAGGATATTGGCTTAATTGTGACAAAATTGCTTTTTTGTAAATATTTGCAGGAGAAATACTATATAAACTATAGTTAGAGAGCTCATATCCTGCTGCAGATCATATAATAGATAATGTGGATTTAATGGTGTCTTCCAGTCTTCCAAATCTGATCCAACAATATTTCCAATGTCAGCACTCAAAATCTCGTATCAGCAGATGCGGAAGGCCAAAGTAACAAGATTGATATGAAAAGCTGCGTTGGTGTGTCCCTATTATGGAAACGATGCAAGTTTTCCACTGACCAAAAAAAATACAATAACGCAAGAATCATATAATTTAACGAATTAAATTGAACAAAAATGTTTGTACAATCAAACTCTGTTTCTGCTTTTCATTGATTTATTTCATTATTGCTGGGGTAATAATAGTATGTGGGTATTTTAGCTCTGCTTCATATGGAGCCTCACTGGAGCCTTTGCAGATTCTGATATGCTGATGTTACTTAAGGAATTGGTTTATAATATGGGATTGTACATTATAGAATCATACTAATTATGTGAATTGGAGTAATTGTTTGCGGATCCTAGGAGCTCTGTTGTCTTTAGGTGTCTTTAGACCCCTTGTGGGGTCTCCTAGGGCAAACCGGTATGGGAAAAACCTGTTCGAATACTCCGACAGACAGTCGAGAATCATGATGTCACACAGAGGAATGAAGAGGCTGTATTAGTATGCCTGGTTGAACATGGGCAGCTTGTTGCTAGGTTATCTTATCCTGTCCTTGTTTAAAATAATACAATTGGCTTGCTTTTGGTTGATGCGGAGGGACACACAAGATGCCAACCCAAACAAGGGGTAATGTGTGGTCGATGTGTATGGGCTGGGCCAAACCCTCACTCCCAAACAGCAAAGTCATTGCAGATGCACTGCGTCTGTCTGCTGCAGAGAGCACTGTAAACTAGTGTTGAGCTCTGATTCTTTCCACTTTGGGTTCAAGCTGAGATGAACCTGAGAATGCTGTTCTGTAACTTGTTTAAAAGCACATTAAACGTATAATGCTTGCTTAATTACTCAAAGGGCATTACAGGTGAGTAACTCTTTGCAAAATACTTTCTGCATGCTTACATTTTATTTTGTCCTTATTTCGGCATGCCCCATTCCTAATGTAAAATTCTAATTTTAACATTTCTTCCATTTGATTGTTATGTAATATAGTCTTAGCCTTTATTGTATCTCCCATAAAAGATAGTGATGTGTCTCGTGTTTTACCCTGAGTGCGGTGCACTCTCTGGAGCTGGTATCAGCGTGTGGGCGGTTAACGCTGCAGTTGGAGAGAAGGCCTTATCTACTCACACAAGATGGACGGGAGCTCTATCAGCTTTTTAGTGTGGTTTTGGTGACGTCTCATCTATTTAAGTACACATGTACATGGAAGCAGGGCGTCCAAATTTTTGTAGTGGGAAAACATTGAAAAACCATACAGTTGTGTGCAGACCAACTGATGCGTAATTAAGGACAGGGCCAGACTGAGGTCAGATGAAATGGGACAAGTTTGTCAGATTGGGGAGGGGCTTTTCGCTTACCAACTTAGTGACTCAGTGGCTGTACAATGTACTAGTTTAAGGGGTATCCTGCCCTATGATGCTATTGGACCCTCGGGCTGTCTGTCCTCTGGCTAATGTAGCCCCACTTTACTGTTCTGCTGACTCTACCAATACCCATTGTGTGTGAACCTGAGCTACTGAAGTGTCTAACATGAGATAATGGCTTTGAAACATGCAACATCATCACAAAACACATTCAGGCCTCACTTTTGAGACCAATTTAGCATTTGCCAATGCTACATTCAAGCCAAGGCTAAGAGCACTTCTATTCCATGTCTGCCTGTTGTTGACCTTGAATTACCAGTCAATATTTCTCTTCTGCTTCGCCGGAAGGGTGGAGGTTTACAAAGAATGTTGGTTCAGACCATACAGTTTAGCAACATAAATCATGTATGAAGGAGTAAAAAAAAAAACATTCCTAATTTTTCATACTTGGTTATGCTGTTATCTGGACAGGAGCTCAGAGTATCATTGGTTACAAGCTGACTGCAGTGATTTCTTTGTGGAGAAATGCCTGATGACTGTTCACGTGTGTGTGGAATTTCCACCCCTCGCCCCTCCACTGTTTCAGCTGTGGGCCTCCTATGACAGGATGAGGGGGGTGTTTGCCCAAATAACATTCATTTCTGAATGCTTATACAGTCTTTTTCAATGCACTTAAATATATTATTTACTCATTACCACCTCTCCCCAAAGGAAATTGCATTAGCTATGTCGAATAAGTTGGGGAAGTTTATAAGGACAGTGGGACTAAAGACAAAAACTGGCTACATAGCTACAATCTTGTAGCTATATGCAGCTCCTGTCGTTCATGAATACGTACTGTCCCATCCAAATAAACAAGTTAAAGGGATCTGGTTCAACCAATCCCTTTTCAGAACATGTTCAAATGGATATTATTTTGTTCAGTGGATTTCTGTTCATGTTCTAAAACAGATTGATTGGTTTATTGTTAGTTACAGTAAACTGAGTGAAAAAGTAACTAAGTACCAGTCAGTGACAGTGTACTGTACAAGAAAAGCACATACGCACCTTCCATGACATGCACAGGCCAAAATGCAGAATGTCCCAACTTACTACCCTGCTAGGGTAGTATGTTGACAGATGAGACTGATGAAATATCCTATGAATCTGTGTGAAATTAGTGCGGCTGTGAACGCCACGAGTCCCCACTCTGTCTGTATGTTTAGTCTAAAAATACTTGAATATTGTAAGCTCAATACCGCAATAATGTGCTGGCAACTAATGATGTAGGCACATCTTTAAGCATGTTATTCTGCGTCAGTGACGGTAACGATGACTTGAAGATTACTCAATAGCAAAATAACACTATTTACACCCCTAATATTAAATGGCGCTTACTCCAACACTGATTCATAATATTATCTTTGTAGTTATATTCTTCTTCTTATATTCCCACTGAGAATAATATAAGTAATATTCACAAACAAAATGTGGAATGGTAAATCATCAGGCTGTCACTATGTTTTCAGAAAATGGATGCATCAGGAAAAGTTCTGGAGACGGCTGAAGACATCCAGGAGCGTCGGCAGCAGGTGCTCGACCGCTACCGGCGCTTCAAGGAGCTGTCAATTGTGCGTCGGCAAAAGCTAGAGGACTCCTACCGCTTCCAGTTCTTCCGCCGAGATGCTGATGAACTGGAGAAATGGATCCAGGAAAAACTACAAATTGCATCTGATGAAAACTACAAAGACCCATCGAACTTGCAGGTTAGTTGGTTAATGCATTAAGCCTCTGTACATACATTATATTTCCTACATACAGTGGGGCTTTTGCTGATTATGCTGATTATGCAAGCTTTCCCATTTTTAAAAGATGAGACGGGTCCTTAATTTTCATCATACGTACACTTCAACTGTAGCTAACTGAATGTGAAAACAAAATCCAGGAAATTGCATTGAATGAAATAAAAGTGATAGTCTGGAATTCCAAATGAATTACAAATTTTAAGAATTGTATTCAATTGACTTCCTGGCCTTAAATGTTGATATAAAATACGTAATTTTATGAATTATAATAATATGGGAAAGTCCCACCTTCCCTTATCTTAGCTATAGCTCAAAATCCACAATGCCGTCCACGTTAACCATTCAAGTGATGCCATTGAGCAGCCATTGATCAACACTCAGCTCAAGAGCAGACGATACCCATTTCACACTTCCCTTCTAGTTACGATAACTCCATTGTGCATGGAAAAGTAAGCGCAGCTTTGAGACCAATCAGAAAGGAAGGGGGAGGGAGCTTGGGTCGTTTTTTTTTTTTTTTTCAAATCATGTATCTCTCTTTTTTCTGACAAAGTCCAGACTATCACTTTAAGGGCTAGAAAGATGATCCCGTTAAGCTTTTGTGTTCATTTCTTGCGTTAATTGTGTGAATTAAGGCGTGATTCACTGTCTGAGCAGTTTTGGATCATTGTCATGCTGAAAGACCCTGCCGGGTTTTATGAAGGTTTTTGTCCAAACATCTCACAATACATGAGACTTGTCACCCCTTTCTTAAAACAGATCAGTTGTCCAATCCTCTTTCAAGAAAATAGCCCCAAACCATGTTTCCACCCCCATGTTTCACAATGGGTATGGTGTTCTTGGGATGCAACTCAGTATTCTCCACCCTAGACAACCGGAGTTCTGACCATGTGATATACTGGGCCTGGACCCTTTGGCTGTGTTAATGAAAAGTCATCTATATATGTATTTGAACTGATAAAAATTGAAATGAACCTGCTACTGGTACTGGCAGACCATACAATTCAATGCCAAAATATTTTTTATGGAAAATATTACCTCGATTTGTTACATAAAGCAGGAGACCCGTGAATACTCATTACTAACCATTGTGCTTGTTTTGTACTTAGGGTAAACTGCAGAAGCATCAAGCCTTTGAAGCGGAGGTTCAGGCCAATGCTGGGGCCATTATCAAACTGGACGACACTGGAAGTCTAATGATCAATGAAGGGCACTTTTCTTCTGAGACAATTCGAGTAAGAATCTGATTAACATTGGATTTGTATTATCCAACATTCATACAATTATGCAGAGATTACCATAAATGTTATAATGTTTTCAATGCTATCTTTACTGTTAACGCATTTGATGTGATTTAGTCCTACACGCCTTACCGGACACAACAAATACCCATAGTAATAAGTCACAATATGGCTGAGTATATTAAAGTAGGTTCTCTCTTGAGTGCTGTGAATTGGCCTTTTTAAATCTTGTTTTTTCTAAACTTGAAGATTTCTTAATTATCTATTTGTATAATGTAAACTTCAGTTTCTAAACTTAATTTTCAAAGCACTTAGATTTGACCTACTTTATGATGTTACAATTGATTTTATTTGTAAACATATTTTTTCCAGACTCGTCTTGAAGAACTCCATCGCCTTTGGGACCTTCTTTTGCAAAAAACGAAGGAAAAGGGAATGCGGCTCCTTCAGGCTCAGAAACTCGTTCAGTATTTACGTGAATGTGAAGATGCTCTTGACTGGATCAGTGATAAGGTCTGTGATTCAAACATGCTTTGTGTTTTTAGATGCAATCCAGTTAAATTAAATAGTATTTTCAGTACTGTTATTTGTATAAGAAAAGCCATCCATCCATCCATTTTCTACCCTTTAATCCATTTCTGGGTCAGGGGGGTGGCAGTCAGAGATGCCACCCAAGTCTCATAGCACCAGCCCCTCACTGACCCTCTGCAGGTGGTGAGTCCACAGGAGGACGGCTGCTCTCTGAGTGTGAGCATAGCCTTGATCTTTCAGTGGGGGCTTTGGGCAAAGTGGGGTTAAGTGTCTTGCCCAAGGACACAACGACAGCAGTCATCAGTGCGAGTCGATGGAGAAGGTGCAGAGGTGGGAATTGAACCCACAACCTTCTGGCCTTAAGGCCAATGCTCTACCAACTGAGCTACTGTCGCCCCTTGTATAAGAAAAAAAAGCAAATAATAATAATCAACATACATTTTTTGTTTTGTTTTGATTATTATGAATAATAATAATCAAAACAAAAAAATGTATAATATCCAGATGTGTGATTCCCTTCATCTGTTGTTGTTTGTAGTAGGAGGCATCCTACCTGGTCACAGCTTATGGTTAACACATTACTTGATTAATCAAAGATAATATTTGATACATTACCCTAGATCTCCCTCATCTTAAGAGCGCTGCGTATCACGGGGCTGATAAGTGATTTCAGGACAAATGGGAATCCAAACTTTGAGTTATTCTTTGTCTTCCAACATGTAAATGTAGTCACTGAATAGTTGTGTATGTACCATGTAGGAGACCATTGTCACCTCTGAAGAGCTGGGTCAGGACCTGGAGCATGTGGAGCTTCTACAGAAGAAGTTTGAGGAGTTTCAGACTGACTTAGCGGCTCATGAAGAACGAGTCAATGAAGTCAATCAATTGGCGGCAAAACTGATCCAGGAGTCCCATCCAGAGGTCGAACTCATTGTCCGCAAACAAGACGAGGTGAATGCTGCTTGGCAGCGCCTGAAAGGTCTTGCTCAACAGAGACAAGGAAAGCTGTTTGGAGCTGCTGAAGTTCAGAGATTCAACAGGTAAATACTGACAACCTGATTTCTTAGTCATTGTTTTATGGTACAAATTGATGATGCGTGAACCACACACAGAGATGTAGATGAGACCATCAGCTGGATCAAAGAAAAAGAGCAGCTTATGGCTTCTGATGACTTTGGACGTGATCTGGCGAGTGTGCAAGCTCTCCTCCGCAAGCATGAAGGACTGGAGAGAGATTTGGCTGCTCTGGAAGACAAGGTATTTGCTGCATTTCTTACTTTATATGAATCTTGTGTCTTATGCTTTTGAGATTTCACTGGATATCCTCTCTTTTTCAGGTCAATACACTTGGTGGTGATGTGGAGCGGCTGCAGCAGACACATCCCCAAAATGCCTCCCAGATTCACCTGAAGAAAGATGAACTTGTGACAAACTGGGAGCAGATACGCACTCTTGCTGCTGAGCGCCATGCTCGCCTTGATGACTCCTACGGGTAGTTTTGGCGTTGCTGTATTATGCTTGGTTTTTATCACTGGCCCATAGTGTTGAATAATTAACATGTGTATGAATGCACACTGTAGGCTCCAGCGTTTCACTGCAGACTTTCGAGATCTGACCAGTTGGGTGACTGAGATGAAAGCCCTGATCAATGCCGATGAACTTGCTAATGATGTGGCTGGAGCTGAAGCATTGTTGGACCGCCACCAAGAACATAAGGTACATATTTTAGCAAGCTAAAAATGAACAAATCCTTACAAATAACATTTGTTGACAGGGAGAAATTGATGCTCACGAGGATAGCTTCAGAACAACTGATGAAGCTGGCAAAGCTTTACTCAATTCAGGCCACTATGCCTCTGATGAGGTTAAAGAAAAGGTACAAATCAATGCTTTTAAAGTTTTTTAGCTTTTGTCTCACGTGGCTATTGCTTGTGGCTAATGCTTTTGCAGTTAACTATCCTGACTGAAGAGAAAAACTCTCTGCTTGAGCTGTGGGAGCTTCGTCGGCAGCAGTATGAGCAGTGCATGGACCTGCAGCTGTTCTACAGAGACACAGAGCAGGTGGACAACTGGATGAGCAAGCAAGAGGTGAGGGCTCCTCTGCAAGACCTGTAACACAGGTTGGATAAAAGGTGTTCCTTAATTTAATCTCTCGGTTTTAGGCATTCCTTCTAAATGAAGACCTTGGAGATTCTTTGGACAGCGTTGAAGCACTGCTCAAGAAACATGAGGACTTTGAGAAGTCTCTGAGTGCTCAGGAAGAGAAGATTACTGTATGTTGTGCTCACTCAATATGTCAACCTGTAGTTTGACAACATTAAATTAAACAATGGATTACTTTTCTTCCAGGCCCTTGATGAATTTGCCACCAAACTTATCCAGAACAATCACTATGCCAAGGATGACGTGGCTACCCGTAGAGATGCTGTAAGTAAAAAGTTCCTTTTACCATTGCATAATTTCCATTTGTTGTATGAAATATGAAGATAACAAAAATAATGGATTTAATGTGATCTTTATTAAAACACCCTAATTTACTTATAGCTGCTTAGCCGCCGCAATGCGCTCCATGCTCGAGCTCAATCTCGACGGGCTGCGCTGGAGGATTCCTTCCACCTGCAACAGTTCTTCAGGGACTCTGATGAACTTAAAAGTTGGATCAATGAGAAAATGAAAACTGCTACTGATGAAGCCTACAAGGTTGGTGGCTTAATAGTTTTCTAGGTCCGTTTTGATGCCTTTCTTGTTACTTTCCTCATTTGTGTTTTGCTTTATCAGGATCCATCAAACCTTCAGGGCAAAGTGCAGAAACACCAGGCCTTTGAGGCGGAACTTTCAGCCAACCAGAGCCGCATTGATGCACTGCAGAAGTCCGGCCAGGAGCTGCTGGACGGAAAACACTATGCCTCCGCCGAGGCGGCCGGACGCATGGAGGAGGTCAGCTCCCAGTGGAAGAAACTGCTTGAGGCCACGGAGCTCAAAGGTGAGGCTACACACAAAATGAATTGGAATCCTGTCATCACATAAAAGGGGAAATGGAACAAATATCCTGTAATATGTTTTTTGCAGGTATTAAGCTTCGTGAGGCCAATCAGCAGCAGCAATTTAACAGAAACGTTGAGGACATTGAGTTGTGGCTTTATGAGGTGGAGGGACACCTTGCCTCCGATGACTATGGTAAAGACCTGACCAGTGTTCAAAACTTACAGAAGAAACATGCTCTTTTGGAGGCTGATGTAGCTGCCCATCAGGTACAAATCAATTCTTATTTGTATTTTCATTTTTTCCCCATAATTCTATAATAACACACATCTTTGTTCTGTTTCATCTCTAGGATCGTATCGATGGTATAACCATCCAGGCTCGTCAGTTTCAGGAAGCTGGGCACTTTGATGCAGAAAATATTCGTAAAAAACAGGAGGCTTTGGTTAATCGCTATGATGCCCTGCGTGAGCCTATGGCGGCCCGAAAACAGAAACTCTCCGACTCCCTTCGTCTGCAGCAGCTGTTCAGGGACGTGGAGGATGAAGAGACTTGGATTCGTGAAAAAGAGCCCATTGCTGCTTCTACTAATCGTGGTAAATGCTGTACAATTTAACACACCAACTAAATTGTCAACTACAAGGAGTTTTTTTTAAGATACATTAGTGGATAACTAATGCTCTAGGTGTTATTTTTTTGTACAGGTAAAGACCTGATTGGTGTTCAGAATCTACTGAAAAAGCACCAGGCTCTGCAGGCTGAGATCACTGGCCATGAACCTCGCATTAAGGCCGTCAGCCAGAAAGGAGAGGCCATGGTGGAGGAAGGTATGGCTATACCATTAGGACTACGTCGTTGTCCATTTACTAATGATTTCATTTTGTTTAAAGGCCATTTTGCTGGTGAGGAGGTGAGAGTCAAGTTGACAGAACTTCACGGACGCTGGGATACGCTAAAAGCCAAAGCTTCTCAGCGTAGACAAGATCTGGAGGACTCCTTGCAAGCCCAACAGTACTTTGCTGATGCCAACGAGGCAGAGTCCTGGATGAGAGAGAAGGAGCCAATTGTGGGCAGCCCAGACTATGGAAAAGATGAAGACTCTGCAGAGGTACAAACACACTGAGATGATTCTGAAGGCATGAGATAATAATAAATGATAATGGTCTGCAAATATATACTGTTTTATGTGAAACTAAACTGTGAACCTTTCACAGGCTCTTTTGAAGAAGCATGAAGCCCTGATGTCTGACTTGAGTGCCTATGGCAGCAGCATACAGGCCCTTAAGGAACAGGCACAGTCTTGCCGGGTATTTGTTTGTATTCACACATATGTTTATTATGCCTTACCCAAATGTTCATATTTTTATATGAGGTGCTATTGTGCAGCAACAAGTCGCTCCAACTGACGATGAGACTGGCAAAGAGCTGGTTCTGGCTCTGTACGACTACCAGGAGAAGAGTCCGCGTGAAGTTACAATGAAAAAAGGGGACATCCTTACTCTGCTCAACAGCACCAACAAGGTCCAGACCACATAATGGTGGACTTTGCTTCAAGTATGACAGTCGAGTAAAACCCCTTTTATGTTTTGCAGGACTGGTGGAAGGTGGAAGTTAATGATCGTCAAGGCTTTGTTCCTGCTGCTTATGTTAAAAAGTTGGACCCAACACAGTCTTCCTCACGGGAGAACTTGCTGGATGAACATGGAAGCATTGCGCTTCGCCAGGAACAGATTGAGAACCAGTAAGAATTTTCATTCCAAATTGTCTGTATGTTTTAACCTCCCACACCTTATTCTGCCCTGTTGACCACTAATCTCTAACAACCAGCACACTAATGATCTTGCCCTCACCCCTTCTCTCTGTCTCTCACTATTCTTAACTAAATCTGAACCTGGCTCGCTGTGCCTTGACCTTGCCTTGTGCAGACTGGTCACCAAGGAAGCCTGCAGCGTGTCTGTGCGCATGAAGCAGGTGGAAGAGCTGTGAGTAGCAGCTAGGCTTTCTCTGCGTGTTGTGATTGTCCTCAGACTCCATTTGCTCTGTCCACATTGCCCACTTCTATTCAGCAAACGAATAGAAGCCACCACTGTGTACCTTTTTTATTCATCCGTTTTCCCAGGCTTTCCCATAGATCGTTCATATTTGGGTTACAAAGTATATCTGCAGTAACAGTATCCACTGTAAAATTATATTAACAGTGTCTGTGGCAGAATGGTATTGTTGTACTGTATAGCTCATGTAGTAGTGGCGTTTGTTATTTTTGAAGATCGCTTTGCGTCTGTTTGGTTTTCAATAGACATTGAAAACAAAGCTCTTTTGTTCTTGTCATTGTTTTGCTCAATTCTTTGTGGCTTGTACACTGCATTCTAAAAAGTAAATCCAGACTTTTTACATGTTTAAGCTTTAGACCTCATAAACCATCCCGACTTCTATACCAGCCCTCAAATACAGCATGCACACAACTCCTATGTGTTTTTGATATCTGACTGTCCCTGTCGACAGGTACGGCACCTTGCAAGAGCTGGGAGATAAGCGTAAAGATATGTTGGAGAAGAGTTGCAAGAAGTTCATGTTGTTCCGAGAGGCAAACGAGCTGCAGCAGTGGATCAACGAGAAGGAGAGCGCGCTGACGAGCGAGGAGGTGGGCTCTGACCTCGAGCAGGTGGAAGTCCTCCAGAAGAAGTTTGACGATTTCCAGAAGGTAATGCTTTGTTAGTTTTTAATCTCTGTGAGTAGTTGTCAAACAAATATTCAGGCTTCGTGACAATTAAATCTCATAACCCTTACTTTATGACATTGTGAAGCTTGAATCATATTTAATAGTTTAATTGTTTTTTCTTCATACCTAATTAGGACTGTTAATGAATAATTAATAATCGGAATCACATACTTTTAAGAATTTTATACATGTACACTTCAAAAATATGGCTTTGCATTAGACATTATCTTAGTAACTTGTTTTACCATTTTCTTAGAATCTAAATCTAAAAGCATTACAATTTCAGGATCTGAAGGCAAACGAGTCCCGACTTCGAGACATCAACAAAGTGGCCTCTGAGCTGGAGTCTGAAGGGCTCATGGCTGAAGAAGCTCCAATGGTTCAAGCTCAGGTGAGATGCAAATGGAAACTTTTAAAAAAGTGTTTTGTTTTTTTGACTCTGTTGTTTTTATGACATAAACAGCAGCAGGAACTTCTTGGTGCTGCTCCTGGAAAGGTAAGGTTAAGTTGAAACATATGATAATGAAAGTTAATTTTCTTTGCATTTGATTTCATGATAAATCTGTTTTTATCTCGACAGGACGAAGCCGATTCAAAGACAGCCTCCCCATGGAAGGTAGACATCTTGCTTTATTAACCCTAACCCTAACTTTAAGGGTGTAACACTTTAGTTTTTCTTAGTAATTTAACAATTGTTCAGATGGAAGACATTATGTTTAAACATTTATGTTGTTATAATTTAAGGTGCAGTTGTACTAATGATCTTTATTAACATTCTTGACTGGTCTGGTGTTTTTGCCCCTTCTTCCTTCTCTATTTGCTGTTGTTTTTTCATCTTTAAATAGAATATTCGCTTAGCTGTTCAAACAACGGCCAACTTTAATACCATCAAGGTAAGACTGATGAGCCTGCCCCACTCACTTTGGAATGTTCCTCATGTCCCCTCTCGTCACCGTTCGTCTAAGTGCTGCTCGACTCTCCCACCCCAATCCGTCCCTTTTTGCATCCAATAGTTAAAGTTTGTTTTGTCCTGAATTAGAATGTTGTCCCCCACCTTTTTAGTGTTTTGTTTCTGTAGTGCATTATTTAACTCTTTCTGTCTTCGTGAAATGATCTAATAAACATGTGTATTTCAATTCAACTTTAAACGTAGTACATTTTCCCATATTTTTTAAACAACTCAATCTTTGTTTTCTGTGTTAATTGTGTGTGTGTGTTATTTTTCAGGAGTTAAACAATCGCTGGAGGTCTCTGCAGCAGCTGGCTGAGGAGCGGAGCAACATGCTGGGAAGTGCACATGAAGTGCAGCGCTTCCACAGGTGCACATTTACAACATATCAAAATTCAGGCTTTCATAGAAGGCATCATTGAAGATAACTTTTATTTCAGAGATGCTGATGAAACAAAAGAATGGATTGAAGAAAAAAACCAGGCCCTGAATACCGATAACTATGGACATGATTTGGCGAGTGTCCAGGCTCTGCAGCGTAAACACGAAGGCTTTGAAAGAGATCTGGCAGCGCTTGGTGACAAAGTGAGATAACATTTTAAGACTTCCAGTGCGTCCAAAGCTTGTTCTCGGTGTAACTGGTCTCGTGTTTAGGTGAACTCCCTCGGAGAAACGGCAGAGCGGCTCATCCAGTCTCATCCAGAAGCTGTGGACGATATTAAGGAGAAGTGCACAGAGCTGAACACAGCCTGGAGCAGTCTGGTGGGACGCGCTGACCAGCGCAAAGACAAACTCGGCAACTCGCACGACCTGCAGCGCTTTTTGTCTGACTTCAGGTGAGTTTGGGATAAATATTTGCATATTTCACATATAAATGCAATCATGTAACATGCTGTTCTTATTCAGAGATCTGATGTCCTGGATCAACGGCATCCGAGGCCTGGTGTCCTCAGAGGAACTGGCCAAAGATGTGACTGGAGCTGAGGCCCTTCTAGAAAGGCACCAGGTAATAGTTCATCTCAAGGTTTGAGCTGTTGATTTTATCCAGATGAGTGTTAAATTATATTTTGTCTTTTATCAGGAACACCGCACTGAGATAGATGCACGTGCTGGAACCTTCCAGGCGTTTGAACAGTTTGGTCAGCAGCTCCTGGCCCGCGGTCACTACGCCAGCCCTGAGATCCAGCAGAAACTTGAGGCTCTGGATCGCGAACGCGCAGACCTGGAGAAGGCCTGGGTGCAGCGTCGCATGATGCTAGACCAGTGTCTGGAGCTTCAGGTGTGTAAGAATGATTTAACTTTGTTTTTTTTTTTATGAATATGATTTCTGATGGTGTGTTCTCCACCACAGCTGTTCAACAGGGACTGTGAGCAGGCAGAGAATTGGATGGCGGCCCGTGAAGCCTTCCTGGCCAGTGATGACAAGGGAGACTCTTTGGACAGTGTAGAAGCTCTCATCAAAAAGCATGAAGACTTTGACAAGGCCATCAATGTGCAGGTAACATGTTTGTGGATATTGTACATTTTATTAGTTAAAGACTATATTGATTTCATTTTATCATTACTGCAGGAAGAGAAGATTGCAGCATTGCAGTCTTTCGCTGACCAGTTGGTTGGTGCTGACCATTATGCGAAACCAGAGATTTTCGCTCGTCGCAATGAAGTGCTTGACAGGTACGAGACTTTACTAAACATAGAAAGACATGGTTTACGCAGCTGTCACTCACAACTATCCCCTCTGTCTGTAAAGGTGGCGCCGCCTGAAGGCGCAGATGATAGAGAAGCGTTCTAAGCTCGGAGAGTCGCAGACTCTGCAGCAGTTCAGCAGAGACGTGGATGAGATCGAGGCGTGGATCAGCGAGAAGCTTCAAACAGCAACAGATGAGTCGTACAAGGATCCAACCAACATTCAGGTATTGGATTTAACTCAACAGAATTGTTCATTCTTATAACATAAATGCTAATACCTCCTGACTTTGTTGCATTTACATTTAATAACTGCAATTCCCTGCTGTGTGTTAAAAGAAACTGAATTTTCCTCCCACTGTCTTATTTTTTGTTTTTAGCTGTCCAAGCTGCTGGTAAGTTTGCGTAGTGTGGTAACTAACAACCAAGCGGATATCCTCCATATGTCTGTCTGCCTTTTTGTAGCCACCTTTTGTTGTAGAAAAAGCAGTTGGCTTTCTTGGCAAGCTTCTTTTACACTTTGATTTAATTTGTTGTTTATTTCCAATAGTAATTAGCCGTGACCTCCACTTTTTCCATCACATTTGAACCTGTCATGTTTAAAGTTGCTATAAATCCAAAAACCTTGAATACATTGGACTGTAAAGGCCTCTATAGATGACGGCTGCCATGAACTAAATTGGCTGCGATCGGATCTTTTAGATTCTGCAATCCGTCTGCTTCGCGCTTGCGCTGCCAACCACAAACACATGAATGGCATTTGGATTGGTCCACAGAAGCCTAAACCTCATTATTTAAAAGCAACTTTGCAGTGACCATTCCATGTATCTTTAATTGAGTTATTGTCCTCTACGATCATTTTATGCTCATGTTTGTCTTGTATATCATTGTCTATATTTGTTTTTATTGTTTGTGTCGAGTCTTTGTACCTAAACATAGATTGTACTAACTTCCCTTTTTAATTTCACCTTCACATTTTTCTGTTTCTTGTGGTGAGGACAAGCGCCACGTTTCTTTCCATCAAAATATCTTGAGTTGACTTTAAGCTGAAACGTGTGTGCTGTCCAGAGTAAGCATCAGAAGCACCAGGCCTTTGAGGCAGAGCTGCACGCCAACGCTGACCGCATCCGTGGAGTCATCGACACGGGGAACGCGCTGATCCAGAGAGGCGCCTGTGCCGGCAGTGAGGACGCCGTCAAGGTACGCCATTGAACACTCTACAGTTCTAAAGTTTATCTCAACATAACTCCATTGATGCATTCTTTCAGGTCAGACTCAATGCGCTCGATGAACAGTGGCAGTTCCTGGTGAACAAATCAGCAGAGAAAAGTCAGAAACTGAAGGAGGCCAATAAGCAGCAGAACTTCAACACTGGGATCAAGGACTTTGACTTCTGGCTTTCTGAAGTAAGGGAGAAAATATTCTACTGTCAAGAAATGATCAATATTGAATTCATCCTATTGTAAATTTAGGTGGAGGCTCTTCTTGCATCTGAGGATTATGGCAAAGATCTGGCCTCTGTCAACAACCTGCTTAAGAAACACCAGCTGTTGGAAGCTGACATTTCTGCTCATGAGGTTGGTCATTTGTATAACATTGTTTTTGTTTATTCAAAAATGTATATATCGCTTCTGTAATTGCCGTACTACTAGCTGCTACTTTTTTCAAGTTCTTTAAACTCTGGAGCCCATATAGCGATGTGTCCAATGTATTTATTCTTTATTGTGGCAGAGAGAGTTGGCATGAGGAAATGCACAAAATACAATAAACTTGTTTTTATGTGATTAGGAGTGTTGTCAGAGCAGAGTTAATGGACCTATTATTGTGACTCCATCCAGCTATAGCACACACATATAAGTGTTTGAAAGGAAGTTTTTTTTTAAAGTACAGTACTTGCTGGACTATTAGAGTTTGGATTTTTACTGTTTACTCTTAAGGCACCAGAATTTTTTTTTTTATTCAATGTTAAATGGACAAAAGTTAGAACCCTGAAACGTATAAAGAAATGGAGAACTACTTAAAATCAAAAAACAAAAAAGATAAAAGAAAAAAAATTGACAAAAATTTCAATGTTTGTGGGAAACCAGCTGTATAGAAAGTATCCCGAGCAATTCTCCTACTTCAGATTCAGTTTATTTGCCATTTGCAGTAAAAAAAAAAGAGAGAAGGTCCTTTATTCGTCCCACAATGGGGAAATTTCAGTTTGATGCATACACATATAGTACATACAAATACATATACACTTTAAGGCATGCAGCGAACATCATATCCGCGCTCCTTATAGGCTAAGTGGGTTAAGTGTCTTGCCCAAGGACAAAACAACAGCAGGCATCAGTGGGAGTCGGTGGAGAAGGTCCCTTGGTGGGCTCGAACCCACGACCTTTGGGCCCAAAGGCCAATGCTCTGCCAACTGAGCTACTGTCGCCCACATTGGAATACATTAGCAAAAAGTCTCCAGTGTGCACAGACAAATACAGACATAAAACATAATTAAAAGACAGAAATAAAACAGTAAACAAATGTCACTGTGAAATCGATCGACTAAAACAGTTTCAAAACAAGTGCAAATCATTAAAGTGCTCTGTTCACACTGATAACAGCCTGTGGATAAAAACTGTTAGCGTGACGAGATGTCCTGCATCTCAGAGAGCGATATCTTCTGCCAGAGGGAAGAAGCTGGAACATGGCTTTCCCAGGGTGGCCAGAAGAGTCATTGACAATCCTAAGAGTTTGTTTAAAAGTCTGGATTTATAAAGAACCTCCAGAACAGGAAGCTCACAGCCCACGGTCCTCTTTGCAGAGCGGAGCATCTTGTTTAAAGCTCTCTTTTCTTTATCTGTGATGTTTCCAAACCACACAGACACAGAACCAACAAGCAAACTCTCAATGGTGCAGCGATAAAAGTTAAGCAGAATCTTAGAGTTAGTGGTAAATTCTTTACGTTTACGCAGAAAGTAGAGACGCTGACGAGCTTTCTTAACGACCCGGTCAGTGTTTTTAACCCATTTCAGGTCGTTAGACAGAGTTAAACCCAGAAACTTGCACTCCTCTACGATCTGCACCTGGGAGTTGTCGATTACGACAGGCAAATGAGAACTATTGCGACTGAGTCTGAACTTTGGCGCCTAAGAAGTTATTCCTATTTCTAAAATGTGTACATTATAAGTCTATTACTATAATATTTTTGAGTTTTGCTGCAGCCATCTAATTGCTTTATGTCTTTTATTATTGTCCCATTATTTGTAAAGAGAACATTGAGCCATATTTCTTTTCTCTCCTTGTTGTAGGATCGCCTCAAAGACCTGAACGGGCAGGCTGACGGCTTGATGGCCAGCAATGCATTTGACACATCGCAGGTGAAAGACAAACGCGACGCCGTAAATGGCCGCTTCACCAAGATCAAGAACATGGCTGCTGGTCGCCGGGCCAAACTCAACGAGTCCCATCGCTTACATCAGTTCTTCAGGGACTTGGATGATGAAGAGTCTTGGATCAAGTAAGGACACTGTGTGGACATGAGAGCAGATCATTTAAAGATACCATATTACCCATCATTTAAATCAACCAATTGAATCTGTTTTTTGTTCACTTGCAGGGAAAAGAAGTTGCTTGTAAGTTCGGAGGACTATGGACGTGATTTGACTGGAGTACAGAATTTGAGGAAGAAACACAAGAGGCTCGAGGCAGAGCTTGGAGCCCATGAGCCGGCTATTCAGGTGGGATTTCTTTATCTACATCCTCAATCAAAGAGTCGGAGCTTGAGTTTACACTGTAATGATTAAAATGTCTTTGGTTCCTGCAGTCTGTGCTGGATACAGGGAAAAAGCTCTCCGACGACAACACAATAGGCCAGGAGGAGATTCAGCAGAGGCTTGCCCAGTTTGTCGATCACTGGAAGGAACTTAAGGACTTGTCTGGTGCTCGGTATGTGTCAGGGTTTTTCTTTTAAGTTACTGTATGATTAGTGGAAGTCTGTTGGTTGACCTCAGGGCACATGTGGCTAAAGATGAGCCCATGGAAAAGCACTCATAATGCTAATGTATTGTTATGTCCAGGGGAAAGATGCTGGAAGAATCATTGGAGTATCAGCAATTTGTTGCTAATGTGGAGGAGGAAGAGGCCTGGATTAATGAGAAGTTGAACCTTGTGGGAAGTGAGGATTACGGTGATACATTGGCAGCTGTGCAGGTACTTTTGCTCTCTGTTTGAACATAAGTAAAATATTCACTCCTGAAAATTACAGCATTTGGGTATTTTTGACAGGGCCTACTAAAAAAGCATGAAGCTTTTGAGACCGATTTTACAGTGCACAGGGACAGAGTTAATGATGTGTGCACCAACGGAGACGAGCTCATTAAGAAGGTACTCAACCATCAATACCAGAACACTTATTCCATTGTGATGTTCATTTCTGTTGCTTATTATTGCCAATATATTGTGAACAGAACAATCATCATGTCGAAAGCATTAGTGCAAAGATGTCTGCTCTCCGAGGGAAAGTGTCAGAGCTGGAGAGAGCAGCGGCTCAGAGGAAGGCAAAGTTGGATGAAAACTCTGCTTTCTTACAATTCAACTGGAAAGCTGACGTTGTGGAGTCCTGGATTGGTAAATAAAATGATAGACATAGATTTGAGTCTTTTTCTACAAGTACTCAGTCAATGTTTGTTTTCAGGTGAGAAGGAGAACAGCCTGAAGACAGACGACTATGGTCGAGACTTGTCCTCTGTGCAGACCCTGCTGACGAAGCAGGTAACTTCTGAGATTGTACAAGAAACTGATGAGATGAGATTCTTAGTCCTAACCTTTCATTTTGTAAACGTTCATGTTGTAGGAGACATTTGATGCTGGCCTCCAGGCTTTCCAACAAGAAGGCATTACTAACATCACAGTTCTCAAAGACCAGCTGTTGGCGGCAAAACACGTCCAGTCAAAGGCCATCGAGGCGCGTCATGCGGCGCTGATGAAGCGCTGGAACCAGCTACTGTCCAATTCTGCGGCTCGCAAGAAGAAACTGTTGGAAGCCCAGGAGCACTTCCGAAAGGTAAAGTAAATGGTTGAAGAAAAACACTCAAAACTAAAACCTCTTCATGCATGACTTTGTCACTGAATCTCTCCACTGTTGGACAAATAAAGGCTCTCATTTCCGTGGTCAGGTTGAAGATCTGTTCCTGACATTTGCAAAGAAGGCATCTGCTTTCAACAGCTGGTTTGAAAATGCAGAGGAAGACTTAACCGACCCAGTTCGGTGCAACTCTTTAGAGGAGATCCGGGCTCTGCGTGAAGCTCATGAGGCTTTCCGCTCCTCCCTCAGCTCTGCTCAGACGGACTTTAACCAACTAGCTGAGTTGGATCAGCAGATCAAGAGTTATCAAGTGATGTCCAACCCCTACACCTGGTTTACCATGGAGGCTCTTGAAGAAACTTGGAGAAACTTGCAAAAGATTATCAAGGTCTGCAAAATTATACAAGCACAATAATTTTCCTGTTCACTTCAGTTATTAAAATGTGACTGTGTGTTAATGTCTGAAAAATTGAAGGAGCGAGAGCTTGAGCTGCAGAAAGAACAAAGAAGGCAAGAGGAAAATGACAAGTTGCGACAGGAGTTTGCGCAGCACGCTAACGCTTTCCATCAATGGCTCCAGGAGACCAGGTAAAAGCATTCTTCTCAAAATGCATCATTAGATGTTTGTAAATTAAAAATTAATGATATATATTGTTAAAATAATATTTGTCTCCTTTTTTTTCTTTGTTTCCTTGATGCTTGGGATTACTTCGCCTCTCAGGACATATCTGCTGGATGGGTTATTATCACTTTTTTTCTTATTTGAGTTTGTATGTCTGCAAAACGTGCATCTAAAAAGACATCTTTTATATAGAAGGCTTTTGATTATTTGACTGAAATGTTTGAAATCTCTGATCCTTCTCTCTGAATAGCATCGCCTATCGGCGAGTTATCTGTGTCTATCAGTACCAGGTTTCTGATGATCTCTCTGGAAGGTCAATCTCTTTCAAGCCTTGGTTTGGTTTATCACTGCCTCAACCCACACGGCTTGATTTACCTCATGCACACAACTATACAGGCTTTTTTAATCTGTGCTTTACTAACGTTCACCAAACGTACAGCCAGATGTGTCCCCACTTTAATCACATGTAATAATGCCACACTTAACATTAATATATCAGTTGCAGTGTGCAGGTTCAGCACTTTGTCATGTGTGAATGTCCCTCATACTCAGGCAGTGTGTGTTGTAGCCTCAACCAGGACGATGCATAGTTACATATGTTAATGGAATGGATATAAAACAATTAAATGTACTCAAACAAAGTTTGGATATCGGTCCTCAGGAACGCTGTAGCATAACAACTTTCCATATCAAGCCTAAGTTTCCTTTTCTCACTAGATCTTGTATGGTGGAGGAGTCTGGTACTCTGGAGTCTCAGCTAGAAGCCACCAAGGTTTGGTTTCATTTAACGTGGTTCTAACTATTTTGATGCACTAGAAACTTATGAATTGTCATTTTTTTGTTTATAGCGTAAACACCAGGAAATTCGAGCTATGAGGAGCCAGCTGAAGAAAATTGAAGACTTAGGAGCAGCAATGGAAGAAGCGCTGATTTTGGACAACAAATACACAGAGCACAGTACAGTGGGACTGGCACAGCAGTGGGACCAACTGGACCAACTAGGAATGAGGATGCAACACAACCTGGAGCAGCAGATACAGGCCAGGTATGCACACAATGTGGTGTCAAATAATTCAACACAAATTGTATTGTGAAATCTGGTGTCTCTGAATTTAGGAACACAACAGGAGTGACAGAAGAGGCTTTGAAAGAGTTCAGCATGATGTTCAAGTAAGAAACATGTTATTGCCAATCTACTTTTGAACGCAGGAGTTCATATTGATTTATCTATATATTTTTACCCCCATCTACAGACACTTTGACAAGGAAAAGTCTGGAAGACTAAACCACCAGGAGTTTAAATCCTGTTTGAGGTCACTCGGTTACGATCTGCCAATGGTGGAAGAAGGAGAGCCAGATCCAGAGTTTGAGGCCATTCTTGACACTGTCGATCCCAACAGGTCTGCATTTATAATTAGTATAAACTGAATGTTGAAATATTTGCTAATATAAGTAACATTCCCACAGGGATGGAAATGTGTCTTTGCAAGAATACATGGCCTTTATGATAAGTCGTGAAACAGAAAACGTCAAATCCAGTGAGGAGATTGAAAGTGCCTTCAGAGCACTTAGTACAGAGAACAAACCTTACGTCACAAAGGAGGAACTTTATCAGGTGAGATGTGTATCCTGCAAAAGAATTCACTTTCAAAACTCAGTGATACAACTATCATTTCTTTCAGAATCTATCAAAGGAGCAAGCAGACTATTGCTTGTCACACATGAAACCGTACTTGGACAGCAAGGGTCGAGAGATGCCGTCAGCATTCGACTTTGTTGAATTTACCCGCTCACTTTTTGTCAACTGACCCGTTCCTCCCCCGGGACCAATCAAGATGCGTTTTTCTCACACACCCAAAGCTGAAACTGCATGAATATGGCACTCAGAATACTCATTCATATGACTTTATTCTATCGCTATGTGCTTCTAATATAGTAACTGTCTGTATTTGAACGTGAATGTTTAGCTGTTTAGCTTTTGCTTTCACTCGATGACTCTTTATGAACACCTTGACAACTGCAGTGTGCTTTTATTAAACGCCTCTGGTTAGAACTGGAAACATGTTTTGTGCAGTCATTTTATTCTACACACGTATGTACTGTACATTCAATGTGTCCATGTAGCAAATGTCATTCTGACACGTTTTTGGCTAGCTGCTCCAGCTGACCAATTTCTCTGGGGTCTTGCACTGTTAAATCATCATTCAGCTGCCATATGCTGATTGTGCCGTCCGTCTTCCCCACAGCCAAGAGATTACTGATCCGACGGTTAAATGCCAAACAAGTCGCAGCTTGACCTCTCCCGCCCATCTCAATGGTAGCAGCAGGTTTCAAGGATCCATATTCTAGATCAAAAATATGTACCTCACCTAGAGCAAAGGTGATCAAAGAATAATTATTTTGTCAAGTTTTAATTTTTGGAACTAACACATGGACATGATGCTTCCTTACAGTCTATGGATTAGCATCTATCGAACAACAAGGAATCCCATGTAGAAATGTATTAGAAGTGATTACCATAACTGGTTGCAGCAGCAAAGACCAGAGGTCTGTTTGGAGACCATTGGACCTGAAAGACGTTTGAGTCAGAGACTCTGACAGAAAGCACTGGACTGGTCTGGAGAAGAGAGTGGATGTGTGCAAGTCCATCTGCACCAGAACTTACAAACAGGTTTCTGAAATGATATGTAATTACTGCAATATTCTAGGTATGCAGAATAGCATAATTTGGGGAAATTTGGCAACAATACAATTTAACAATGTTTAGCTCTGGCCATTATAATTGTTAATACATGAAATAAATTATTTGCAGTTGTATTTAGAAAAGAGTACCTACCTATGGAAAGGGGAACAGTGTATGGTGAGAATAGGACCACGATGTTTTTTAAATGGAAAGACTGCAGGAGCTCTCAGTGTAAAACTCTGGCCCTCAGAAGGAACCATTGCGATCTTCTGAGATGAAAAAGAACATCTGAGGAGCAGGCCTCCCTCTGAACCTACCAAGAATGTGTCGGAATCATAGAAAGACCGAGCCAGAGCAGTGACCCCAATCTTACTACTGCCTCTAGTCTGACAAAAACATTGAGTAAGTGGAAGTGTTCTAAAGCATTGTACATGGTTTTTTCTCATTCTCACCTTGAGGCCAGCACTACTGCCATGTGGAACTTGTTGCAAATCCAAAGCATAGCCTGTGTTGAGGATGAGGCTGCTTTGTTCCAAGTTCCACAAGAGGACTCTGCCTCCAGAGCAAGCACTGAGTATCCCAAACTCACCCTTCTTCTGAAGTGGAACCCATGACACCTAGAGAGACAAACAGTTTTGAATATAAATGTCTGGCCCAGGATAACGTGTAGTGTAAAGTAATTTCCTCATAAATTGGCTCTCTATGGCTGTCCGTCGATATTCCAGTTTGGGCCAGTACAATATCTTGAGTGCAGCTGGTGTCCCAAACCAACACTTCTCCATCATAAAGACCACCTGAAAGCAAACAACACATTTACTTTCTGTTTAATACTCTGTATATGGTTATGAGGAAGTTGCATACACTGAAGGAATTATGTATAAACTTCTGTATCAAGGCAATACAAGTTTATTTGAATAGAACAGTTCATACACAAGGCATAAAAAGATAGAAACAATCAAGGCAATAAAATTATAATCACATCACTCTGAAATGCCATAGGGAGTCCCTCAGAGTCGGGTTGGTTCATACGGCACTAACATGTCACAGATGTACTTTGGTACGAGGCCATGGATAGACTTGTAAACAAGCAGAGCTGTATTTAAGTCCATGCTCTGAGCCACAGGAGCCAGTGCAGACTTGAGGACTGGACTAATGTGATTGTCATTGTACTTCCTGGTTCTAGTCAGGACTCGAGTTGCAATGATTTGAATATACTGCAACTGTTTGCTAGACCAGTGTGCAGGCCGTTTCAGATCAGTGGTTTTGGCCAATATCTTTAGTAATTGCACATGGCCACAATGCTGAGATAGGTCAGGCTTAAGAATTATTTAAATTTTCTTCTGAAAATTCAGTATACATACATACCATTATGGCTTTAGTCAAATATGTTGGGTATGCTTCCACTAGCTTCCCACAGTAGTTTATTGGCTGCAATTCCGGGTCATTACTCCAGACTGAGGCTTGTACAGCCACCGGAGATCCCATTTGGGCACTGTACAGTGGTAACCACCAGTTTAATGTTTTTTGTCTAGATGCCTTTCTACAGGATGTGCTGTTGTCAGATTAAATCAGGATTATACTTTTTGTCCCAAAAGAAAAACATTAAATATGGCTCAAAAATAACACTGTTGATCACCGTCAGTGCACTACCCATGTGTCAAATATGGTAGTGTCATGCAATAGGCAATGGGGCTGCTATTCTTCAGAAGGAGCAGGGAAGAGTGGAGTTGATCGAAAGGTGGATAGCGCAACGTACTTGAGTCAGCTGTGGTGGATGTTTTGGATCTTTGTTTGTCCTTTCCCCCATAATATTGGCTGCTTACCTGCTATGAGGGCTGGTTGGTCTGGGTGACAGCACAGAGCAGTAACTATTGTAGGGACATCAATAACCAGATCAGCCTGCGAGGGACTCAGGGTTTTTCTGTTGAGGTTCCATGTACAAACAAAAGACTTCTCCGTGGTCCATTCCCCATCATCAATCCTGAATGAAAAATTAACCATAAATTAATAATTTAAATTGTATTCACAAGGAAAAAAAAAATTCATTCATCTTATTGTAAAACAAGGGGAAAATTGTGGGTTATACCGGCCAAATCCACAGGCAATAACAGAACCAGTACAATTCCAAGACACACATGTGACATGTAGACCTCTCTCCTGGGCTTTGGGAAATGAAAGATTATGAACACGTGAAATCTGTAAATGCACATCACATAATGTCACTGTTAATCACTTTGTTTGGTAGAGCGTTATGTCACAGTAACCAATTGTTCACCAGTTTGTTATGATCGTCCCAGTTGACTTTAAAACCGTCAAATGCGTGACTTTTAGCATTTGTTACTAGCTCCAGGATGACCATATCCACCACTCGATCCAGAAATTGCTTTAATTCTGGTTTGTGCAGATCCTTGTTGTTTAGTTCGTATGTATGAGCGTGTTGGCCCTGGGACTCTGTTTGTGTGGAGCAGACGCTGCTGGTCACGGACTGCACCTCTGCGTCTGCACACGGGAGCGGCCTGGTCTGGCTGCTTGTCTAAACCAGACATGACACATATTACTGACACAAAGCGACATTAGAAACATCTTCACTAGAGCCACGTACCGAGACCTGTGCAGACTGTTGTGACCGTCGCCATAGTGACTGGACGCTGATTGAACCCACGGTGTCGTCGCTAAACATGCTAACGCTAACTCGCGCCTCCTCTTTAAAATGTACCCATCTATGTAATATGTATAGTCTATGGTACAGTCTATGAATCAAACACACTTGTGGCGGTAATAGCCCAGTAAAATCACAAACTCCCTGGTGCCAGAATCCAGGCTATTTCGTGTAATATATTAGTGGCCGCTTGCGACACGTCACAGGTGTCTTTGAGCCAATCACCGTCTCTCGTTGAAAATGGATCCTTTTTCATAACATTAAAGTTGGGGTACTCCAGCTTTTAATCATCATACATAACATGCAGTTGGTCTCAACAGAAAGAGTATTGTAAAAGTAAAATGCTGTCTTCGTCTTATTGGAAAATATTGTTTTGCACACACTGTATGATAAAAAATATATTAAATATTATCATTTGAATCGTGAGTACGGGTGGGTTGTGGGCCTCGCGTTGCTCCTTTCTGTCTGAAGCTGAAAAAATCAAATTGTCAAGACAGTCACAGACAAGACACGCCTCTCCCGCGCACTTTCCTGTGAGACAAATGCCACGCCTGTTCCCTGAAATAAAAAGTTCGCCACCACCCAACGTCCTCATTCTTGTGCGGAAAAATGGCCAATCCTCAAGTGTTCTTCCAAGTGGCTGTAGATGGCCGCCCTTTGGGCAAAATCGTGATGGAGCTCCGAGCGGACGTGGTGCCTAAAACTGCGGAGAACTTCCGCGCACTCTGCACTGGGGAAAAAGGCTTTGGATTTAAAGGCTCCAAGTTCCATCGGGTTATCCCAGGTTTTATGTGCCAGGGGGGTGATTTCACCAACCACAATGGAACCGGCGGGAAGTCCATCTACGGCAACAAGTTTGCAGACGAGAACTTCACTTTAAAGCACACCGGCCCAGGAATCCTGTCCATGGCCAACGCCGGACCCAACACCAATGGTTCGCAGTTTTTCCTGTGTACCGCCGAGACTGCGTGGTTGGACGGGAAACACGTGGTCTTCGGTTTAGTGGTGGAAGGCATGGATGTGGTCAGGAAGATCGAGTCTTATGGCAGCGACAGCGGAAAAACTAAAAAGGAAATTAAGATCACCGATTGTGGACAACTCTGAGTTCAGCACCCTGACTCTTACCAGGATCATACAATCCAAATGTTACCTACTGATGTCTTAGCGAAGTGAGTCATACCAAAATAAAGGTTTTATGAGCAGCAATGTGTATGAGCTTTTTCGGTCAGGATGCATGAATACAGTATTTGCTAATGCTTAAAAGAATAGAAGAAATCGTCTGAGATGAGATCACATACATAAGTTGTAGAATCGTGGAAGTGATACAAGTTTTGATTGTACAAAATATACGTTTGTAATGTGTGATTAAAACACACCAAAAAAAGAGTACATTTGGTTTATTTAAAGCAACAGGTACACTTAATTTAATAAACTGATGTTCTGAACAAAGAATGCGGACTCCATTCAGGACGCATCCAACAAAAAAAATCTCTAAAATGTATCAAACTGTTCAGCTGAACTATTTATAATCACCATTGGGATCTGATGAAGGAACCTTGGAAGGAAAAGAAAACACCCATGCGAGTGCCCATACCTGATGCCTCACCCAATCGGCAGTGTATAGTCACATAAATGTAACTTACATCTGAACCTGGAACTAGCCCTGACCACTAAAGTGTCACATGTAAAAACAAATGGTGGTTAAGGATGCTATGGTTAAATCATTACTGCTCCATGGCTTATTTATTGAACTCGACATCGTTAACAGAAAAAGTATTTTCATATCTTACATACAAATTGCTATTGTACGCATTTAAATCTACGCAGGTCACGTGCATTATGCTACAAAAAGTTCTTTTGCATGTCTTGAGACAATGAGTGAGGCTTAATAGAACAGGTTCCTCCCCACTGTCACTGTAGACCTGTGTAGATTGGTCTAACACAAGGTGGTATGGGCAGGCTGCAACTGCAGGGAATATGTTGGACAGTCTGACAACACACAGGAAAAAGTTGTTTATTTTACAAAACCTCCCCAAAACAAAATACTTTGCTCCCATAGTTAATAGGAGGGTTGTCAAAAGGTGACTGAATAAATGCCTTTAACTAATCATCATCCCCGTCGTCCTGAAAAAAGACAAAAATAAAATTACTTTAAACCTGAAATTACGGCATTTTGGAAATGCAGTTGCAAAGTAAAGACTCACCTCTCCATCTTCTCCTTCACCATCCTCGTCATCATCATCATCTCCTTCCTCTTCACCCTCATCAATATCCTCCAGACCCTCTTCCTCCTCATCCTCATCATCATCTCCATCACCCTCCTCATCCTCCATATCAGGGACCTGAAAATTAAGAATGACAAGCTCAGCAACACGCACACTACATGTTTTGTATTACTTTGACAGAATGATATTAATTCATACCAAGTAGTACTGAAGAGGGTTGGGCCAAATGTCATCTTTGATCACCTCTCCCAGCTCATCAGCTCCTGCATCTGAATGGTCAGTGAACCAAGTAAAAAAGCTCTCAGGCTCTTCATGCTGTCGCTTCTTCCCAGCTTTGTTAGGCGACTGGCCAGTGCGTTTTGTCAGGTCCTAATAAACAAGATTTACATTAATTTAATATGAGTATATGTGAGTGTATGCATGTATACAGAATAATTTAACTCACCTTTCCAGCTTTCCATTTGATTTCAGTTGATTTTGACACAGGATCACCAGTTTCATTTACGTTAAACTCTTTGGAAAGTGTTTTGTTCTCAAAATATGGATTTTCATCAAAAAACTAAAAGTAAATATAACCATATTAGAAAACAATGCAATGGTTAAATGATATACAAGCCATGCAAACTTACAAAATCTATTCTATATCCAGACTTTATGTCCTCAAACTCTGTGACCTCAACCCTGGACAAATAATGAAGTGCTTCCTCATCTTCCTCACCCAGAAGAGCTGAAACTAAATGGAAAAGATTCACAATGTAAATAGATACACAATTAATGTTATCATTTGGTTTAAGCGTTTGCGATCTTTACCTTGTGGATGGTTAACAAATGTTGTGACCCAAAAGTTAGGAATTTTGGCTATGAGCTCTGATCTCTTCTGAAAAAATGGCTGGCGTAATTTGTTGTACTTCTGCTCTACTTTTAAAATGTCTTCACTGGCCTGCTCGTTCAGTCTGTGGACAGATGGAAATTAACATAAAACACTTTAATATTAATAATAACAATATAAAAAGGTTCAATAACATACCTGTCGATTTCATTCTGTACTTCATCAATGTGTTCAATTGCTTCCTGTTGTTCTTTTTCTGAAAAAATAATCCAAATTCATTAAATATATTTACTAACACGTGATGCATTACAGAGTTTTAATATGCGAAACACGTAAAATATTATATAGATAATGTACTCTACTAAGCCTTAGCCACACCACCTATACAAGTGAATGCAGCAGGAGTCGCACTCCAGTCTGGCGCTTCCTGTCGCAGCTAAAGGCGGCCTGGTTTAAACAAGAGGCTCGTCTGTACCGTGCTAGGATCCGTTAGACCAAACAATGCGCTAATGTGCGCTCAGCACGAGGTGAAAGCCAAAACATGCGTTTGAGGAAAACCACGAGAGGAGCTTCTAGTGAACGGGTGCATTTCATGTAATTGGCCACAAAAACGCAGTAAAAGATACGTTTTGTAACCACCTCGTACGTTAAACGCTTGTCTAGTTTCTCAAAAGTCAGCCATAGTGAAAAGCTAGCTAATGCATGGCAAGCTAACCAAGTATTCCATGGCTATAGTCAAATACGTCAAAACATAATCAACTACTAAGAATAGCCGCAAATACACTGCCAGTACAGGACTGTAGATCTTCCAAACTTGAGTCGTACAGTGTACTTTTGTGAGATTAAAGATGCAAATGTTGGCCCGTGTGGGCAGCTAATACTCACGCTGCTAAAGTTAGCAGCGGCTAAGTAGCGCGCAACGCTAAACTGACTAAATGCATCATAGCAATTAGGCATAAGTATAACATTTCACACACCCAGCAGACACCCAGGCACGGGCACACTTTAGGTCTTTACTCACTATTGAACAACAGACTTCGCCGTAAACAACACAATTATGAGAAACAAATGAAAATGGCGTTGCTTGGGATAAGCGCCATTCTCGAGTGTTACCAGAGGTCTCGTCCGCTCCGTCGTGATTTGAATTCTCCTTTCTGCTGACTTTCGCCGCTGACGCCGACATTATCACTGTCTGTGGAGACCGTTTGGACCAGAGTTATATTCCAGATGATATTGTTCCTCCTTTCAGATGGGTAAAAGTTACTTCCACCTTGCACAGAGAAACCCACGAGCTCAGCTCCTCTGCGCGCGACCAATGAACACAGTAATGGTGCAGTAGCGCCCCCTAATGGCGGGAGTATGGAGAGGACGAAAATAATGTGACGCGTGTTAAAAAGAAAACACTTCTACTTTTCTGGGTCTAAAGTTTAACAGAAAACCCCTTACTTCTGAATGTGGATATCAGAGATCACAAGGGTGGGTGAAATGGAATACATGAACCAGTCAGAGACTCCTATTGTATAGAAACACAGTATAATCCGATAGATTTGTGTGAAAAGATTTCCGCAACCCTCCTTGGTCCTATGTTTCATTTTTTGTTCGGTGATCCCCTATCTATAAATCAACATAATATAATAATTGTAATAAGTTTAATGTTTTGTAAAACATTAGTAGTATGTCCATAATTTATACATACACACACACACACGCATACACAGACATGCATACACGTATACATATCATAGATTATGTTTGTGTAAGCTCTCAGTTAAACCTTCCTTTGCTCATACCATAGACCAGTGTCTCCCAAAGTGGGGTCCGCGGCCCCCTGGTGGGCCGTGAGGGTACTGCAGGGGGGCCGCGGGAGGTCATAAAAAAAAAAAATATATATTTAATGTTAAATTTATAATGTTTTGTTTGTAATATTAAAATATTTGTGTTCATTATTTGACTTGAATAATCCACTGTAATCATTTTTGTATTACAATGTTTGTAGCAGAGGCTATTTCCCCAAAATAAAATAACCAGAAGAGCCTATTCTTAATGTTGTCTTCTTGGTTATTATTTTGGGGGGCCACACAGACCCGTCAGATTTTTAAGGGGGCCTCGGTGTTACTGAGTTTGGGAATGGCTGCCATAGACTAATACATACACTCATTCTCAAATACATACATACACTCTCTCACACACATGCAAACACGCACGCAAATATAGACGCACACACATACACACACACGCACACACACACACACACACACACACACACACACACACACACACACGTAAACTTACACAAGTACACACTTAAAGCGAGAGATTTGCTTTTGCGCAAAGACAGGTGCGCCCAGAGCTTGTAGACTGTAGAGGATTGGTGCACTAATAACCAATCATCTTCTACGCAGCGGGCTGGCGCAGGATGAGCGTCACTTCATAGTTAACGCAATTCAAATATATTGTGTTTGTCCCCACTCTCCACGATGATCTGGATTTGGGCTTTCTGGTAATAGTCGGTGTTTTACACAGGAAAGCTTTCACTTGTCGCCTCAAAGACACTTTGATAGCATTTTCTGTACTTCGAGGCCACACGATTCAAGTAAGCTGGACTTTGACTTTTGCCATCACCATGTCAGGAGGGATACAGGTAAACCACATTCGCGTTTGTGGCGTTCGCATGTTTGTAGTATTGTAGATTGTAAATTGTATCCATCTACCTATTGTTCCGGTGTGACGTTTTATCAGCTTAAATACCAGTGTTTAGCCAGGCCGTTTTGCCAGTCAGACTCACTGGAATTTCCAGTTAGTCTTGTTTGCTTAGGACCAATTCTTCTGTACGTCTCGCGGATTTAAGTATATTTCTTTCTTGTTAAATTGGTGTGATTTGGTCTGAAATTGTATCGTTTTTTCGGTAAATACAAAATATCACCAGCTTATGGATACATTGGTATTTTTTCATAATAAATGCTAATTTTCAATCTGACGCAAGAAAATCTGTTTAAAAACTTGTACTTGTTCGTAGACTAGAATCAGTGCTTCTCAAATTGGGGGTGGAAATCCTTATTTAATCCATTGACCAAAAAATGCACTGACTACTACAGATTTCAATATCAATGAACCACAGGGGAAATTTGACACTTGAACACAGTAGCACACGCATAATATGAAACATCACTTGATTAACAAAATGCTAAATGTCAAACGAGTGAGGAGTTGTTGTACAACTATAGTGTGGTATGAATGTGGTCCTGTATCGTTCACTGTGGGAGTGAACCTGTTGGTGAATGACCTCCTAGTGTCCAATAGATGAGAGCAGTTTGTTCTCCTGTCTCTCACTGTGACAACTTTCCCATTTGTTGGTGCTGCTCCCTCAACAGACCACAACAAAGTACAGGGTAGTATTATATCCTTTTTTGATAATGGGTAACACTGTGACGGCCGGGTGACAGAACTATATGTAAGAAGTTTAAATGTAGAGGATTCACTAGCAACTGTAACATTTCTGAACAATGTCATTTTTTGTAATGACCTTTGACATCGACAATGACATTGTCTATGACCTGCAGGGTTTAGATGAGGGTGACATCCTTGATCCTGAGTTTCAGCTGCGTTTAGAAGATGCCCGTACTGTCCTGAGGCAGGAGATCCAGCGAGAGCTGAAGATAAAAGAAGCAGCAGAGAGACTGCGGAGAGCTGTGACCAGCCGCAGAAATGCTGCTGATGTGGAGGGTCAACTCAAAGCCTCCAGCCGCAAACTGGAGAAGCTCCACTGGGAGCTCCATGAGCTCAACGCAAGGTCCATGGCCACAGAGAAGAAGAGCCTTAAAAGTAACCGATTTAATATTAATAAATACAATCTATATTAATTGCACCTATTATTGTTGTTAAATAAATCATGATTTAACGCAGATGCATCAGATGAAGTTAACAGACAATCCTCAGAGGCATGTCAGTGGGAGGACACTTCCTCTCCTCTTGTTTGCCGTGTCAGGACTCTGAAAAAGCAGTTAACCATGGAAACAAAGGTTAAACAGGGTGCGGAAAACATCATTCACACGTACCACTACAGTGCAGTGAAGGTATATCAAAGTTATATTTAATTCAGTGTAAGTTTGGTTATGTAACATATTGCTTATATTTCCTTTTTGTCCATTTTTTCAGGACAGAAAGATGCTGTTAACTGCTCAGCAAATGCTCCAAGATAGTCGCACTAAAATTGAGTTGCTTCGAATGCAGATTGTTAAAGTCACCCAAGCCAAAGATGACGAACGTGATGGCTCAGTTGGTAAATATTGCTATTTCTACATTAGGAAGTAGTGGTGTCCCTTTTCAAGATGAAGTTTATAGTAAACTGAAAACCTCAACATCGAGTTTAAAGTCTCTCCCAGGAGACTGCTCAGATTTGACACTTCTGGTATTTGTGCAAATAGTGGTGCTGAATATAAACATGGATTAATGATGTAGAGTATTTGAAATGTATGCAAATGTGGAGTTTGTAAATATCTATTTATATTTACTTTGCAAACTTATTTCAGGTCACCCAGTCGATATGATCAGTCCTTTGGAACTGCGTGTAGCAGAGCTCATGCACCACATGAAGATTGAATCGGCGGTGGCAGAAGGTGCTAAAAACGTAGTAAGGCAATTGAGCGGACATAAGATCCATGACAGACGCATCCTAGCAGAGGTGAACTTTTGCAATACCTGTAATATAATCTACTTTATTTAGTTAAGTCTGTTTTGATCCAATGTTGTTTTGTTGTTGTTTTTTCAACAGGCTCAGGCCCGAATGCATGAGTCATCTCAAAAGGTGGATTTGCTGGGCCTGTCTTTAGAAAGGCGATTAAATGAACTACCGCAGGATCATCCTAAATATGCTGTGATCAAGCAAGAGTTGGCTTCATCCATAAGTAGCCCAACAAAACTACCTCACGCCCCATCATCAACTTGCTCTTCCTCCCTTTTTAAGCCAGCAAGTCTAACAGGTCTTTGCCAGTCTTTTCGTAGTTTGCGTTTGCGTTTGGTATGTCTATCTCAATCCCATTTGGTTTACAGGCCGGTTAGAGGTGTGTTTGATGGGGTGCCAGGACCTGCTGGAGAGTGTACCGGGCCGCAGCCGTGTCACCAGCGTGGCTGCTGCTGGCTTTATGTCTGATGGAAAGTCTCTGAAGATGAGAGCTGGTCTTTCAGGCCGAAGCACCAACGGCAAGACCAACAAGGCAGAGGAGTCATGTATGTCACAGTTAAAATTACATTAAAAGTGTAAAATTACATTGGGGGCGACAGTGGCCCAGTTGGTAGAGCCTTGGCCTTAGAGCCTGAAGGTTGTGGGTTCGAACCCACCACAAGACCTACTATATGACTCTCACTGGGCAAGACACTTAACCCCACTTTGCCTGAAGCCCCTGCTGAATAATCAAGGCTCTTGTGGACTCACCACCTGCAGGAGGATCATTGAGGGGCTGGTGTTATGTGCTCTGACTGCCACCCCCTGACCCAGAAATGGATTAAGGGGAAGAAAACGGATGGATGGTGTAACTAGTAAAAATGAATAGGCAAAGTCGGATTTCAATTCCTGCTTGGATAAAAGATAAGCTGCATTTAAAAGTTAAGGTCACAGATATAGTATATCAAGCAATTTGGTGTCCTGACAATTCCGATTGATGAGGTTAAAGATAACTTTGAAACCACAAACACTGGAAAAAAAAAAATTTAATTTTCTTTTTAAAAGATATGAGGAAAACAATTGTGAACTCCTTTCCCCAGATCGGCATCCTCAATCAGAATCACGTTATGTGATTGACGTTATGAACACAACAAAATCTTACTGTCTCTTCCTTTTGGGAGCTTTTGCAATGTGCTTTGGGTCATCCTCCATCTGCACTGCAAGTGCCATCCAATGTGTTTTTAAGTATTTGTGCAGGTACTATTGTCCAAAATATGCTGCTGCTTTTGTCAGCCGTCACATTATCTATGAATACTAGAAAACCGGTTCCATAGGCACCATGCATGCACAGCACATGACACAACCACAACAGTTCCTCTCCCTTCCCATGACTCTCATCTTTCCATATGTTGGTTGTTTCTTTGTTTAATGTTATTCAAAGTAATAAATAATTACATTATTTGAGTCATAAAAAAAAAAACCTGTGTGATGTTTACCATTTAACATCTGATAAAACAATATTAATTAATCAAAGGATGTTATATTACATCTAAAGTAATGTAAACATTAAGTTACTTTCTTGTGTCTTCTTTTGTGGTTTCAGTTTTCCAGGCTTTTGGTGTCAGTGAGTGATTTCAATAGATCGTTTGAAACAATCCACACTTACTGGTGTTGTTGTTTTCTTCCTGATTTTAGTTTTTCATTTTCAGCCTAAGGATGCTTGCTCTGCTGATTAGTGACAGGTATTTGGCTCTAATCTTGAAGTAACCATAGATGAAGACTTCAAAGTTTATGGCATAATGAAGGACATGACACATCTGCCTTCACCTTCATAGAAACGTTCTATTGTTATGAGAATTGTGTGGAATATTCAGGGTTCTGACATTTTACTGTTGGTCAGACACTGACCTAATGAGTTCATATTACTTGACCTCTGCTCTGAGAAAGCACTGTGTTGACACACTCGCCAAAGATCTTCTGGGACTCACTGTATTGTCTCTTTATATTTCTATTCTTTTAAAATATGATGTTGATTTATAAAGTTGTTGGTGTTCCATGTGTTCCAGCTGAGATAAGTGCGGTGCTTAAGGTGGACAACAGGATTGTAGGGCAGACGCACTGGAGACAGCTGGGGAAAGAAGCCTGGGGACAGAGCTTCAGCATTGAACTGGAAAAGGTCAGTGACTCCCTCGTTAATTGGACATAAATCATTATGTTTACTGTACAAATGTGAAGCCTCTTTGAAGAAATTCTGAAGCTATGGTGGCACGTGTCTATGATAAAATAGCTCTGTAAACTCAGGAATTATAGACTTGAAACACACACTCTCAGATTGTGTACTGACTGTTGCCCTTAATGGTGAACATCTGTTACTGTGCTAAACAGAAGCTGACTGGTCCCTAATAGAATGAGAATACCACGTCTGACAGTCGTGTAATCCAGGCGTTAATCCTTTTGACATAAACTCTGACTTGACTCGTATAAGATCCCTTGTGTTGCCTTTGAGTGATTACACTTACAGTACAGGGCAAAAGTTTGGACACACTTTCTCATTCAATGAGTTTCCTTTCTTTTCATGACTATTGACTGTAGATTCACACCCAGGCTGTGTAAGAGTTATTTGACCAATAAGGAGAGTGATGGGTGCTGGGCCAGATGACCTGGCCTCCAGTCACTGGACCTGAACCCAATCCAGATGGTTTTGGGGTGAGCCACAGAGTGAAGGCGAAAAGGCCAACAAGTGCCAAGCATCTCTGGGAACTCCTTCAAGACTGTTGGAGACCATTTCAGGACCTCTTGAAGCTCAAGGGAGTGCCAAGAGTGTATGAAGCAGTAATCGGAGCAAAAGGGGCTACTTTGAAGACGCGAGAATATAAGACATTTTCAGTTGTTTCATACTTTTTCTTTTTTTTTTTTTTTTTGTACGTACATCATTCCACATGAGTTAATTCATAGTTTTGATGCCTTCAGAGTGAATCTACAATTTTTATAATCATGAAAATAATTATGAACATCACCTCTTTGAATGAGGTGTGTCCAAACCTTTGGTCTGTACTGTTTATAAACAATAGTGTTTGTGCTTGTATCATTTTTAAGTCTAATTTGAATTTGTCTTGTGTTGCTTTAGTCTAGGGAGTTGGAGATCGCAGTGCACAGGAGAGACTGGAGGGCCTTAAGTGGGGTCAAGTTTCTTCGACTTGAAGACTTCCTTGACAATCAGAGACATGGATTGTGTTTGGAGCTGGAGCCACAGGGCATCCTCTTTATTGAGGTTTTCACCACTTTACACTCTACATCAGAACTTTTTAACTCAAAGGGCTGTGGCTGCAGGATATAATACAACCAAGCAGGAGTAGTAGTAGTAATGTTGATTTATATAGCGCATTTTACAGACCAAGGTCACCCAAAGCAGCACACCAGACTCCACCCATTTCCTCAAGTCTTCAGGTTGAGACCATAGATGTATGTACAGTGTCTTGCGAAAGTATTCGGCCCCCTTGAACCTTTCAACATTTCGCCATATTTCAGGCTTCAAACATAAAGATATAAAATTTAATGTTTTTGTCATGAATCAACAACAAGTGGGACACAATCGTGAAGTGGAATGAAATTTGTTGGATAATTTAAACTTTTTTAACAAATAAACTGAAAAGTGGGGCGTGCAATATTATTCGGCCCTTTACTTTCAGTGCAGCAAACTCACTCCAAAAGTTCAGTGAGGATCTTTGAATGATCCAATGTTGTCCTAAATGACTGATGATGATAAATAGAATGCACCTGTGTGTGATCAAGTCTCTGTATAAATGCACCTGCTCTTTGATAGTCTCAGGGTTCTGTTTAAAGCGCAGAGAGAACCATGAAGACAAAGGAACACACCAGGCAGGTCCGAGATACTGTTGTGGAGAAGTTTAGCCGGATTTGGATACAAAAAGATTTCCCAAGCTTTAAACATCTCAAGGAGCACTGTGCAAGCAATTATATTGAAATGGAAGGAGTATCAGACCACTGCAAATCTACCAAGACCCGGCCGTCCCTCCAAACTTTCATCTCAAACAAGGAGAAGACTGATCAGAGATGCAGCCAAGAGGCCCATGATCACTCTGGATGAACTGCAGATAACTACAGCTGAGGTGGGGATGGTGTGTTCAGGGTGATGAGCTGTGTTGCTTTTACGCCAAACATATCGTTTTGCATTGTGGCCAAAAAGTTTGATTTTGGTTTCATCTGACCAGAGCACCTTCTTCCACATGTTTGGTGTGTCTCCCAGGTGGCTTGTGGCAAACTTTAAGAGACTTTTATTGGATATCTTTGAGAAATGGCCACTCTTCCATAAAAGCCAGATTTGTGCAGTGCACGACTGATTGTTGTCCTATGGACAGTATCTCGGACCTGCCTGGTGTGTTCCTTTGTCTTCATGGTTCTCTCTGCGCTTTAAACAGAACCCTGAGACTATCAAAGAGCAGGTGCATTTATACGGAGACTTGATTACACACAGGTGCATTCTATTTATCATCATCATCAGTCATTTAGGACAACATTGGATCATTCAAAGATCCTCACTGAACTTCTGGAGTGAGTTTACTGCACTGAAAGTAAAGGGGCCGAATAATATTGCACGCCCCACTTTTCAGTTTTTTATTTTTTTAAATTATCCAATAAATTTTGTTACACTTCAGGATTGTGTCCCACTTGTTGTTGATTCATGACAAAAAATTAAAATTTTATATCTTTATGTTTGAAGCCTGAAATGTGGCAAAATGTTGAAAGGTTCAAGGGGGCCGAATACTTTCGCAAGGCACTGTACATAGATGGACGATGCTTATCCGCCAGCTCAATGAAGCCCAATATGGAAGTGCTCATGGACAAAGTTTTGCTTCAACTCAATTCGGCTCCTGTTGGTCACACTCACCATTTTGGGCTCTTTATGATTATAATTATATCATAACATATATTTGATATTGGCTTGTATCTGGTTTCAAACGCCTTCATTTGCAGGGGAAACTCCATCTTACCGTAGCAATTATCTTAGCGTTTGTTTCGTGCCATAACCTGGGCAGGACCAAATAAGGAATATAGCTCTAGCTAGTTTATGTCCAAATCTGCTTCTTGGCGAACACTATGGTGACGTCAGCACTGGGGTCAGTCCACGCCGAATAAACAGTCCATGTTTGAGACTTAAGAAAATGGATGGAGTCTGGTTTGCATCATCTTTGTTGGAATGAAAACCTGCACCCACTACCCTTTGAGAACAGAGTTGCATAATCTGTTTGTGCCACAATTTGCTTTGTCCTCGACAATTTCACATAATGGAGGCAATTCATTTGTAATCAAAGCTTTTTAGTTCTCAAATAATTAGATTAAGTTTGTTTCAGACATTAAACTTACCATGAGATGATGTATTAATTTTACAGGTCACATTCATCAACCCTGTCATTGAAAGACCTTCCAAACTTCAAAGGCAGCGGAGAATATTTCCTAAAGAAAAAGGTACAAATGATGAGAAATTATTTTGTTGCAAGTACAAGAAATGTATGCAGTGGGTAACTAGAACTTGAATTTTTTTTTTTTAAATGTCCTGTTAAATGTTCACACCTTTCTGTGATGGCCTCAGAGCTTTGTCTAGGGTGTATTGGTCAATAAACCGCATCATGAAGTCCAAGGAACCCGCAGAGATGTAGTTGGGGCAATGATTAGAGCAGGCAGAAGTCATAAGTTCCATACCTATACCAAACGTTAGGTATGGAACAAACACTGCCCCACCCTCTGTGCACGCTTCCCAAAATACAGGACATTATCGGTAATAAATGCTTGAGCCTGTTGTTAACCTCCCATCAGGGAAATTACCAATTTAAAAGACTCCTCATACAATGGAATGTTTAGAACAAAACATATGCTTGTTTTAGAATGACCCAATTAAAATACAGACCAAAATCCAAGTGAAGATCTTGTTTGTAAATCAAATGTGCAAAACATTCTCTCTAGATGTGCAAAGCTAGTGGAGTGAGTCAAAAGAATTGCTACTGTGATCGCAGTATTAACTTAAGCTTACAAACTCCACTTTTCAGTTTTTTGTTAAAAAACAACCCAAAAGATCTTATGGTTTTAGAATGACAAAATGTGAAAAAGTTCACGCAGTGTTGATACTTTGGCAATCCACTTTAAATATTGTGGATATAATCATTTGTAAAACTGCTTTCTCAGAGTACATCTTCATCATGTTTTTTTTGTCATAGGAAAGAATTTCCTGCGTGCCGCTCAAATGAATATGAACTTTGCGACATGGGGGCGATTGATGATGAGCATCCTTCCTCCTTGCAGCTCTCTGGAGCCCATGAGTCCCCCGTTGGCCGCTCCCTCCTCTCCCGCTTCCCCTCTGCGGTAATACTTGTGTTTGATAAACATTGACCCAGAAACAGTGCGGCTATGAAAGGAGCCCAGGACAATAGCACCATTATCAGTGCTCAGCTTTCATATTTTGCTTAAGGATATTTAAAGTAATGTTTGACCCACATGTGGTCCTAAATAAATGTAAACCTTTGCACTAATGTCTTGGAACATTTCAGAGGATCTGTGGCAAATGTTAATATTAATGAAGAACAAAGTCATGCATCACCAATTTCCTCCAAGAAAAGCAAAGAAAAATCCCTTGTGAGTCTTTGTGCCTTTTTTATAGAAATTGATATTTTCCTGATCTCTTAATAATTGCTGTGTGTAATACTACTTTGCAGTTTACTGATGACGTCAGAAGTCCAATTTCAAAAACTCAACCTTCGATTCAACAAAAGTAAGTGGTCGAAGGTGTTTAATTCCTAATTGATGTCACAATATTATTAAATATACTTCATTTTTCTTGTGTGTAGGTGCAATGATGGACTAAATATGGAGGATTTTAAGTGCATTTCAGTGCTTGGAAGAGGACACTTTGGAAAAGTAAACATTGAATCCTGAAGAACAGGGGTGTCAAGTATGCAGCCGCCTGCCAGACTTCCACTACATTTTGGTGGCTCCTGAAATTATTACAAATTATTATCATTTAAATGCAAGTGTTTACAGTCCGATGATGATATGGTCCACCATGGCATGTTAGACTTAATTATCAGGAAAAGTCTAGTAATTCATCTCTAATTATTTTTTTTGATTAATAATTAATAATTTTGCATATGCAAAAAAATACAATAAATACATTCTGATGAGCCTTATGCTCTGTCATATAAACCTAACTTATTTTGTAATAAATACATCAAAAACACTTTAAAACCAACTCTATATTAAGAGTCTGAGAGTCAAAAAAAAACTAGCCCCCCAACCAGATATGTATTTTTTTAAAATGACATTTGGCGTTTAAAATGAGCCGGACACCTCTGCTCTGGAAGTAGTAAGGCGATAATAAAGTGGCATAAACTTAATGTGGTTTTATAAAAGGTGCTGTTGGCAGAATACAAGAAGACCGGGCTGTTATATGCCATTAAAGCTCTAAAGAAAGGGGACATAGTCACACGTGATGAAGTGGATAGGTAAGTAGTTGGCAGAAACCAAAAGGTGCTACCCTCTGACCTTGATCTAACATTAGTCTTGTGTATGTTCTAGCCTTATGTGTGAAAAAAGAATATTTGAGGTGATAAATGCTTCCCAGCATCCTTTCCTGGTGAACCTTCACGGCTGCTTCCAGACTGCAGAGCATGTGTGTTTTGTGATGGCGTATTCTCCGGGAGGAGACCTCATGACACACATCCATACCAGCATCTTCAGTGAGAAACAGACCCGGTATCCAGCCTCCGTGTAACTGAGAACAATGTCAATTTTTACTTCAACTCTTACTCATGATCGGTGTGTTTTTAAGGTTTTATTCTGCATGTGTTTTACTCGGCTTGGATTTTCTTCATCAAAACAACATTGTTTATAGGTCAGTATCCTGTGGTAATTAATATGTGTGGTGACGAATAACAATTTTTTCTTTTTGCAGAGATTTAAAGTTGGATAATCTGCTTATGGACCTTGATGGTTATGTCAGGATAGCAGACTTTGGCTTGTGCAAAGAAGGTAAAAGCACTTTAATCTAAGATATAATATATCTTTTATATATATATATAAGCCAATGCTTATATAATATAAGCATTGGCCTTTGGGCCTGAAGGTCGTGGGTTCGAGCCCACTGTGAGACCTACTTCATGACTCCCATTGATGACAGCTGTCGTTGTGTCCTTGGGCAAGACACTTAACCCCTCTTTGCCTGAATCCCCCGCTGGAAGATCAAGGCTCCTGTGGACTCACCACCTGCAGGAGGATCAGTGTGGGGCTGGTGCTTAGTGTACTGGGTGCAGCTCTGACTGCCACCTCCCCGACCCAGAAATGGATTAAGGAGAAGAAGATGGATAGATGGATATAATATATCTAGTGTTGTAAAAAGTAAATATTGTTGGGGTGACAAAACCCATGGCCAATAGCTTTTTGTTGGAGCAAGAAGCTCTGACAGACGCTTGTTTCCTGATAAAACGTTCTGAGTAGATCACACCTCAGCATTTTCATCATCTTCTCTCTGGTCCGATGGACTTCTGACTTCCCCTTTTTAACCCAATACAGAGGCGTTTCCAAAAAGACCCGTGACTAACAAAAAAATTACCAATCAAAGAATTCAAACAGTCAGTGACGTTGAAGCAACAATATTTAGAAAGGGTCTGAGCTCACTCATCTGTGACAAAAATAAAGTGCACCCCACACGGTGCACTGTCGACCTCATACCTAAAACCTTATCATGTATTTGAAAAACCTGGACACTTATTTTTGCAGTAACAGAGTACTTCTTACTTTGCTTTTAGCAGACTTGACTTTGAGGAGGCACATTAGTTTATGAGAATGTGTTGTGTGTCTAGGTATGGGCCACGGAGATCGGACCTCAACATTTTGTGGGACACCAGAGTTTCTCGCCCCTGAAGTGCTCACGGAGAACAACTACACTCGCAGTGTGGACTGGTGGGGGCTCGGGGTCCTGGTTTACGAGATGCTTGTCGGGGAGGTTAGTAGATTACATGTATGTTTGGGCCCATGAAGCGTTTCTACTATTTGCTAATGTTAATAATGTCATCTTGCAGTCACCATTTCCGGGTGATGATGAAGAGGAAGTCTTTGACAGCATTGTCAATGATGATGTGCGCTACCCTCGCTTCCTTTCCCCCGACTCAGTTTCTCTCATTCAAAAGGTTGTTTTTTTCGGGGGTTTTTTTCTTCAAGAAATGGTTTTAAGTCTGTCCCTTGCTTTCTTATTACTCCATGTATGATCTAGCAGGCCAATAGCTTATTTTTTAAACAAAAGTAAGGCAGTGGTTCATACTGATTTGCTCTCATTCCCAAAGTGTCAATAAGTGACTCACAGGACTCGGGTTTGCAATAGATCAAAAGTTTTCTTAATAGTTGTGCAGTGCTTTTAGAAAATGAATAATCTTTTGCCTATGAATACTAAATCACTTTTTGGTTCTATTAAAGCTTCTGCAGAAAAACCCTGAGATGCGGCTGGGAGCAGGAGAAGAAGATGCTGCTGAGATCAAAAGCCACAAGTTCTTTCAGGTAATTCTCGTGTCTGTATGAAGTGTACTCAGTAATGTGACAATCCAGCTTACGTTGTGTTGTTGATCACAGGGCGTAGACTGGGATGCTCTGTTGTCCAAAAAGGTGAAGCCTCCATTCGTTCCAGTCGTCAAAGCAGCTCAGGACGTTAGTAACTTTGATCAGGAGTTTACTTCTCTCAAACCTGTTCTCACTCTTCCACGGACGCCCTGTGTCCTCTCAGCGGAACAACAAAACATATTTGCAGACTTTGACTTCTCTTTTATGAGCTGAAAAATACTCTAAGCACTTACTGCTCAAATTCAGATACAATCAGATACAATCATGGTCAGTCTGTATTTTTCAACATAAGATTTATATTTGTGAGATCCGAGGCTAAAGATGTCACAATGCAATGTTTTTAAATATTTTGTTGTGAATGTGTTGCGTCCATTTGAAACACATTGTAAATACTTTGAATTAAGGGAAGAATTTATACTTGGATTGTTTGGAGTTAGAGAATTTTAATGCAGAAAGAATAAAAAATACTTTGAAATGTAATAAAAACCACAGTAAAACTGAAATGGGCTGTTTTAAGGACATAATATATACTATTGAGTGCTCCTTTGTTGATCACTTGAATTGCGTTGATGGGCTTGATGAAAATCTTCCAGGTTAATGGGAATGTTGTGAAAATGGTTCACAGGCAATCTACTGTCTAAAACTCGTGTCCATTTATTGTATATTCCATTCCCATCCTTCCAAAATCACACCAGGGGAGCATGCAGAAAGGTCTAAAAGAAGTGTCCTTCTCCTTTTGCCCTCAGTCCTGTGCTCTCTCTGCTCGATGGTCTTCAATCATCCATCAATTTTGCCGTCAGGTTAAATTAAATATTAATTGTAAAGGTTTTTTCTTCATTACATTACTTTCTCAACTATTAACTACTTTTTGCATTTGAATGTTCATTTATTCCAACAGTGCAATGTTGTTTTTTTTATCCAAATATTACTAACCCAAGTTTACAGTTCTTAAATATCAAATGTAAAGTATGGTTTTCTAAGTGTTTTTGTACTCAAAGCAACATTTGTTTTAAACTTGAAAAGTAATAAATGTACAGATGTTTAAAGGATGACTTTATTGTACTGTCTGTTACACAGAAAGGATTGCATACATAGTTTGATACTGCAGTCACCAAATATCACATGTTTATTGCTCAAAGTCTATTGCACTGGCTTATAAAAATAAAACCTCAATCGTAGAAAAGGGTAAGCTATTGTTCCACAAGAGGTCAGTATAGAAGTACAAACAGAAAAAATATATTCTAAAGTATAAATGTTTTGTATCAAATTTAAATATCGGGAGCAAACAATATAGCATCACATAAAAATATTCACTAAACTTTGACATTGCCACACAAGATTTAACTTTGACCATGTATAAAATGTTTTGATAAATGATTGTCTGAACGAGCACAAAAATCAAGACACGTTTTGTAAATATGCATGTAAACTTCTACACAAGATAACAGTCAACTGGTTGGAAAATGGTTTATAAAAAGGAATTCTGATTCTCAGATAAATGGAAAACACATTTGTAGAAAGTTCTAAACAAGCACAAAAACTGAGTCCTTGAGAAGAAACAGTGGTACATGCATCACACTTCGAGAACCACTCATGATTTCCAATATATTATATATTTCACACTTTGTAAAAGTACACATTTCATCTGTGATATTTTTTAAAACACCAATGGGAGAAGGGTGGTGGCCAGATAGAGCACACCAAATGTGGCGTTATACAATGGTACCATTGAATAACATCACATTGAAGGAAATTCGATTTTAATTTACAGTATTATGGCACATTGGCACCAATGCAAGGTAAGCTGCAGAGCAAACCTTAAACCCAGTCTGCCACCAAACTAAACATTTGAAAAACCTGGTTGCTCAAAGTTTCAGAGAAACTAAACCTGGTTGCTCCCCTCACAGAAATAAACCTGCTCCCACACCACAGAGCCCCAGACACAGAAAAACCCCCACAGGTTGTGAAGAGGCCCTCTGTCAAAAGGGTTTTCATCTGCTCCACAGTGTTTTAGGTACGAGATCCGGTGTCGAGACATGAACTCCCAGGTGGTGGTGTTGAGAGAGACCAGATAGAGATGTGAGCCGAGCAGTAGCAGAACAATCAGAGATAGGACCGCCACCAGCACCGCCACCGCGAGCAGCGAGCCGTTGGAGCGCAGCCACAGCTCCCATGTGGGGCCAAAGCTGAAGCCCGTCCTAAAACAAAGGAATTATCAGCAATCTGCATCTGGGGGATTTCATGAGAGTTTACTGAACTCACAAGGCGATGTGCAGTCCCCAGAGCAGCACGATCAACTGAATGACCAAGTAGAGCACAAACCAACGATGGTTTCGTTCACCGACACAGTTCTCGATCCAGGGACAGTGATGGTCGTAGCGCCGCACACAGTGCTGACACGTCTGGCAGTGCTTTGATCGCATTGGCTGCTGCTTAATGAACACCATCACAAATTACTATATAATTTACACAGTGAACAGCTACCAGTGGAAACAAAATAAAATTTGATGTTAACTGAAGAACAGGAAAGTTAGAAATCCTTTAATTTAACAACATTTAAAAAAGGATTTTAAACCACTCCTTGTCATTGTGTCTTGGCCAATTCCTTCTTCTTCCTAAAACTAGTTATGTATTTTATAAGACAAAGGATTAATTAAAGTAATGTAAAGTATTTACAGCAGGTAGGGAGCTATGCTCTGAAGCTAAGCAGCTGTCATTCTATACCTTGGAGTCCTAATCATTCTATAGAATGGGAGTTCTATTTCATTGATGGGTGAAACATGATGGATATCATGACAATGTCAAATTGTCAAATGTAAGCACACATCGTTTTAATGACCAGTAAAATTAAATGAGGCATTTTTGACGCATTAGTGTAGTACAGTGTAAGACACCATACCTGAAGCAGGCAGTGGCCACAGCGACGCTGACGCATGGACTTTGTGGTCTGTGGGATCATATCCTGCTGCTCCTCAGTCACTCCCAAAGTGAACTGCCAAGATACAAGATACATTTTCATATTGAACATTGTGTTTATTTTGTAAATGGGTGGGTGCAAGCTCTTAACACCTTTAAGTCACTGTCATCAGAGAGGATGAACCCTGGATCCATCAAAGAAACTGCAAAATACAGCAGCACTGAGACCAGCACCAGCAACACGAAGAGGACTGGCTGAAAGAGCTGTGCCGTCTCCTCCTGCTTCCTTAATTCTGAAAACCCCAAATAACACAGTAGAAGACATTAAGCTCCTGCCCTCCTCACAGTAAATGATAAGGGGCTGGTCCACAACAGAAAACTGTCACCTGTATCATGTAGGAAGAGGATGAGAGTGATCACCCATGTCAGAATCACATGGGCTGTTCTCACCAGAAACCCCGAACCAAACACATTTTTGAACATGATCCTAGAACATTACAGTGTCCATCGCACACAGAGGAGACCGCAGGCCCAAGCACCAAATGACAGCGCTAATGATGAAGGAAAATTATAAATAACACAGCAAAACACAACATTAATCCAATAGCGACGCGGTTTGTCGCCTTCGCAAATTCCCTGGCAAAAAACTATTTAAACCACAGACAGACAACTATCCATCGAAACTGAAGAAGCACAGTTGTGTTCACATTTCCGCTTATGGAAATGCGCAGAGCTGTGGCAGACTCTCCTGTTCCCATTCGGAGGTGAAGTGTTGAGCAGAGGCAGTAACACATCCATGATACACTCTGGTGTTGTTCCTTCAAGCGCGACTGTGATTGGCTAAGCTAATCACATGACCCCAGTACCGGAGCCTGGAGAGACAAAAAGCTACACAAGATGATCCATTAACACAGTCATAAATGCCTTTTATTAATTAATTAATTAATTAATATATATATATATATATATATATATAAACTCTACACTCTCAAGTCTTTGCATCATACAGGTTTATACCTTAAATGTGTATATTCTTTAGCTAGAGATCTTCTTTTTCTGAGTATAGATTTATGCTTTATTTAATATTCACTTATTCAAAGTAAATGTTGAAACATGATGAGATGCAGATTATTATGAAATTTTCTCTTGAATAAGAAAACAATATTGAAACATGACTTTTTTTATTTGTGCTTTGGAGTTGAAAATAATCCAAATATTGTCAACATTTTCTATGGATTGCTATGTTGCAACTTGTTTGAGTCATCAGGAATCTTTTCTTTTGTCAAGAGGTTTTCATTCACAATCCCCTTGTGGTCCAGTATAAATTCCTGAATCTGAAATGAGAAGTTGAGATATGCTGAAAGTTGATGACACATGTGTAGCAGGGAGGGAAGGACAAACCTTATTGAGCTGTGTCTCTGTATCGTTCTCATCTACACTCTTTCTGCCATTGTCCAAAGAGCTGCCAGTCATTTCATAAAGGTTCAGAGTGGCCATTTTAATTTTTCCCAACACAAGTGTTTTCTCTGCTGCCGTTTCTTCAATGTGCTTCCATTTTTGTTCCTGATGACAAAATGAGCGCACCTTTATATAGAACCCACCAGCAAAATAGCAATATTATCCACATATAGGCCGCACGCGCGTGCCAAAACCATGTACTTACTCAAATCAAATCTCATTACAATCATGTTGGCATAACATTTTCTAAATTAAATCAAGTATTAATAATGACATGTAAATTATGTGAATACAATAAACATGTAAAAATGGCGCTTACATTCCGGCCCCTAATTGTTATTGCAGGGACATAACAATTACACAATAGAACAAAAGAAAACATTTTTCTCTCTAAACAAAACTTACAACCTATATCACATTACACATGTATGGTTCTAAAACTCAAAAGTATATTAATCATCCATTTCAAGCAAAAGACACAATTTGTCAACCGGTCTCTCCAAAACATTAGTTTTAGTTTTCACCAAAACTCTTCTCACTTGACCTTTAGAATCACATATAGATTTTTCAACTTTTCCCATTAACCATGAACCTCTTGGTGCACTATCATCCACTATAAGAACAACATCACCTGGTTTCATGTTTCTCTTAGCATTGAACCATTTCTGTCTTTCTTGTAATAATGGGAGATACTCTCTGGTCCAACGTTTCCAAAAAATATCAGACAGGTATTGAACCTGACGCCACCGTCTCTTTAAGTATAAGTCCTCTTTTTGGAACACACCAGGTGGTAACACTGGTTTTCTTTTCATGAGGAGCAAATGATTTGGTGTTAACGCTTCAATGTCGTTAGGATCGTTTGATACTCTTGTAATCGGCCTATCATTAATGATGGACTCCACTTCACAAAATAGCGTATGGAGACGCTCATCATCAAGAGTTTGTTGTCTGAGTAGCTGATTAAGGATTTTCCTCACAGAACGTATCTGTCTTTCCCAAATCCCACCAAAGTGAGACCCAGCTGGAGGATTGAAAATCCATGTAATACCCTTTTGACTCAGTGATTCAGCTATTTTTGACTGATTCCAACCTTTGAGTGATTCACGCATTTCCTTTTCCGCACCCACCAGATTTGTACCATTATCTGATCTCATTACCAAAACCTGACCCCGCCTTGCGATAAACCTCCTAAATGCATTAATGCATGAGTCAGTTTCAAGTGAGTGAGCAACCTCTATATGAATTGCTCTTGTGGTAAGGCATGTAAACAGAACACCATACCTCTTCACATGACTTCGACCAAATTTAACCTCAAAAGGTCCAAAATAGTCTATCCCTACATTAGTGAAAGGGGGATTGTCTGGTATAAGTCTGTCATGTGGCAAGTTAGCCATTCTCTGTTCACCAGGTTTGCTCAACAACATTTTACATTGTACACATTTTGACAATATTTTTCTGAGTGCAGCATCACCTTTGGGAACCCAATATTTTTCTCTCAGTTTAGATAACATTATGTTTCTACCACTGTGCCCTGTTTGTTTATGAATGTGCCTAAGAATCAGAGTAGACACATAGTGGTCCTGATGAAGTATTACAGGATGTTTCACACTGGATGGTAAAGCAGATTGGTGCAACCTACCACCAACTCTTAAAACACCATTGTCCATAAAAGGATCTAGTTTCACTATGTGACTTGTCCGTTTGACCTTTTCACCCTTTTGTAAAGTTTGTATCTCGTTTTTGTAGCTTTGATTTTGACAAAATTTAATTATCTCAATCTCAGCCTTTTCAAGTTCTTCAAATGTCAAATGAGTTTGAATCTTCTTTGACCTAGTATTATCACTGACTAAACGTGATAAACCTTTTCTGTCTTCAGACCTCTGCTGAAGAATCTGTTTCAGTCTTAACACCCAAGCAATAGCCTTTTTTAGCTTATGCCAATCTGAGTAGTGACTAATAAGTTTACTGACAGGATCAACTTGCACAATGTCAACAGTAACACTCATCACCTTTACCTCTGTATCATTATGAATGTCCTTTGACATTAGTGGTGATACTGGCCAAAATGCACAGTCTTTACTTAGAAAGTCCGGTCCATGAATCCAAGATTTGCTCGAAAGGAACTCACTTGCTTTCATTCCCCTCGATGCTTGATCAGCAGGGTTCAACTCTGAGTTCACGTATTTCCACTGTCTGACATCAGAGTGCTCTCTGATGAGTGACACTCGATTGGCAACAAAAGTCTTAAATCTGACACTGTCATTTGCAATGTATCTTAGCACTGTGGTGCTATCAGTCCAGAAAGTAGATTCCTCTAGAGCCATTTGTAGCTCATTTCTCATTAGTTTGTCAATTTTAACAGCCACAGCAGCCGCTGTAAGCTCTAACCTGGGAATGGTTGTTTGTTTCAAAGGTGAAACTCTTGACTTGCCCAGAACAAATGAGCAGTGGGTTTTTCCTTTTTAATTTGTGAGTCGAAGATACGAAACAACTCCGTACCCACGTTCACTCGCATCTGCAAAATGATGCAGTTGTGCAGATATGATCTTTTCAAATCCAACTGGTTTAAAACATCTGTCAACCGTAAATCCTTGTAGTTTTGTCAAGTCCGATATCCACTCCTGTGACTTTCGAGCGAGTTCTGTCGGAATGTCTTCGTCCCAGGAGAATTTCTTTCCACACAATTGCTGCAATAGGATTTTTGCCGGGAGAATAACTGGGGACAAAAATCCTAAAGGATCGTAGATTGAACTCACATAAGACAAAATGCTGCGCCTTGTTTGTGCTACTGGTTTAGCATTGATTTTGATTTTAAACGAGTCTGTTTCAACACACCAATTTACTCCTAATACTCGTTCATCCGGCAGCATGTCATGACAGAGATCTATTGCTTTGATTTCGGTTGCTCTCTCTTTTTCAGGAATGGAGGCTAAAACAGCTCTACTGTTGCTATTCCACTTTGTAAGACGAAATCCTCCACTTCTACAAAGCTCTGTCAGCCCTTTTACCATAGTGCAGGCCTTACTTTCATTTGAAACAGACAGCAGGCAATCATCAACATAGAAATTGTTCTGCACCGCACACACGGCCATGGGTAGCACCTTATCTGTGGCATCTTCTGCAGTTTTCTTTAAAGCAAAGTTAGCGCAACTGGGGGAAGCTGTTGCACCAAACAAATGCACTGTCATTTTGAACTCTTGCAAGGGCTCATCCAAGTTTCCTTCAGGCCACCAGAGAAAGCGTAGCATGTCAGTGTCCTCTGGTGGTACTTTAACCTGGTGATACATTGCCTCTATGTCTGACATTAAAGCAATGTGATCGTGTCTGAAGCGTGTTAAAACGCCAATAAGTGTGTTCGTCAAATCAGGACCTTGTAAAAGTTCCTGGTTCAAGGATTTTGACTGGTACGAGACAGTACAATCAAAAACAACACGCATCTTTCTTTTCTGTGGGTGGTGCACCCCATGATGAGGTATGTACCAAACTCTGCCGTCATCACGTTCAAGTTGTTCTTGTGTCAAAGGTACTGCATATTCTTTGTCTATTAAGTCAGACATAAACATTGTGTACTCTTTGTGTAAGTTGCTGTCCTTGAGCATTTTTCTTTTAAGGCTTTGTGCTCTCTGTACCACTACTGAGCGGTTATTTGGTAATTTGACTGACTTGTTCTTTAAAGGGAGGCCAATACAATAATGACCATCAACCTTCTTAACAGTGTCTTTGACAGAGTCCATGAATTGTAAATCTTCTCGAGACATCTCATACTTCTCCTCTGAAGCCTTTTCTGGAAAGTCATGGTTGATCTGTTTTAAACACAGTGTTTCTATTTCTGACATAGAAATGTGATTTACTGAAGCACTATGATCCTTTTCATAGTCATTTTTCTTCAGAGGGCCATTTATGACCCAGCCTAGGATTGTGCGGACTGCGTAAGGACCATCATCTACACTATGGATGATCTCCCAAGGTTCCATTGCCTTGTAAGCATTTGCTCCTATTAAAAGTCCAACATCTGCATCTATCTCAGGCAGTTCAACACCATGCAAATGCGGCCACTTTTCTAAATCAAGTTGCACAGGAATGCTTTCTTTTGACACTGGTATATCCTTGTGAGTGTATGTGTCTGGTAAGTCAATGTACACATTATCTTTTACACCGCAAACCTCTAAGCCTGAAACAATGTAACTTGGCTCTAACTTTTTCTGACCCATGGTGCGAAGAAGTATTTGTGTTTTCTTCCCTTCTATGCCAAGCTGTCTCATTAGTTTCTCTGAGCAAAAAGTTGCTTCACTGCCATTGTCCAAAAACGCGTAAGTGTCGATAGTTTTGTTGTTCTTCTTGAGATTTACGTGAACTGGCACGATTGCCAAAACTCTACTGCTATTACCGGCCCCGGTAGCACCACATGTACCACCTGTGATTGGTATAGGGCTGACGGCTTCAACATTACAGTTTTCCGTTTCATTTCTGGATTGCTGGTAATCTACTGCTGCATTCTCAGTTTTTTCATAGTGAAGCATGTTTGGATGCCGTTTGGAGCAGTAGTCACATTGGATTCTTTTTTTACAGTCTTTGCTCAAATGTCCTTGAGTTAAGCATGAAAATCAGAGTCCTTTTATCTTTAGAAACCCCACTCTTTCCTTATGAGATAGTTTTCTTATTTTCTGACACTCTGCAAGTGTGTGATTATTTTCACAAAACATGCACGGTTTCTGAAAAGCAGTCTGTTGCAAGTTGCTCTTATTAGCTTCTGGCAACCGCTCTTTAGTTGCAGGTGCTACACTGGTAGCAAATGCACTGCCCCTAGGTCTAAATGTCCTGTTTGTATTATTTGGTCTTTGACTTTGCTGTTTTCTGTCATCAGCATCTTTAATGTTACCAAATAATGGATCTGAAGCTATCTTTGCTTGTCTGTTTACAAATCTAACCAGATCTGAAAACTTTGCTCTTCTACCAGAGTTTTCTTGAATATCAAAAGCAGAGACTCTCCACATGTCTCTCATCTTATATGGTAATTTGGAGACTATGACTCGGAGGTTAGTTGGATTATCTAGTTCCTCAAGTTGGTTTAAATCTTGCAATGCATTTTTACAACCTATTAGAAATAGAGAGTAACTGTGAAGAGCCTTGGCATCATCTGCCTTTACCTGAGGCCAGTTTACAGCTCTATTCAGGTAAGCAGTCGCAATCTTAATCTCATTGCCATAGTGATAATGTAGAAGTTTCATTGCCTCTATGTAACCAAGATGAGGGCTCATATGTTGGCAACTTCTAACTAAGTCTCTAGGTTCACCTCTTGTGAATTGTTCAAGATAGTAAATCTTGTCACTGTCGTTATCTGTTTTGCCACTAATTGTATGCTCAAAAGCTCTAAAGAAGGATCTGAACTCTAACGGATCACCACTGAAAATGGGAACGTCTCTTTGAGGTAAGTTTGTAAGTCTTTGTTGTTTAACCAACATTTCTGTTATGTCGTTTTGTTTTAGCATTACTTCACTAAGGTTAAGCTCTTTGTCCATTTCTAATTGTTGAGTGGGAAACTCCATTTTAGGTTCGTTCATGTGGTAAGTATGAGGCTGTTCATTAGTCACAATGGGAATTTGTTTGTACCTCCTAACTGAGCGTTGGCTAGTTACGCTGTAGTTCTCATTTTCCTCATACTCAACATCCTCAAACACCTTTATCTTTGCCGTGGAAACAGCTATTTGAGTTTCCATCTCCAGCTGGTCTTTTTTGGCTTTTAACTTCAGCTCTTCAAACTCCAATACTTGTTTTTCTTTGAGTTTTTCTGCTTGAGCAATCAGTGCAGCTCTCTCCGCTTGTTCCTTTCGACGCGCAGAAGATGTAGAAGTTGATGAACCGCAGAGGCTGGTCTTGGTCCTGGACACGCAGGATCCTGGTCGCAGTCTCCTTTCATTACCGTTCATCGATGCGCTGTCATCTGGGTCCACGTCGTCCTGTTGTGGGAGTCTTGCAGAAAATGACCATTTATCAATTTCTAATATGAAATTGCTATACTGTTCCTTTTTGGGTATGAACCAGTATGTCTGGTCAGCTTCTTTCTCTTCTTCACATAGCAACTGAAGAACATTTTCATTTGCCTGATCAAAGTCCCTCATAAGTGTTGTAAACTCACTTAAATGTTCATTAACTGTATCAGGATGTTCATAGTTTTTCATCATGGCATTCATTTTCTTCATCTTTGCTGTCAGTAGAGCGAGTTTTGCTCTTCTTGTATTCATTTGTCTGTGTTACTGGTCTTCAAGCCCTTTTTCCGTATACTTTGACGCCCTCTTGTGGGCATCTTCACCGCCGCACTTTTCGTCCGTCATATTCAGTTCGCCTCGTAATTTTCAACAGATCTAATAATGTAGTCTATGACACAAAGCATTCATTGCTTTCTTCATAAGTGTCATCTAGCAAAGACTACAAATATTATGTTGTCTCATATTTCTTGGCTTGGCTCATAACTGTCAGTTACCAGTCTGTGGATGGTCTCTCTTTTCCCTGAAGAGCCGTTGCCGCGACCGTGGACTCTTCTCCGGCTCGTTTTCGGGAGCTGAGTTGTTTTACTTGATATAGAGGCTAATCTTGATTTCATTTCTTTGTAGTTTCTAATTTACCCTCTTCTGTATGAGATGAATTGAGCCTGTTTTCACGCGTTAGATGCAGTCGCACCAGACGATAAAACAACTGTGTTGCTCTCCATCTCTCGTTTATTCAAGGTACAGCCGTTATATTACTTTGTTGCGTAGCAACATGTAACAACAACATCAGAGCATGGCGCGTGCCAAAACCATGTACTTACTCAAATCAAATCTCATTACAATCATGTTGGCATAACATTTTCTAAATTAAATCAAATATTAATAATGACATGTAAATTATGTGAATACAATAAACATGTAAAAATGGCGCTTACACCTACTATGAGTCAAACTAAGTTCATAAACTCTGTCCTGTGTGATTCCTTACCTTGTATCAACAGGATTTAATGAAGCGGTGTTCTAATGCAATGTTGATTTTTTGGTTAAAAACAATATCTCTATCTATTTTAACACTAGAGCAGTCAATCTGACAGCTTTTTAATTTCAGTCTTCATATTTTGTGACATTGTCTGTGTCTAGATCTAGTTTACTTTTATGTTAAGTTTATGAAATTGTCTGGACAGTAGCAACACATTGTTTTACTTGCAGCAGTTAGAATTTAGTTTTGCTATATTTAATTTATTTCAACCAGTATTATTATGTATGGAAGATAAAAAGCTGAATTACTTACAACTAATTGATACAAGTGAAAACCTAAACGTGTAGAGTTCCTGTGCTCTGGAGGAGGCTCACATTAAAAATAGAAAACCAGATGAATCACTGCATATATGGTGCAAGGTTTGAAGAACTGGAAAAAGTAGCGGCTGAAAATCCAGCATTTATGGTACATTCACCACATGTGTCACTGTCACTTTACTTTCTCATCTGTGCAATAATAATCTGAATAATGTCAGAAAGTGAATGTAGAGCCATATGTGTCACTGTTCCTCTACAGAGTCACTTTGTCCCATACCTCATGCTTCTTGTTATGCAAAATTTTTATTAAGCTAAAGTTAGTTTTTTTTTTTCATATAGTATAGAGTTATTGTTCATTTATCTTGTGCTGTGTGCTCCTCATTCCTACTGTTCTGTGACTGGTGATGCAACACTGACATTTCCCCCACTGTGGGACGAAAAGGGGATCTCTTATCGCTTTAATTAAGCATCTTCAAAGAATAAGAGTGTTACCCATGAGAAGGTTTCGGAGCGTGTTTTCTCCAGCTCAGTCTGCAGATCTGAGAGCTGGTTCCTTCCCCGCACCATCATGAGGTGATGGTTGTCTCTTAACGTCACGAGTTCTGTCCTGAGCGTGTTGATGCGTTCGTGATCACAACTGTCCTTCTCAGAGAGCTGCTCCCTGAAGTGCAGAAGATTCTCCAAATGATCCACCTGCTCCTGGACTTCCTCAAACTGAATCAAAAGCATCTTTGTCACAACCTAATACAATATAGTAAGGACTTTATGTAACAGTAAAAACAATGCCAATTTAAAAAAACAAGACACAGTACAGTACTATTGAGCAAACACCTGTTTAGAAAGCAGACAGTCATTATTGTAAACATATAGACCACCTTTGAATAACCCACATTAAAAACAATGGTTCACTCGTGGACACATTTGGTGGTTGTAAGTGTGTGAACATTCTTGTGCATAAACAATATAGACATCATTTACTTTTCTTGATTTATAATTCTCGGTAATCCTAATCCTCATTTGCACAAATTTCTTAACATTTAGCTCAGTGTATTTTTATATAGTAATTTAATGTTTGTTTTATGTGCATCTATTTGTGTTTTATGTGCACTACAGCCACTGACAGTCTTTTGTATGACAGTTTTGTATATAATGATGTAACCCTAACCCTTGACAATTATTTGTTGACAATTTGTGTTTTCAATAAAACAGGAGAATGTTTGAAAACAGTAGATCACGGCAGTATTTGTATTTACCTGGGATATTTCTACGACTTGTTTCATAAAGTCATGGAACACAGAGTGGCTGTGCACTTGCAGCTCCAGATCAAACTTCTTCCGCTGCAGCTGCTGCATCTCCTCAGTCAGCCTCTGCTTCTCAGCCTCCAGAGACACAACCTCCTCCTTTTTGCCTTCTGCCTTCTTCAACATTTGGTCTGTATCTTTGGACTTTGATGACTTCAATCATTATTAGTACACGTCATTGTTTGGATATTTGAATGCATTAACACAGGCCTCTTACCTTCAGAAAATCTTTCTGGCTCAGATGTTGTTTCTGAAGATGAGCCATCTCTTTGTGAAGAACATCTTTGCTTGACTTTATACTTTCCAGGATCTTAAACCAAAAGCATAGTTCTTCCACACAACAGCACATTTCCTAATAATCCTAAATCATCCAGATTACCAACCTTTTTGCGTTTCTCACATTTTGAGACTAGCTCTTCTTCATCTCGACTTAACTTCTTTATTTCAAAAAAACTATTGCTCCAGGTAAAGATGTCATTTTCAGAGGTGAAGCTGCCCTCTGTAGACAACTGATCAAACCCAACACTGAAAACAAGTCCCTAAACATTAAGATTAGAATCTAACGAAAATGGTTATTCTCAATGCAGACTGAACAGAAATCAGAAAAACATACCTTGCCGACTGTGGGTGGCTCTCACTGGTGCACATGGCTTTCCCTGCTCTTTACAAATCTTTTACTCTTTCTCGGTCTTTGAGGAACATTTGAAGGCCCCTCCCACTGTCTCCATGGTGACACCATACCAGAAGTCAGACGAGTCCCACAGAGACCCTAGGAGTCTGAGTGCAGGTACATTAAATGAAAAATCCACTAAACGATGAATAATTTATTTCATTTTCCCAGACTGTACACAGGAAAAGGGTGTATAGTTTGCGATATATTTCAATTTGTACTGCACCTATTCAAGCTGCTGTAACTAACTTTCCAAACCTCGACAAAGCAACACAATACAGTACAACTTGTCGCTCACAAAACAGTTTGGTTCTATCGGTAGTTTTTACATGTAGGCACATTTTGGCCTCGGTCACATACAATCAAATCTTTAAATCAGCTTCTTCAGAACAGAAAAGTGAAAAATAAAAGACCAGCCCTCAAATAATGAGTCACTATAACATGGAGAGGTTACTTGCATTCATTTTATTTTCACAACACTTTTTCTGTTGGCACAAACAACATGTTGTACAGATAATTATTGGATAAAAAAGTGAGGAACCCCAGTTTTAAGATTTCCCTTTCAGCATGTGTGAATACTTTTATCATGGTTTCACAGTAAGTACAAATATTAAAGGCACAAGGAAAAACAGTCATGCTCTATGGCTCTTTGTCAAGAAACAACTCAGATTGATAAGTCTTTCCTATCAGCTTCTCTAGACCCTGAAAAAACAAAACACAAATTAAACAAGATTTGGTACAAATACAGCTTTAGAAACAAGCATTTATTTCATAGTCACCAATCTCACCTCCCCGAAGTAGGACACCAATGGCGAGATCTCAAATTTAGCTGGAGCATTGATCGTTCCTGAGTCTCTGTAAAAATAAACACTAATACAAGTGGCTGTGTGTAATAGCTCAATTATATATTTGTTGTTATATATAGTAGTCATCTAGTTCACCAACACAGGTCAGAGAATCAAATATTGCATTTCCTGTGTTTGAACTGATAAAAAACACATAGAGCCATTGGTCCATAATGTCAATAGACACGTCTTTGCTTCCGCCTCCGTCGAGCAAAGACGTGTCTCAGACGCTCCTGCTTCTGACTGCTTGCTATCTCCTGTTTTTGTCTTTTTCCTGGAGTTTTGCCACAGACAACTTTAACAAGAATGGAAATGATTAACTGGTCCCTCAACGCAATTGATTCTATCTTTTCAACACGTAAGCGTGGGTCTGGAGAGCCCGTGTGCCCGGACGGGACTTCACCGGCGGGGTATACTCTTGACAGCTGGAACAAGTTTCAGCCCCTCTGTCTGTCGACCCTGTCCATTGAAGATTCGGAAGACGTATATATCTTTGGCATTTTGGTGGTGGGAATCCTCCTGTTTGGGCTTGGAGCGATTCTCTTCTACCACAAATTCGGAGGCATGGCAGTTCGCAAGATTCACGACCTGCTGCCCGACAAAATTGATGGGATGTACAAGGAGCTTAGCCGCGTCGTGGTTGAGAGCGCCGTGTCTGGACAAAGGAGAGTGGTTTTGGTGGAACAGTTGATAAAAGATCTCGCAGCTCGTTCACTCGATGGACATAAAACTCTGGAGTTGAGATTGAATGACATTGTGTGTCAGGCTTGAACTCTCTGACCCGGCTTGGATTTGCCCCTGTGTACGGGGTCTGAGGGCGCCGCAATTCGGTTTAATTGGATTTAATAGAATATCTGCCTGACATTGCATTTAATATTGTCCCCCTGAGGCGATGTGTTTTTCTCCTCCTGTGCCTTACCTACTATGAGTCAAACTAAGTTCATAAACTCTGTCCTGTGTGATTCCTTACCTTGTATCAACAGGATTTAATGAAGCGGTGTTCTAATGCAATGTTGATTTTTTGGTTAAAAACAATATCTCTATCTATTTTAACACTAGAGCAGTCAATCTGACAGCTTTTTAATTTCAGTCTTCATATTTTGTGACATTGTCTGTGTCTATAGATCTAGTTTACTTTTATGTTAAGTTTATGAAATTGTCTGGACAGTAGCAACACATTGTTTACTTGCAGCAGTTAGAATTTAGTTTTGCTATATTTAATTTATTTCAACCAGTATTATTATGTATGGAAGATAAAAAGCTGAATTACTTACAACTAATTGATACAAGTGAAAACCTAAACGTGTAGAGTTCCTGTGCTCTGGAGGAGGCTCACATTAAAAATAGAAAACCAGATGAATCACTGCATATATGGTGCAAGGTTTGAAGAACTGGAAAAAGTAGCGGCTGAAAATCCAGCATTTATGGTACATTCACCACATGTGTCACTGTCACTTTACTTTCTCATCTGTGCAATAATAATCTGAATAATGTCAGAAAGTGAATGTAGAGCCATATGTGTCACTGTTCCTCTACAGAGTCACTTTGTCCCATACCTCATGCTTCTTGTTATGCAAAATTTTTATTAAGCTAAAGTTAGTTTTTTTTTTTCATATAGTATAGAGTTATTGTTCATTTATCTTGTGCTGTGTGCTCCTCATTCCTACTGTTCTGTGACTGGTGATGCAACACTGACATTTCCCCCACTGTGGGACGAAAAGGGGATCTCTTATCGCTTTAATTAAGCATCTTCAAAGAATAAGAGTGTTACCCATGAGAAGGTTTCGGAGCGTGTTTTCTCCAGCTCAGTCTGCAGATCTGAGAGCTGGTTCCTTCCCCGCACCATCATGAGGTGATGGTTGTCTCTTAACGTCACGAGTTCTGTCCTGAGCGTGTTGATGCGTTCGTGATCACAACTGTCCTTCTCAGAGAGCTGCTCCCTGAAGTGCAGAAGATTCTCCAAATGATCCACCTGCTCCTGGACTTCCTCAAACTGAATCAAAAGCATCTTTGTCACAACCTAATACAATATAGTAAGGACTTTATGTAACAGTAAAAACAATGCCAATTTAAAAAAACAAGACACAGTACAGTACTATTGAGCAAACACCTGTTTAGAAAGCAGACAGTCATTATTGTAAACATATAGACCACCTTTGAATAACCCACATTAAAAACAATGGTTCACTCGTGGACACATTTGGTGGTTGTAAGTGTGTGAACATTCTTGTGCATAAACAATATAGACATCATTTACTTTTCTTGATTTATAATTCTCGGTAATCCTAATCCTCATTTGCACAAATTTCTTAACATTTAGCTCAGTGTATTTTTATATAGTAATTTAATGTTTGTTTTATGTGCATCTATTTGTGTTTTATGTGCACTACAGCCACTGACAGTCTTTTGTATGACAGTTTTGTATATAATGATGTAACCCTAACCCTTGACAATTATTTGTTGACAATTTGTGTTTTCAATAAAACAGGAGAATGTTTGAAAACAGTAGATCACGGCAGTATTTGTATTTACCTGGGATATTTCTACGACTTGTTTCATAAAGTCATGGAACACAGAGTGGCTGTGCACTTGCAGCTCCAGATCAAACTTCTTCCGCTGCAGCTGCTGCATCTCCTCAGTCAGCCTCTGCTTCTCAGCCTCCAGAGACACAACCTCCTCCTTTTTGCCTTCTGCCTTCTTCAACATTTGGTCTGTATCTTTGGACTTTGATGACTTCAATCATTATTAGTACACGTCATTGTTTGGATATTTGAATGCATTAACACAGGCCTCTTACCTTCAGAAAATCTTTCTGGCTCAGATGTTGTTTCTGAAGATGAGCCATCTCTTTGTGAAGAACATCTTTGCTTGACTTTATACTTTCCAGGATCTTAAACCAAAAGCATAGTTCTTCCACACAACAGCACATTTCCTAATAATCCTAAATCATCCAGATTACCAACCTTTTTGCGTTTCTCACATTTTGAGACTAGCTCTTCTTCATCTCGACTTAACTTCTTTATTTCAAAAAAACTATTGCTCCAGGTAAAGATGTCATTTTCAGAGGTGAAGCTGCCCTCTGTAGACAACTGATCAAACCCAACACTGAAAACAAGTCCCTAAACATTAAGATTAGAATCTAACGAAAATGGTTATTCTCAATGCAGACTGAACAGAAATCAGAAAAACATACCTTGCCGACTGTGGGTGGCTCTCACTGGTGCACATGGCTTTCCCTGCTCTTTACAAATCTTTTACTCTTTCTCGGTCTTTGAGGAACATTTGAAGGCCCCTCCCACTGTCTCCATGGTGACACCATACCAGAAGTCAGACGAGTCCCACAGAGACCCTAGGAGTCTGAGTGCAGGTACATTAAATGAAAAATCCACTAAACGATGAATAATTTATTTCATTTTCCCAGACTGTACACAGGAAAAGGGTGTATAGTTTGCGATATATTTCAATTTGTACTGCACCTATTCAAGCTGCTGTAACTAACTTTCCAAACCTCGACAAAGCAACACAATACAGTACAACTTGTCGCTCACAAAACAGTTTGGTTCTATCGGTAGTTTTTACATGTAGGCACATTTTGGCCTCGGTCACATACAATCAAATCTTTAAATCAGCTTCTTCAGAACAGAAAAGTGAAAAATAAAAGACCAGCCCTCAAATAATGAGTCACTATAACATGGAGAGGTTACTTGCATTCATTTTATTTTCACAACACTTTTTCTGTTGGCACAAACAACATGTTGTACAGATAATTATTGGATAAAAAAGTGAGGAACCCCAGTTTTAAGATTTCCCTTTCAGCATGTGTGAATACTTTTATCATGGTTTCACAGTAAGTACAAATATTAAAGGCACAAGGAAAAACAGTCATGCTCTATGGCTCTTTGTCAAGAAACAACTCAGATTGATAAGTCTTTCCTATCAGCTTCTCTAGACCCTGAAAAAACAAAACACAAATTAAACAAGATTTGGTACAAATACAGCTTTAGAAACAAGCATTTATTTCATAGTCACCAATCTCACCTCCCCGAAGTAGGACACCAATGGCGAGATCTCAAATTTAGCTGGAGCATTGATCGTTCCTGAGTCTCTGTAAAAATAAACACTAATACAAGTGGCTGTGTGTAATAGCTCAATTATATATTTGTTGTTATATATAGTAGTCATCTAGTTCACCAACACAGGTCAGAGAATCAAATATTGCATTTCCTGTGTTTGAACTGATAAAAAACACATAGAGCCATTGGTCCATAATGTCAATAGACACGTCTTTGCTTCCGCCTCCGTCGAGCAAAGACGTGTCTCAGACGCTCCTGCTTCTGACTGCTTGCTATCTCCTGTTTTTGTCTTTTTCCTGGAGTTTTGCCACAGACAACTTTAACAAGAATGGAAATGATTAACTGGTCCCTCAACGCAATTGATTCTATCTTTTCAACACGTAAGCGTGGGTCTGGAGAGCCCGTGTGCCCGGACGGGACTTCACCGGCGGGGTATACTCTTGACAGCTGGAACAAGTTTCAGCCCCTCTGTCTGTCGACCCTGTCCATTGAAGATTCGGAAGACGTATATATCTTTGGCATTTTGGTGGTGGGAATCCTCCTGTTTGGGCTTGGAGCGATTCTCTTCTACCACAAATTCGGAGGCATGGCAGTTCGCAAGATTCACGACCTGCTGCCCGACAAAATTGATGGGATGTACAAGGAGCTTAGCCGCGTCGTGGTTGAGAGCGCCGTGTCTGGACAAAGGAGAGTGGTTTTGGTGGAACAGTTGATAAAAGATCTCGCAGCTCGTTCACTCGATGGACATAAAACTCTGGAGTTGAGATTGAATGACATTGTGTGTCAGGCTTGAACTCTCTGACCCGGCTTGGATTTGCCCCTGTGTACGGGGTCTGAGGGCGCCGCAATTCGGTTTAATTGGATTTAATAGAATATCTGCCTGACATTGCATTTAATATTGTCCCCCTGAGGCGATGTGTTTTTCTCCTCCTGTGCCTTCTCTCCACTCTTATCTCACATTCCTCGGGCCAAGGCCATAATAACAAAGGTCCCATCTACAACAACTCACACTATTTCAGTCTCCAGCTTGGATCCCCTACCCCCGCCTCCCTCGATCCATCTTGCTCCCTCCCTCCCTTCCACTCCGTGCTTTATACAAAGCACAAATGTGTCTATCCAACTGTCTGTGAAACTGTATGTTATTGCTCTCTGCTGTTTATTCTACTGTTTGTCGCATGGCGCCGGAAAGATGGCGCCGTGGCAAGAGCTCTGGTGTGTGTCGTCTTCTCTGTCTGGTGCACACCGGGGTAGTCTTGCACAGTTTTCCAATGTGGTTTTACTGCAAATGGCAAATAAATGATTCTGATTCTGATAGATGCCCGTAAATGTTGCTGAATGTTTCCTATTGTGGATCATTACCACTGTTCTTAGACCCTCCTGCATTGGCAAGGAACGACTCAATAAACCAGTGGAGGGACGGGCTATAGATCCAGGACTCAGGGCTGAAGTAGGAGGCCACAGGGTTGAGGCGGCATAATCTTAACAATAGATTTCTCACTGCACAAACCTGCCAGTATTAACGGCATTTCCGTCTTCGTCCAACAGAATGGCTCCAGCGGCAGAGGCCCAGCGACAGTGCAGCTGCAGCAGTGCGTTTCGGGCCGTGGAGGGACTGTCCGCTCCGTCTGCGTTCTTCAGAGGAGAAAACTCATCCTCCCTCACAACCTCAAATACCACAAAGCTCCTTCAACAGACACAGAGCAGTAGGAATATTAGAGTCCACACTGAAAGACTAAAGGTACAAACAGTAGGAGGAGGATGGGGCACATACCTTGAAAAGGGAAAGACATCAAAAACAAACTTCTCCATCTTTATGCCGTTTGGTTTTGTCGGCCTGACTTCATTTCCACATTTGTCAATGAAAGGCACCTTCTTAAGTGCAACATGCTGCTTCAAGTGTTTCTTATGATTCCTGCAAAAGGAAAGTCTGTCATTCAGGGCTTAATACCCAAAAATTAGTGTATTATACAAAATGCTAAAACTGAAATGTTGTTGATGTTTTACTAATGTTTGATGTTGCACTGAACTGTGGCAGTTGTGTGGGAAACAATTTAGTTTTGATGATGTTTTTAAACTGAACAGAACTGTCAACAACTTAAGCCTGGAATCTTACAATAACATAATTTATGGTTTAATCTCTTACATTGCCACATCCTGCAGAAAGAGCCGAGTGAAGAAGTGATTGCAGATGTTGCCTGCGCTGTAGACCAGCTCTCCGCTCTTTCCTCTGAGCTCCACTGTGGAGCTGTGGACCTCACTGTACTCCACCACCTGAGCCACGCCCTGCACCCTGCACACCACCCCTACAGGCTCTGAAGGGCAGGCCTTCTGCACCACCTGAGACCAGGAGGGACACACACTGTTCTGTGCCTGCTTGGACAAAAAGGTTTTCTGTACATCATTATTATACATAAGTCATACCTTGGCTCCACAATCAGCTCCTTTACTGACACAGAATCCGATGAATACTGGGTCGGCCATCTTAACCAGGATGTTGTCTACGCAGTAGACATGCAAATACTCCACCCCTCTGGTCTTCATGTCCTCCAACACATTGTTGTCCTCCAGAGCCTGATACAAGCCCCCGTTTCCATCTGAAAAGATTAGTGTTATTTGTTGTAATTCTACTTTATTGACTCCAGAATACTGTAATAAAAGTACCTGGTGCCATGGCAATTTTCCCTTTACCCTGAAGGATAACTTTTCCGTCAAAAGTCACTGCTGGGATCATTCTCTGCTCAAACATGAAGATATTCTGTGGGTCAAGGCCAAAGTAGTTGTTTTCTTTGAAAAACGTTTCAGTTGGATTCAGTGTAAACTCACTTGTCATTATGTACCTAAAGTTTTCAACACAACACAAGATAAGTTTATTTCAAGAGCTTATGAACATGATCTGAGAATAGAAAAGTGTATTAATTATCTTACCATGGGACAGTACATTTGGTTCCATGCTTTGCTTCTGCCAGTTCTTGGATTTTATGAATGCGTTCAGCTTGTATTTGATACAATGTTTTTCCACTGGGCAACCCCACATCGTACATTCCCTTGGGGTACTTAACACCCAAGCGGGTCCCCTGTCCACCAGCAAGGAGGAGAACCCCGACTCGATTCTTTGAGATTTGGCAAAGTCCTGCAATTGTCATTAAAACAGAATAGGAAAAATAGTATGACATGATTGACAGACTCCAATGCTGGGAATGTGTCAGACTGAGTAGGTTCGACCCTGTATTAGCCTACCTTCATGTTCCCAGTCCTGTAGTGCAGCGCTGTCACTGCTCCTTGTGCCTCCCATCGCCTCCGGAGGCACAGGCTCCATGAGTTCATCCAGACTGTCCGGGACCGCGGCTGCTGCAGCGGCGGCCGCCTCACAGTGCTCCTTCAGCCCGGACACATCCAGCTGACACAGCTCCTGGTAAAAAACCGCTCTCTCGGATTCATTTAACTCAGACCAAAACTGGAGGACGTGCGTCTGGCCCGCGTCCTCCAAACGCTGCTTTAACTCTTCCAGACACAACATTGTTCCTTTTCTTCAGAAGCGACCAAGGCTGTGCTTCTCTGCAGCCGCCTGGACGGAAACTCACGTCTGTGCCATAGACTCATGAGAAGGAAATGACTGAACCCGTGACTGCGGCTGTGCAAACAAAGTGCTGCGGCGCAAACTTCTTCTCTTGTCAGCAAGGCACTTTTCTCGATATTTGGCACGAACCCCTGTGATCCGGGAGTAATAATGACGCTGACGTGGCCGCACCATAGACAGGATCACGAGAGCATCACGAGACAAAAAAACAAATCTTCAAAATTATATTTATTATTTTCAACAATATATTTCATAACAGTCATTTGTGTCAATCTTCCAAACAGAACGATGTACTTCTTATTTTTAAACAGAAAATAAACAACTATATGCATCGAAATGACCGTTTTATCAATTTGTTCCTGTGTCCAGAAATGACATCTGATCCTGTGGGATATCATGTCTGAACAAAATACATCAAGTCACACTGTATAAGAGCAGAGGTGGTGCTTAGGCATATCTAAGGGATCTACAGACTGAGTCACTAGGAAGAAACACAGCTTTTGAGCCTTTAAAAAAATAAATAACAATAAATATTTATATATATATATATATATATATATATATATATATATATAAAAAGATAGTAAAAGTCAAAGCCGATATCTAAAGTGCATTGAATCCCATACTTTGTATTTAACACAAAGCACTCACAAATCTGTGACCTCCAGGACATTGTGTTAAGACACTCGTTACAATCGGGAAAAGTCACTCAAAAGATTTATAGTTCAAGTTGCAGTTATGAAGATCAATGATCCATTTTTTCATGTATTTGCAAAACCACGCAAGTTGAAGAATTTACTTAGCTTTTAAAATGCTACAATAACTTTGTATCTATTTGCAAACAAAAGCAGAAGTGAGATTTTAACATGCCACTTTTGAATTACAACACACATATTTATTATATGTTGGACTCAATTAAATAATAATTTAAATCATATCAATAAAAGAAAGTTAAAATATGTATGATTCTGTCATTAATTATAGCAGCTAAGGTTTATGTTTTGAATGAGTCTTAAAGTGAGGAGGGATGAGAATAACTCTGCATGTTCACGATTTCACATTGTTGTAAGAACGTTCAGTGGCCAAAGTGAACAAGTGCATATTAACAAAAATATGACTACAATGTTAAATGTAAACATTATGTTCAACTGTAAGCTGCCTCTTGCATGATTTTGCGAACATTCAGGAATTGGTAAATAAAATCCTCAATTCATCTCTTTCCTCACTTGGACTGGACACCTAATGTTCTCTTGAGGTACTCGTAAACAACATAGCTGATGCTGACAGATGGAATGACCTTCATAAAGTTGGGGGCCAGGCCTCGGTAGAGTCCCAGGGCCCCTTCAGTCTTTAGGATATGTTTAAACAGGGTGGTCATATTCATTTGAGGACCTCCATCAGTTGCTAAGAGAAAAGCAGACAACAGATTAAAAAACAAGAAATATATACGTGATAAATCTTTGTGACGCGTTAGAGCCTGACCTTGTGCCTGCATTCGTGTCCGCACTAACGCTAAAGGGTAGCTCGCCAGCTGCCCACAGGTGCTGGATGTAGTGCCACATGCCAAAAGCACAAACACACCTGGATCAGCACTGTCTGTGGCAAATCGCTGCAGCCAAGAATTCTTTAAGGTCTGTGATAATAATAAAGGAGTTATATTCAAATATAAATGTGGTAAGAAGTTAAAAACTCACCTCATACACAGCGAGGTCGATACCAGCATAGGGGATGATTCCCAATAAGTTTGGGACATAACCTTTATAAAAAGCAGCCACCCCTTCTTTTTGCAAAATATGTTTGGCACAATCTAAAATACCTGCGTACTGTCCTGTTTTCCCCAGTGCTAAACGTGTCTTCAGAACCTGCAAGGAACCACTTTGGTTCAATGAATTTCATCTGTGCATAACTGAATCATAAAAGTGCTACAATACACTACAAAGATAAATGTGGTGATGAAAAGTAGTTTGATCCACAGAAAATGACAAATGATTGGTTGAATACAGATAATGGACCTGATGAGAGGGACATGAATGTGCTTTACCTCCATGGGGTAGATGCTGCTCTGAGCAATTGCCCCAGCGAGAGAGCCTGCCACAAACCGCTCTGTGATTCCCAGAGTCTCTTGTTTAATTCCAATCAGCCGTTTAATCTGAAAATATTCATTTGAACAGTGGTATAAATATCTAAAGGAGATTGATCTGCATGCATAATGCTAACCTGCTCATAGGCCATGAACTTGATCGCTGACTCGGGGGCAATTTTTATTACATTCATTCCGTTGCCTCTCCAGAGGGACCTGACACCACCTTCTCGAATCATCTGGAAAAACCCGCTGGCCATGTGTATGCTGTTCCTCTTCGAGGCGTGGACCTAAATAAGAGATTGTGTATTTAGTGTAGTCTTTAATGCTGACCATGTAAACCCCTTCTGTGCATCTTACCTGCATGAGTACTTTGAGCCTGTCCAGAGGGGCAGTACATGTGCGAGACACTGCCCCAGCTCCTGCTCCTGCCACTAGTAGGCGCCACAACCTCCCGGTTTTCTTCTCCTCGGCTGTGAATTCATCTGGAACCACCAAACTCTCCCCAACATCAAAAATCTTCAAACAGATATAAATATTATTGTGTTATTTGCTAATAATTCACAGTCTTATATTGAGCAATGTTAAGTTACAGTGGCATGTTTCCAGTGCAAGATGATTTCAGGAATGTTGTCTGCTGGATGCAGAAGGTGGTAATCTCGCCACTCGTTCCAGTCAATGGTCATTGTGCCATTTTTATCCATGCTGTAAATAAAAAATAGACAAAATAAATATGCAGATCTATTGATTAGCAAAGCTAGTATAATAAAAAGTGTAAACATTTATTAAAAAGTATTGTATACAGAATCAATTTGTATCTAAAATACAAAGGAATTTGTTAAGTATCATGTAATATATTCCCAAACAGCAGCATCAGTGTACAATTAAAAAAAAAAAATCATATCCAGGACCTTTGCCAGAATCAGAATCAGAATCCTTTTATTGCCAAGTGAGTAACAGGAAGCCACAAAATAGGAAATTGCTTTGGCTCTCGGTGCAAACAAGTTAAATCAGATTAAAATCAAAGGCATGCATAAATAAAAATCTACATACATGTCTTTGGTTTGAAGTGCACTAGGTGCACACAATAGACCCGTTAGAGTGCAGTAGAAATGTTCTTTATGGAATAAGAGCATCTACAAGATGTGTAGGCTTTCCTACAGACATCACAGTATTATAATAAGAATTCCTTTATGCACATTTAATAACACTATATAAAACACAAATAACTAAAAGGTAAAATGGAAAAGAAAGGAAAAGTAGATCACAGATTTTAACACTACTACTTACTACAGAATAGGGGCCCAGATATGGCCCTTCCTTATTCTGAGACCAGACAGTGGAAAGACAGACACAGACAGAGGGTCAGACAGACAGCCCTTTGGTAATGGAAGGACACAACTAAACAAGAAGAAACGGGTGAAACTGGTGAAAGGTCACCTTTTGAGAATTTGATCGGCCTGTTCATCAGAAATGTGCACGCCAAGATCAGACAGGGACTGCATAATCTCCTGAGAATCAATATGCCCTAAGGAGTCAAAGAGAAAACTTAAAGAACGACTATGTTATTGATTTCTTTCCACACACAAACATGACGTACCATCATTTTTCTTGTCTAAACTTTTGAAGACAAGTCTCAATTTCTTTTCATGATCTCGGAGATAATGCACAAACTCGTAAAAGTCTAGCTGCCCATCCAAGTCTTTATCACCAGCTTTTACAATTTTCTGAAAAAAGAGAAAGACAGAAAAACAGTTTTTTGACTTAACATCTATCTGCAATCTCTCAGAAAATCATTTTGGACACTTTTCACCATGAATACTGTCCAGGGAAAGAGCTTTGGAAATTGACTGGACAGCTGAGTTTGTCACTGGAGCTTTAAATTATTGTGATTTATCAATGACAGATTGAATGGCAAGCTTCTTAAAAAAAACTAACTGAGCTTCTAGCAATTAGAGATGAGATGATACTTTATTATCTCACAATGGAGAAATTCAGTAAATCACAATTATTCCAATATCCAATTCATCGTTAAGATTAAACAGGACATGAAACTGAGGTTATACTTTAGCTGTATCAAATAAATAACATTTAGATACAGTCCCATATTGGTATTCAAAAAAGGCTTGTAAACATTTAATTACCAAAAGTGGCCCGACCAAGACTTCCACTTCTGTGTCACTTACCTGTTGAAGATCTCCACGTTCAGTCATTATTACTAAAGTGGTCTTCTTTGAGGTGGGATTGTTTTCCTGTTTGTCACTAATGTCAGCAAGCTGCTCCGAGGAGTCCTCATTAGTGCCCCTACAGTCCACTCTTGTTAACATTATTTGGTCAAATAGATTTAGCATCCTTTAAGCCTAATGTCTGACAAACAGCACAGGTACAAGAGACAACACAAACAAGATGACCTCAAACATGTGATAAAAAAGATTAATCAGGGACAGCTCTGCACCGCCCATGTGGTCTCCATCCTATTCAACTACTTTCTCCCCAGACGTATAACTTAAGTCTATTCAGCAGGATCTAAAACTCACATTTGAAAGCCTAGGGATGCCTTCCTTCTTACTCATCAAACTGACCTGGGTAAATTAGCACCAGATGAGACCATGTTCAGAATGCTGAACCAAGACTTCTGAATGCTTTTGAAACCTGCAGCCTCACTGCAGCCCAGCTGGACCAATCCCAGACTTCAATGCTAACACGTTCTGCTGGAGAGCAATGGCACCAGCGCCTTGGCCAATAGCAGGAGATGCTTGTGAGCCATTACACTGTTAGAGAGGGAGGAGGGAAAGTGATGCTGAGGGGTTCCCGCATAGATCTGCTGAGTGATGCTGATCTGGCCATTGCATATTATTACAGCACCTCGTCTGTTTTGACAGGAATTTTAAGAAATAATGCATGTGCAATGTGCATTGTAGGGCATGTTTGTGGCTTGCCTTCATTGTTTAGTCCTTTTTATCACTTTGTCAGCGTAGAATATGAAGTTGTATGTAACAACCAAAGTTAAATACACTGGGTTCTGGTGTCTTGACACAATTAATTTAAATACAATGCATTAGAACCTTAATTTGCAAAGGGGGGGGGGGGGGGGGGGGGGGGGCATTTCAGATCCCAGCACAGTCATCACTCACCATCAATTCATGTTCGGTGCGATGGACACCCAGTTTCTTCAGCCCGATGGTCAAGTCGTTAATGCAAATGCCCCCATCTCCGTTTACATCAAGGACTTGAAAAAGCACTTTGAATCGGTGTTCTTGTTCAGGTCCTCCACAAATGTCACAACAGTAGTTTGATGCGTAGTCCATGTGGTCTCCAGTAAATGTAGATGGAGGCACTTTGGTGGGGTCGTTCCCACCCCCACCTCCAGCGCCAGGGTCAGCCCGGGGCGGACACTGGCAGTAGTCTGGAAGAACAGGGGCCACTAACGACCCCTGCTGGTGCATCATGAGAGATCAGGTCACACACGTCACATGTGATCTGGACTGAGGTAAATGTCCAAACTCACGGCATATATAGTTATAGTTGGTACAAACACATGGAGGTGAACAGAGCGGCCTGAGCCTGGAGCGAAAGAACACGGCTGTTTCTGACGCCCGTAGCTCAGATGCGGGTGTTCAAATAGCGATGCCCGAAGAAGAGACCAGAACTACCCGCAGATCAGTTCAGACTAGTGGGCCAATTGCAGGTTCGCTCTGTAGGAGCCGTGGTTCCTCTGTGAATCAGATTCATTCAAGAAAAATTATAAAAAGTCGAAGGAATGTGTTGCGCCGCCGGTATCTTCATGAAGTGAGCGGCTTCTCCAGAACTCGCAGCGTATCGCGAGACTAACGATCCAAACACGCCGAGAGTTTGGATAAGACAACGTTTAATCGCAATCACAGCATTACGTGAAGTTAATCATAATGCCGTTGGAGTATGATTAATTTAAGTAATCATATCAAAAACATACAATGCATGTGATCTTCAACCGTTGAATGTTGAATAAACAACTTGAAATACGTAACCAATAGGGCTTCTGCTTATTCCAGGGTCGCATCACATATAGACCAATGAGAGGGCGTGTAGGTGGGTCAGCTACGTAAGGTTGTTCAGAGGAAGAAGAAGCCGATTCTGGAAGCCATTACGTTGCGCACTTAGATTAAGCAAATCCTAGTATTTTGGCGTACAATACGTACAATTACCGACCGCAAGGAGGAAATAGTGCGGGAATGGCATCGCTTGCAAAAAAAAGAAAAATGAATTTCTCAGACAGAGAGATGGAAATAATAGTTGAGGAAATAGAGAAGCAAAAGCATACACTGGTTAACCACTTCAATGCTGGTGTTACACACATGGCAAAGAATCAAGCATGGGTGGATATTCTGAAAAAGGTGAATGCTGTGACTACCTGTCCCAGAGAGTTGGCAGAGGTAAAAAAGAAGTGGTCGGACATGAAGACTGAAGTCCGGCGGAAAGTGGCCCAAGCACGGGCGGCCATAGAGGGGACCTCGGCGGACTGCGCCCCGGTGCCAGTCATCCTCACCGCGATGCAGCAGCGCATCTGTAATCTTCTTGGAGAAGCCACAATCATCAGCATACCTGCAGGGGACTCAGATGCAGAAATAACTTTACCAGTGACTGCTGCAGCCACTGTCACGCTTACAGAAAGTAAATAATAATCATTTATATTTATATTTTTTAATTTCTTTCTCATTTTTTTAGCAATTAATCTCTTAATTATATTTTTTTGTAGCTCTACCTGCTGGCACAGCTGCTGTATGCGAGGATGACTCAAAGTCGTTAAACGGTAAGACTTCCTTTCCCAAATTTGATGAAGAACATTATTCAAACTTTAAAATTCTTTCTGTATTCTACTTTAGTTGAAGCCACGTACCACTCGCTGGAGGACCCAGGAGTTGGAGTTGTGGAGTACTGCACCACCACAGTGGAGGGAGCTGCTCCCACCATGGTGACTGCTGTGGAGGCTCCAGTGGAGATGTTGGCCTCCTCCTCTGAATCACTACCTCAGACTCAAGCCAAACCTCAGGAGCTGAAGAGTCGCATTGCTCTGAACTCTGCTCGCTTACTGCAGGAGCAGCGTGTCACTAATGTGCACATCAGACAGATTGCACAACACTTGGAGGGACATACTGAGCTACTGCAAATGATGAGACGCTCTCAGGAGGCCCAGGCATTTGCCCAGGAGAGACAAGCACAGGCTCTGGAGGGGACACAGGCTGCTCTTCTGGCACTAGTACAGATACTCAGACCAGCTCTAAAGGACATACGTAAATATCTACACAGTGGGACTGATGTTTCAAATACCAGCTGCACTGTAGGACCTGGGATAGTGGATGGAGCAGGACTGGAGGAGCTGAACCGGCCCAAAACACCTCCCACACAACAAAGTGGAGACAATCAATAGACTTGTGCTGCACACTGCGATATGCTTAATATGATTTAGTTATAACGCCTATTGGCTGATCTAATGATGATATTTCCTAGGTGTCTCATGGGAATGTTTGATTCTTTATGTTGATTTAGGTTGTATTGATCTTCTATATTCTGTATGTTGATCGTAAATATAGCATCCTATTTACTTTTTATACAAATGTATATACAAACAAAATTACCTAATACACATCATACATACTTTTTTCATTATAAGTGAAAGCTTTGTGTGTCAGGTCCAGCTTATTTAATTGACTTCAGACAGTCTATGCTTCAGACCATAGACTGTAAATATACACACTTGAACCATTATTACCCGAATATGCCTCTAGAGGTCAGTGTGTACATTCAGACTAGCGCTCATCACTGGATATTTTCATATGAAAACAAGTGTAATTGTCGTGTTAAATTGTGTGTAAAAACGATTATAGATTCTAGATTAATTAATTGCATTTCTATTCAATTTTTTTCCTGCTTCATTAGAATTCAGAATCAGATTTTGTAAGTAAAAAGAAATCACAAATCTGCTTTGGCATAGGGTGCTATACAAAAAAAGTTATACAAAAAGTAAAGAACTGTCTTTTCAAATGTGACTCTGTGATTATATGAATGATAATGATTACTTATTCTCAAGGTACTTTGATTTGCTCTTTTTTAATTTTTTAAAACTTTTGTGCCCAATGCAAGATTTTGGCCACCTGCTCTTGTCTCCGGTGACGTTATCATATTTGTATGAGGAAACAAGTCTAAAAGTAACATTCATTTTTGTAAATGTCTCTGTTTTGTGAATAATTGACAGAAAATATACTTAGAGCACCGTTTCCACCACCCTTACTTGGCCCTACCCTACTTTACTTTTTCAGAGTCTGCTTGGCCCTGGTTCTATCGATTTATAATTCATACTGACAAAGAATATCACAATAAATAAATATATATATATATATATACGTGAGAACAAATACAGTTATATAAGAGTAAAAAGTGAAATTTAAAAGTGGTCAGGAAATACGTTGTTAAGTACTGATACACAAAGACAAAACAAACTTAGTGACTTGGCACCTCTGCATTAGTGTAATAAGCAACCAAAAAAATCTAAAAGCAATAGTTCAGGCACTGTCGAGTCTGCTTTCTTTCGCCAGTGTGCCAAATTACCGTTCAGGAATAAAAATATAAAATGCTTTCAAAGTGTTCTACATTGTGTCTATTCTATTCCTATTGTTTTCCTATCTTATAATTACACCTGAATTTCAGTTTTTTTTGTATGAGTCAACCTATGGAACGCATGATCCAGAATTATTCTGACTTTTATACATTCCCTGCTCTTTAGGGACGGTCCCTAACTCAACTGGAGCATCTGGTGACTCCAAAACTCCGCACAAAGTAAAGCGGGGAATATCAGGATTAGATCTGTACGCGGAAGATCGCAAACGGGACCCGGTCTCTGCAGCAATGCTCACGGCTCGCTCTGACCGACTGAACGGTGAGATTTTTGTGCGCTTTTGTGGGTTTTACAGTGTCGTGGTCGTTGGTTGATTCTAGCGTTTGCGTGGCACGAAGGCGATGAGAGCGGCGGCAGGATCAAAAAGTTGGTTGTGTTGGAAATTATCCCAGGAGACCTCTTTTATGTTTGTACATTGTAGCATTTAGATTTGACAGTGTAACAAATTAAGATTACGAGATTTATTATTCGTCCACAGTGGGGAAATGTCAGTGTTGCATTACAAGTTACAGACTAGTTGAAGGGAGGACACAAGCGAAGTATAGCACAAAACTATACTTAAAAAAATACAATCTCTATCTTTAGCTTATCCTTTTAAAGGATATTAATATAAATGTTGTTTGACTCTGGCAACATTGCTATTATTTGTCTTATTATTCATATCACAATTATTTGCTGTCAACATTAGCAGCCCATAACAACATGTTTAACACGTTTGCATTTACATAACAAAACATTTTAATCTGTTTGGTAAGTCTGCCACAATAACACATTTTGATTGTCAATATATTTTTTACAGAAATATATTGCCCTTTCAGCGTGCCGCTGGTGGGATTTCTCCCCTTCCAGATAACGTGCTGACAAATTACTTATTCGTACCTCAACATAGCTCAAAGAAATTCACTTATCTTCTTCTGCGCTCCCACACGCCGAAAAAAAGAAACAGAGGAAATTCTCTCAAAACAATCCAGAGAATGGCACAAACCGAGCCGCGCATTCTCCACCAAATCTGTAAGGATTTAGCAGACAGAGACGGATCGTGGTGTGCCAAACTCTGGAAGTTTATTTAAGTTTCTCTCAAGTTCCACTAGTTTACTCTGTTTCTTTCCCTCAGACAGAATAAAGGCAGTACACAGTTTATATAGTCATTGTCACGTCACACATCGAAAGACATACGTGTCACAAAGAGACAGTCAAATCATAGTCATAACATGGAGTCCTTGTAGAGTCCTTGTACAGTCCTGCACGTAGGCCATATTGCTATCTAATACTAATATTATGTTTTCTTACATGCTGCATCGATCGCCTGTCAATTTCAAGCTCCATCCTTCCCTCACTCGTGAACAAGACCCAGAGATACTTGAACTCTTCCAATTGAGGAAGGACCTCTCCACCCACCTGGAGAGGGCAAGGCACCTTTTTCCGGTTGACCACCATGACCTCTAATTTGGATGTTATGATTCTCATCCCCCTCCTGTGGACTCATAATAACCTTGACTGCAAGCTGAATTCTTGCAGTATTTGTGAGTTCACAAACACACAAACTCATTTGAGTCCTCCACAATCATCAATCTGGCTTTGGCTAGGTTAGTGGACTCACTAGGGGCTGGTGCTCTGTGAATTGGGTGCAGCTCTGACTGCACCCCTCTGCCCCAGAAATGGATCAAGGGGTAGAATATGAATTAATGAATGGATTCTCATCCCAGCCCCTTCACACTCGGCTGAAAACCGTAACAGTGCATGCTGAAGGTCTTGGAGATGAAATCCTGTGGTCCCCAAACCAGATCCCTTCCGGCCCCTGGCTGCACCTAGAAATTCTGTCCAAAAAGACAGTGAACAAGTTAGGGCTGAAACAACTAATCGATTAATCGACGACTAATCGATTATTGAAATAGTCGACAACTATTTTAGTAATCGATTAATCGTTTTCTGGTTCACACGGACTAAACAGAGCAAAAATGACATGAAAATGTAGTATTTTTGATTAAAGACGACTTTGTTTTTATAATTTCATGAATATCTGTCTGTCTCATCCAATCAGATAGCAGAATTAGCACAAAGAGCCTGTTACAAACATTTACTTTAAGTTTACGCCATCAATACGTCCTTGAGTGTTGCCACTTTAGCTTTTTGTGATGAAAAAATATTTTTTTTCTACACAATTCACAGCCAAGCGATTACTCGATTAATCGTAAAAATAATCGATAGATCAATCGATTACAAAATAATCGTTAGTTGCAGCTCTAGAACAAGTGAAGAGAACCGGTGACAAAGAACACAAAATGCTTTCTGCTTTTCTGTTATTGTGGAATGGCTGCTGTACAAGGTCATTTTATAATAAAAGCCCCGACCATGTAAAAAACAGAAAACTAACGATGGCAAAACAGAAATATCTATATGAAATTAGTTACAACTATAATTATCTATTTGAAGCACAGGAGATTATAGGCTATATGACCACTGGTCTGTTTCTTTATTTTAATTATTATTTTCTCAAAAACACTTTATACTAGACCTTGAACTTAAAATGCAGTAAGTAATAGTTAAATATCAGTCTACAATAAAGTATATCTTCTTCTTCAACACAAACAGCTGTATTCACAGTTTTGAGCTGTACTAAAGCCTCTCCTGCAGCGTTGTCCAAGTTGTTTAACTATCATCCTGTTTAAACTTGAATCTACTATATTACCTTTTTTGTGTGTAAATACTGGGGTTGGAAGTGGAGACACTTGGATGTAAACAAAAGCAGCTATAGCCCTACGCACACTTAATAGCATATGTTGTCATGATAATAAAAAAATTAAACAAGGAAATTAACCCAGAGCTCTGTGGTCCATACGCCCCTGTCAGCAACAACAATCTTTTCATTAACGGAATACAGTTTTACATCTGTAACCCCTTAAATACACCAAGTGACATGCAAGCGTAATGTAACGTTATAGGAGACAAATTAGAAAACATTACATACACCACCCTTCTCCTGGCTCCTCCACTGTGATCAGACAGTTGACGTGTAAAAAAATTGGCTTGTGTGCAGTCTGGCTTAATTATCAGGGTCAATTAAATCTTTTTTGGACCAAGCATATGTTTACTCTATGAAGACGCACTGAAGACGCTTAGTGTAAATTGTGGGAGCCGACTTTTTTGTAAATATAATTCCAAGTAATACATTTCTTATAAAGCCTTTAAATTCTAGAAGTGTTAGCGTTTTTAGCAATATTCGATTAATCAACTCAAACGTAGCTAACGTATGTATTTTATTAAAATGAGGGGAACCCGGTTTCATAGTACTAAAACGCTCCAGGTTTTAAGTGCAAATTAGTCTTGATTGAAGCAAAGGTTTTTTGAAGCAGTAGGTTGGGGACCAATAGATCCATGTTGGGGACGGGGCAGCCAAGAGGAGTTTGTACAAATAGTGGGAGGAGTCTGTTTGTTGACATCGGACGAATACCTAAATCGAAGATTATCTGTAATATAACGCAATTTCTCACTGGAATCAGGACACTTCGCCTTGGCCAAGGCTAAGGTAGACTATTCCCTACAAGGACATACTCCGAAAAACTGCTGACCACTGTTTGTTGTGTGAAATTTCCCACAAACCTGTGTGCTAATGCTAGCTCTGCACCACCAGCTAAGTAAGCTAACATCATAGAGCCAGATAAAGTCATCGGTAGCTGTGCTAATTTATACCTAAAATGCATCGATGGCACTGTGGTGGTGACAAAAACGTGATATCACGTTAGGAAGTAATGTTGTTGTGTCATTTAACTGTATCAATATCGAACAACGTCTTGGCAGTAGCTTTGAGTTATTATTCCTGGTTGCATACAACCTTTTGTGTGAAAAGTAAGAGTGGGCATAAATCAAGTCTTTCTTGGATAATATTTGTCACTGGCTAGCACATTTTATACACTGTTGATGACCAATCCAAATCATAGAAATGTGAAACACTTTCCAGTACATAGACATTATTAACGCGTTATACTTTTGATTCTTTATCCGCAATAATACAAACTAATTATTATTATTTTGTTTTAGTTTAAAAAAGCTTTCACTAATATTTCTACAGGCTGCCTGCCTTGTCATTGGTCTAAGCTGGAACAGAAGAATTGAAAATGGCATCCAAAGCAGGAGACAACCCTGACAGCCTTATGACTCTGGCAACAGAGTTTTGCTTGAAAAATCTCAGGAATACTATGTGTTACCAGAGTTTAAAAAACAAGCTCTGCCTTCGATCTGACATTTTTCTTCCAAGTGAAATCTGTGACAAGTTGGTCAACACGTATGTGACTCATTCTTTATTAAGTTTTATTTTTTATTTTACTGAAATAATCTACATTTTGACTGATTTTGTTTTCGAATCAGGTATATGGAGTTAGTTCACACAAATAGTAGTTTTGATCCAGAGGAGAGTTTCTTTCAACTATTCTCAGACCCCCGAAGCACCAGACTGACTCGAGTACGGCTGAGAGAAGATTTTGTTCGTGATCGAGACCTTGAAGCTATAAGAAAGCAGGTGAGATACCCTTGCATTTATAAGTTATAATTTTTATGGTCGCATTTGGTAAATGTCTTGTGTTTTTCATTGTAGGATCTTATTGAGCTTCATCTCATCTACTGCAACAATTTATCATCACGTAGCTTGAAAACTTTAATTTGTTTTCGGGACACTTTAGTTTCACTTTGTCTGTTCAACTGCAGCAACTTATTTTACAAAAAAGGTGGTGCTCCACTTGCTTGCAGCAATGAGTCGGAGGACAGCCCTGCTTCTAGGCAAGCATTAGAGACAGACTTTAACTTTGAAGGGTTCAACCGCCTCCGCTTGCTGAACCTTGGAGGTCTGTCCGAGGAGGTAGATGTTGAGGCCCTTCTCAGACCGCTCAAATCTCTAACATCACTAGATCTGTCGAATGTACAACTTCAGTGTACAACGTTTCTCTCCCAATGGAAAGACAGACTAGCTTCTCTTGTTCTCTATAATGTGGACCTCACAGATGAGCTAGTAAACAATTTACTGGAACTTGTTCATCTCAGGTACCACTTATCAAAGTTTGTGAAATTATACAATTGTATACAAATTACAATTTATTGCAAAAAAAAAAATGTTTTTTGTAGGCACCTGGACATCTCACGCGAGAGCAGAAAAGCCTTCAGATTCAAAATGACAAAAAAAGTTCTTGTCGCTGTTGTTCAGAGACTGATCAATCTGGTGTCATTAGACATCTCTGGACACATTATGCTCGACAACTGCACAGTCCCACACTTTGAAGAGGCAATGGGCCGAACAAGGTAAAAGTGTGAATTATTTATTGTTTGGATTATGTTAATAAAAATCTTTGAAACGCTTTGTGAGATGTGCTTTGTTTTTATATTTGTTATGTTTTTCCACAGTATTGAGCCATGCAAGAGTAGCATTTATCCTTTTCATGAACTGAAAAGGCCTCTGCAATTTTTGGGTTTATATGACACCACTTTGTGTAACGTGACACATATCCCTGCTTATAAGGTTTATTGAATTATTGCTTTTTTTATTGTTTTTGTTTTGTAAAGTGTTGAATGCAATAATATGCTCCTTTGTCTTTTCCCTTTTAGGTCACTGGATCAAAAAATGAAGACCAAGTTTTGAATGCAATTGAAGCTTACACCGAATTTCGTCCAGAGTTGGCCCACAGAGCAATCAACCAGCTATTTGACATAGCCAGGATACAGCACTGTAGCCAGCTTCTGAGAGCTTTGCAAGTAAGGAATACATGGAAATACATCATGTGTTTTAAACAATGACTGAAAATCATTCTTTGACCTTTTCAGCTTGTTATAGCGGCACTGAAGTGTCATAAATATGATAAAAGCATCCAGGTGACAGGCAGCGCTGCCCTGTTTTACTTGACTAATACAGAGTACCGCAGTGATCAGAGTGTGCGGCTGCGGAGAGAGGTCATTGAAGTAGTGCTCAATGGGATGGAGCAGTACCAAGAGGTTACTGTAAGTCAGCTTTTGTAAATTAATACTCTATTCTTTGGACTGCTGGTTTCTCAAACATTGTACTTTACTAGGTCCAGAGAAACTGCTGCCTAACGCTATGTAACTTCAGTATTCCTGAAGAATTGGAGTTTCAGTACAGTAGGGTCAATCAGCTACTACTGAAAATTCTGGAGCCAGCCAGACAGGACGAGTCCATCCAGAGAATCGCTGTACATCTCTGCAATGCATTAGTTTGTCAAGTAGACAACCACCACAAGGAGGCTGTTGGAAAAATGGGATTTGTCAAGGTATTAAGAAGTTTATTAGGGTTTCTTATTTGGTTTTTGTTGGCTTTGTCTTGTTCAAACAATATATTTATTGTCTATCACTACACACAACTAGCAAATATTTACTGACTTAATTGTTGTGTTTTGTGTAGACCATGTTGAACTTAATTCAAAAGAAGCTGCATGACAGAATGGTGAGCCTTCGTCTTTGCTGAATGGTTGCTCTTAATAGTAACTTAATAGTAAATGTACGTCTACTCTTTTTGGTGAACAGTGTGACCAGGTAATGGAGTTCTCGTGGAGCGCACTGTGGAACATCACAGATGAGACTCCGGACAACTGTCAGATGTTCCTGAACTGTCGGGGCATGAGTCTCTTCCTTGAATGTCTGCAGGTCTGACCACAAACACCTGTGAAGAATAATCTCTCATAAATGCTCCAACATCATTTACACAATTCATGTTTTTATTTTAGGAATTTCCAGACAAACAGGAACTTCATCGTAACATGTTGGGCCTGCTTGGGAATGTGGCTGAGGTCAGAGGTCTAAGGCCACAGCTACTCACCCCACAGTTCATTTCAGTTTTCAGGTAAGTTTTATAAATGATGACATGAAACGATGAATAGATGTTTATTACTCTTTCCTCTTTGTTGTGATTTTGCAGTAACCTCTTGGACAGTAAGGCAGACGGGATAGAAGTGTCGTATAATGCATGTGGCGTCCTTTCACACATCATGTTTGATGGACCAGACGTTTGGTCCATGGTCGAGCCTTTGAGAGAAACAGTCATGGACAAGATGTGGGAGGCCATTCAGAGCTGGGATGTCACCTCACGACGAAACATTAACTACAGGTTCATATTCATATTTTGAACCTTCCTAACCCTTGTCAAATGTGGGAGGTTTACATGTATAAGAAGTATAGCTGAAATCAATTAATCAATCAATTAAAAAGAAGAATTTAATTGAAAATCTGAGAAAAAATCAAACAAAAATCAATCATGATATAAAATAAACCCAAATGAATCGCATTAGCTGGGGTACTTAACTCTCATAGACTGAAATTGTAACTAAATAAAATCCGTCTAACTCATTCCTGAATCGAGAGCCATCTCCTAGTTTTAACATGCATGTATTTTATATTTAAATCAGCTTTTACAGACAGAATAGGGAAATGCAGAGGACCACCCTCAATCAGCCAATTTCAACCCAATGGGAGGTTTCCACTTCCACTAAAAACATGTGCAATGTTGTACTCTCCCAAGAAAGGTTTATTTTTTACATTACACTACCGTTCAAAAGTTTGGGGTCACCCAAGTGTTTTTCATGAAAAGTCACACTTATTCACCACCATACGTTGTGAAATGAATAGAAAATAGAGTCAAGTTATTGACAAGGTTAGAAATAATGATTTGTATTTGAAATAAGATTTTTTTTACATCAAACTTTGCTTTCGTCAAATAATCCTCCATTTGCAGCAATTACAACATTGCACCAAAAACCAGACATTTGCAGCTAGAATAGTCATTTCCCACTTAAGTTATCTTCATTGAAAAGTACAGTTATTTTTCTTAAAAAAATAAGGACATTTCAATGTGACCCCAAACTTTTGAACGGTAGCGTATATGATTGAATAATGTTTTATAATCTGGCGTAATGTTGTAAAACGGGTGTTTTCCAATAGAATTCCATTGTAAAACGATTAGCACCTATACCCTGAAACAACAGTTCAATAAGGTGTTATAAATATGAAAATCAAGACCTCATCTATGGATAAATGATTGTTTCATTATTTGAAATTGAAAAAAAAACCCAATAGCCTTCATTAGAAATAGAAATGTTGCAATTCTGCATGTATGAGTAAATAAATAGCGTGTGTTCCAGTTGTTACCCAGAGTAAGTATTGACCCTGAGTTTGGTCTGTCAGGTCATTTGAGCCCATCCTGCGGTTGCTGCCTCAGTCCATCTCTCCTGTCAGTCAGCACTGGGCCACGTGGGCGCTCTACAACCTGGTGTCCGTTTACCGTGAGTATCACAAATACCCGTTCATACCAATTTTGCACCATACTTATTACAACCTGAACGTGTGGGCCTTGCTTGGGCAATCAATCGTAATTGTATTCATTTGTTATTTTAATAGTCGTGGGCAACATTAAAAACTATAATTGCGATTAATCCCACATTGTTTACAATGGTCTTAAGCAAGTCTCATTTGTATGAGTAGAATATTACTGTGGCTCTTATTATTGACTTTTAAAAGTGAATTTAAAAGTTTAATTGTTAAAGCATTTTCTTATTGTTGAAAAGAGAAATAAAATTCTCATTTCAACATTTTTATATTTCAGTTGTATAAGTTCAATGAATTCCCAGGGATACCACAATGCAGTACACGTTTCGCTATTCGGTATTGGCAAGTACTCAATGAAAGTACTCGTATATCATATCTGTTACGTACTCGCATCAGTTTTGAAAAAACTTCTGTTTTTCAAAACTTCTGGGTAATTCTGTTTCTGAGTACGCCACCACCAGCAAGAAGTGAGATTGCAAGCATGTAAGCGCACGTGCGCATGTACCTTTTTGAGTCGGGACCCGCCCCCACTAGTATAGTCCAACAATTTATAATGACAAACCATCCCATGCCATAGGCTTAACGTGAAATGTAATTATTTTGTGCTTGCCCGGTCATTACAAATGATATGTTTTGTTTATAGCAAGTAAATACTGCCCTTTGCTGATCAAAGAGGGAGGATTAAGCCTTCTGGAGAAAGTATTGGAACTGGAGAGTTCACACCCTGAGACTAAGGATATGGCCAGGTTTGTAGACTTTTAAATATTTTCCTCAATATACCGACTTTTATCTCTCATTCTCTATCCACAGAAAAGTAATGGAGCAGTGTGAAACCTTTAAAGACGATCCTATGGAAATTAATCATGGACAGGAGGTAAACTATGAACAAAGGGGCTGAAGCTGTCCGAGCTGGCAGATTCATGACACAAGAAAAAAGGTCACTGCTCATCAGCCGAAGGGTCAGATTGTGTGCATTTATTTTATTTTTTGTAGTCGAGGTTCTATCTGTTACGCCCTCTCCATGGCAGTTTGGACAGATCACTAATATATGACACTTTGAAGTTAAGGCGTGGTGCATGGTGTTTTCGAGGTTGCTTACTTTTGCTGAGCATCTTTCCCAGGAGTCGGGGTTTTGTATCTTTTCTGTGTGAATCAAAGATGGTCTGAATGATGATCCTTGTTCACCAATAACTGATATAATATTTAAAACAAGACTCGCAAGTCGCCCACATTATCGGGGCAGGTGTTAGCGAGGAGGCTGCGTGTAGTTACTGTGTGTACGTGGTGACACTGCTGAGAAGGCTCTTTTCTGTGGCACAAAAATTGACTTCTTTGTCATTTATGTAAATATTTCTCTTGTTCTTTTACTCTGTGTATGTTTTATAATATCTGTAAAAAATCTCAGTATTTAAAGCTGTTTTATATTCAATAGGTCAATCCAAACTAGAGAATACACCAGAGCTTGTGTAGTACATATTTAATACCCCACAAATGAGGAGTTGGCTTCCAGTTTTTTGATTAATCATATAGGTATTTTAATTGTATATTTTTGTCTCGCGCTAACACACCATGGCATGTACGCTTCCAGACTCAAATCATATTTATTACAGGCTTGGGACCAGCACACAACGTGACCACATTTTGCACAGGTCCATTTGTGAAATATATTTGTAAATATGTATGAGAAAATACAACAAACTAAAACTGAATTTGAACACAGATCAAAGAAGGCAGAGGATCTTTTTAATACATCATGTCTTGCTTTATTTTACATGTTTATGTTTTGATTTAGTAATTATTCCAGGGTCAGTAAGAGTCTCACTGCACACTGACCACTCAAAGTAAAAAATCAATGACATGCGATACACAAGGAGCTCTTTATTACTGCTTTGCTGCATCCCCATAGCAGCACGCAAACATGCGCTGGGACTAGCTCTATGGAAAACACTGAAACGCAAGAAAATTTTGACTTCCAAGGACTGTGAAGAGGCTTCTCGGTGCGCATTCATACATAAGTGAACTCTGGTTCACTTGAGACTAATTCTTGGTTACCTGGGGGCCTCATTTGTGGAGATGTGAAGACGCCAAACAAGTGTTCACTAGTTATAGTTCATTTGAAACATCAGGAATTCTGTTGCGTTTGCTTCTGAAGTGAACCGAGTCCGATTGGAAAATTAAGTGTGAACGCAGGTGAACTATTTCTGTTCTGTAGCTGTGGTATGAGCACAGAACTCGAGTCTGTCATGCTGTTTTAACACACACTGCTGCACACACCACAAAGTGCTTGGTTGATAGAATTCAGACAAAAAAACACATTTGAACAAATGTAGGACGGGACCTGTCTGGAAGGACGACACTGATGCTGAAAAGCACACGATGTTACATCTTTAAAAGGACAATAGGTACAAGTTTGATTTTGTGTAATATGAAACATTAAGCTAGATATTTCGGTGAAGGTTCTCATTGAGGGTTTTGTTTATAATAACAGTCCTACTGTACGGCAGCTTCACTGCTCACCAGAAAAGCGGCATAATGCAAAACTAGATAACAAACATGAAGATTCCCTTCATCTCAAAACTCACAAATAGAAAGTATACTTTGGTCACCGATGTCCACAGAAGGCCTCTCCTTTTGTTTTTACAGACGACAAATGACTAGATGTACTGCACACAGCTCTGTAGCACATGGCATCTCCATCTACGGTGTCTTGGGGTGATTCAGACCATCTGTTCAGTAGCATTGCATTAAAAACTTTCAAAGGAACCAGTTTTATTTGTACTGTAGACTATGTGTGGCTCTTTTTACAACAGGACATTATGTATTTGTCAACATTAAAAACTTAGGGAAGTTTTCATGAAAAATGATACACATTTTCTGGTTACGTTTTCACAAAATTGTTTGGTTATTAAAAGATAAAAATGAAAGCAAATGTTTAGGCTTGGCTGTCGTACGTCTAACAAAACATTGGCTTGTTTGGCTTATTATGCTTTGAAAAAACCCAGTGAGTTTTCTTTTGTTTTGAGGTTGTAGTATTTTATTTGTTTTTCTTTTGAGGGGAGGGAGGATCATTGCTGATTATCAACCTAATCAAAGTTGGCAAAGTTTGAATAAGTCTGTATGATTTGAAAAGTACCAAACCGTTAATATGCATAAGCAATAAAGATGGAGTGGGGACAAAGAGATGCGTTTCTAATTGTGTCTATGTGTGTGTGCGCGTGTGTGTGCGTGTGTGTGTGTGTGTGTGTGCGTGTGTGTAGATCCATGGTGTATCCAGTGATCCGAAACTTTTGGAATCCTATCATTTGTTCCTTGTTCCATTTCTCTGAATTACTCAACATGTTTCATAAATCTGCCCACATGTTGATTTAAAAAAAAAACATGTCATTTAAATGTGTTATAAGCTAAGTGAAACTAAGGTTGTTTTTTATTCACTGAAACAATGATTTTGAACTGTTTTAGTCTTGTGGGTCTCCTTTTTCAGGGAGAAAACACAAACAAACCCTGGTGATGACATAGCCACAGGCGATGAGTCCTGTTTGATTCAGTGACATACTGTGATGGTCAGAGGCAAAGGAAGTTCTTCTAATACATTAACATGTTAATCACTACCAGATAATTGAATGAAAATTGTATATGTTTGTGTTACAATCATAGAATGTAAATATTAAAACACACATTTACATTACAATATGACACTACTACTTTGAGTTACTTTAACTTAACTTTTCGTCTAAAAAATACTACATGATTTCAATGCAGGTCTTTTTGTATCAACAACAGTGGCATATGTTATAGTAATATATTGCTAATTTTCTTTTTGATGATTTACTACATTACACTACAGAAACGAGTTACAAGTAACTCCCAACAACTGTCTTGATAACTTAAATTAAAGAATACAATGAATGAATGTGACACTGGGCCTATGGGATGGACTCTTACAGACGAGTGTGTCTTTAAAGACAGGGCATAGGGAGGATTTCCGATCGTGCTTTCAGCGGATTAGCCTGGTCTCCATCCACGGCTACATCATCTCAGCTGATCCGAGGATTCCGGTGACACTGACAGGGCCGAGCAGCGAGGAGCCATGGATTTCAATATGAAAAAGTTGGCTTCTGACGCGGGGCATTTCTTTAACCGGGCAATGCAGGTGAGGGGTAAATGTTGGAGGAAATAAGTGCTGCGCAGCGGGCGGAGGGGGAGGAGAGTCCGCATCAGAGGACCCCCCGCGGGCCACGCAGTGAGCATGGTCTGGACTGCTGATGATGGCGACGGGCAAGAGCTAAAATAGGACCTTTTGACCATTATGTGAACGCTTAATGTAGACCGGCGCTGTAAGCCGATAAAGTGATGTCAACCCCGATCCATTATTGATGGCTGTGATGGAGAACTGCCCACGTGACCTGCGACTGCAGCAAAGCATTAGAAACATGGATTTACAATCTCCAAAGTCATCGCCAGTAACTGAGTCATGATATGACATTAGAACGTTCACATTATTACAGAGAGCGACTTTAGTAGGTTGCAGCCACATATTAGGGATGCTCTTTCTTATTCAGTGTTATAAATGTGTATTTAGTAAGTTTAGCGCTTTCCACAGACGTTTTAAACAGACACAGTTGCTTCAAAATGTCTTGCATTATCAATTCCCTACAATTTACAGTCTATGTTCCCTTTACACACGTGGTTTATTTCATAGCCACAGGTGCCCTGGGCAGACTTGCGGGGGCGGGTACCACCATTATTTCCCTCATCTGTATTTGATTATTGTGTACCCGATGTCCAATAAACTCCTATACTATTCACATATGCACAGATCTATATATGGTGATACATTATGGAAGTTAAAATATATCTGATCAGCAAAATATAGAACATTATGTAACGCACTGTAATTGTTGAAAATGTTTTTTGTTTTTCAGTTCACAGAAGAGAGGCTAGGCCAAGCTGAGAAGACTGAGTTAGATGCTCACCTGGAAAACCTGATTGCTCGAGGAGACTGCACCAAAAACTGGACAGAAAAGATCTTGAGACAGACAGAAGTGCTCCTACAACCAAATCCAAGTGAGTCCGTTCACCTCTCATCAAATCTAAGTCTACTTTTATGTTTTATTATTAATAATGGTGTTTGTCATTTGCTTTAACTCTGCATGCCTCAGTTGATCATACTGGTAAGTGCAGCGCTTGTTATATAAGAATACTGTCATTGTTGATGTATATATTCTGCTGATATATTGCAATTCACCGTGTTGGGTCAGTGTGCTTCAACGGACAGACAAACGCTGGTGTAGAATTACTAATGCTTATTGGGCTGTAACACATCTCATGTGTGTTGTTCATCAGGAGGATAAGAAATAGTTTGTTTGGATGGTAAAAAGTGATAACTAACCAAGTATGCCTAAGTAATAATTACTCATATTTCCACAGGTGCTCGAATAGAGGAGTTTATTTATGACAAACTGGACAAGAAGATACCATCACGGACAACTAATCCAGAGATATTGGGCCAGTTCATGCTTGATGCTGCCCAGGAGTTTGGTGCAGATTCTCCCTATGGTACAGTATGATTTTGGCTGTACATTACATGCTGGAGCCGCTACTTTTTTCAAGTACTTTGAAATTATGAGGAAGTGCGATTAGGGCTAGAGTCAAAGAGAGTTTATGGACTTATTATTTTGACTCTGAACGTTATTGTCAAAACAGATTGGAGTGTGTGTTTTAACATTATGTTAAAATACCTCATCATGTTGTGACCAGTTAAAACAGTCGTCTATTGTCCTATGGTTTTGTTCCATCAGCTGTTGGAACTTTCAGCTGGAATATTTTCTTTAATTTCCATAAACACAATTCTACTGTTGGAGATAAACTCATAACAATATAATGTTAATAATAAAATATAGCCATGAAACAGCCAATATTTGTAACTTCCCCTTTCCATCCAGGAGCCAATTTCGGGTCTGTAAAATACCATTTCCTTCAACCATTCCAGTTCACAAACAAAATAAATACTTTTTCAATGGAAGTAACATAGTCAGACTGGAACTGCTTAATAAAAACAAGTCCTTTACTGAACATGAAAACCTGCAGCTTACACTCAAGTGCGACTGTCTCTTCAAATTTAGGTGGTACAATTTATGTTTTGTTAAACATTTTGAATTGCATTGTGCATGAATTGTGCTATACAAATAAACGTGTCTTGCCATGGTTATGAACAGGTGCGCTTAATTATGGAGGACCAAAAATGACTAAAGTATAAATAAATAAATAAATACAGGAATATATTAATAAATACATTCATTTTGGACAATAAAAACTAAATATTTACATTGATGTGTTAAATATTACTATGAAATCAAATAAATATACTTTTATTTAGGTTATTTATCAAAATCTAAATTTTTTCCTTTATTTATTTATCCATTTATTGCATATATTTATTTATGTATTTCTACATTTCTTCATTTATTTATTTATGTATTTATACATTTCTTCATTTATTTATTTATGTATTTCTACATTTCTTCATTTATTTATTTATGTATTTCTACATTTCTTCATTTATTTATTTATGTATTCTGTGTTGCCGTATGCTAATTAGGCGGGCGGTGCTGAACTCAATCTAGAACAGGATTGGTGGGCAGTAGGTCAGCCAGGGCAACCAGACAGAAGCAAAGTTAAGCCTAGCGTACATCGACAGAGAAACTGGAGACAAGTTGCAAGACGGCTTTTGGCAACTGAGAGGAGATGATGGAGATGATCAGTTGAAATCGGTCGATGTGAGCGCTCTTACAACTGGAGATGAACAGTCGGTCTCCAGTTTCAGTCAGTTGCCCGTGTTCTACTTTTCGGCAACTAGTTGTCCTCAGTTTTTGAGACATGACCCGATGTGCGCGCTCCATGCGCCGCTCCGACAACGTGCGTGTATTGCGTGTATTGCGAGCCCGCAACAGTTTATGTCAGAAAACACACTGTAGTTGAGGCCAGTTGCTGTCGATGTACACGCTGTTTTTCCTGAGACTGGTCTGCTACTGGGAGTTGCCTGTTTTCGTCACATTGTCGATGTGTGCGGGGCAGCAACTCATATGCGACGGATATAATCAGTTGCCAGTCCGATGTACACTAGGCTTTAGCCTTCTCGGTTTGTGAGAGGATGTGAAGCTGCTGTATAGCTTGTTGAAGAGCGTCCAGCACAGTTGCATCAAAGTCTACCTCTGGGTCAGCACTGTGATGAACTAAAACATTTAATAGTCTTTCCAGCCGAAAGAGTAGATAGTCCTCAGGTGCATTATGCTCAACATCATTAACATCATTTGCTAATGCTCTTAATTGATGAGCAATGGCTCCTAAAAAACTTACATTCGAAACTGCCATCATACCACACAAAAGTGCACAGAGGATCTCTAGCTAGCTAACAGAGTACCGTAATGTGAGGCAGTAATGATCGAGACCAGAGTTCACGCAATCCTAACCAATCCTGTTCTAGATTGAGTTCAGCACCGCCCACCTAATTAGCATACATGAACACAAAAATACATAAATAAATAAATGAAGAAATGTAGCAACACAGAAATACATAAATAAATAAATGAAGAAATGTAGAAATACATAAATAAATACATGAAGAAATGTAGCGACACAGAAATACATAAATAAATAAATGAAGAAATGTAGAAATACATAAATAAATAAATGAAGAAATGCAGCGACACAGAAATACATAAATAAATAAATGAAGAAATGTAGAAATACATAAATAAATATATGCAATAAATGGATAAAGGAAAAAATGTAGATTTTGATAAATAACGTAAATAAAAGTATATTTATTTGATTTCAGAGTAATATTTAGCATATCAATGTAAATATTTAGTTTTTATTGTCCAAAATGAATGTATTTATTAATATACTCCTGTATTTATTTATTTATTTATACTTTAGTCATTTTTGGTCCTCCATACTTAATAGTCCAACAAATACTGTATTATATTGTCATTGAATGGATTTGCAGTGTTTCTAAACCTTGCGTCCTGACAGGCACCACTCTCATCACTGTGGGAGAGTACCAGAAGAAACTAGGGTCAGCTGAGCGTGAATTTCTCCAAACATCCGCCGCCTCGTTCCTCACTCCACTGCGGAACTTTCTGGAAGGAGACTGGAAGACCATATCTGTGGGTTTATAATGTGTGCATGAGTGTTATTTCCTTCTGACTCATTTCTGTCATTGCAGAAAGAGAGACGCCTTCTGGAGAACAGAAGGCTGGATCTGGACATCTGTAAAGCTCGCCTGAAAAAGGCCAAACAGGCAGAAGCAAAAGCAGCTGTAAGGATTGTTTTATTTGATCACGTACAAAGCAGCTCAGTTAAAGAATAAATATAATGCTATTTTTCATCACATATAAAAAAGGTAGAAATCCTATTCTTTTGTTGCATGGCACAGGATCTGTTTGCGTCGCCTGTTGCATGTAACTGCTTAAATTGTTTAGGACTGACTCAATCATCATTGTTTCTCATTATAATATGTTTTAAGATGTTCTGAAACTTTCATAAATAAATTTTTGGGATATAAGACTATATACTACTTTACACAAGTTCATTATGTCTTGTTAATGTTTTAAGGCCCAAAGTGCCCTTCTAAAACAACAAAAGATGTGTCTTATTAGGAGAACACTTTAAGCCTTATTCATGTACTAGTTATTTCATATTTTTAACTCTGGCTGGCAGCTGGCGTGAGAGGTTATGATTGATATCTGTTGTCACCTTTTGTAATAGCATGCAACGCAAGTCTATCCATTTCCCGCTTCTGTTTGTAGGCTGCACCCGACTTTCAGGAGACAAGACCACGAAATTATGTCCTCTCTGCTAGTGCATCAGCGGTAAGACATTTAGGTCACTGAGTTCTAGGACATTTTTTCATAGTGGGAAAAAATGATAATTCAAATAAATACGTCTGTGTTTCTGCTTTGTTAATCCATAAAATATTATTCCATAGATTTGTAATTTTTTGCATGTCTGTTGAGATGTGAGATTGCCTGCATTTGAGGGAAAATAATACCATGACAGAAACAGAAAACACATAAAATACACATGTTTTTTACTCCTGTGCTGATTTGCATGTGCTTTTGTTTGTCGTGGGCTTTACTGAACCAGCTGCGGCTCAGTGGTCCGGCCCCCGGAGGTTGGGATGATATCGATCTGAGTGAATCAGAGCAGTTTAAGGTTGTAACAAGCGTCTTTTAGCCGTTCTGTGTGAATAGAAATGAGAGATGTCACACCCACCTCTGAGGTAGCTCTACGCCCACAGAAGTGTGTCCCAATCACAGTAGCTGCCCTTTTATGTCAGTCACAAGTCTATATGTGTTTTTAAATGTGTTTTCTTACTTTCTAAGCTGCTGAGTGAGGAGGTGGACAAAGTAAGTAAGACTAAATGTAGATACTGTATAATGACATTTACTTGCTGCTCATCTGAAGCATTTAGGAAGCATTACAGCTGCTTGTATTGTATATTTGATGTGCTCCTTGAGTTACTACCATCTTGTTTGTGCGCTAAACATCACAATTTCCCCCTCTATGGGAATAATAAAGGCTCTTATCTTAAGACATGTTCTGTAATCGCACATGAAGACATTTAAAGACATTTATGGTTACTCATCATATGGACCAATGGGCTCTATTTGTTTCAACTTTTTGATTCTCTGACCTTTTGCTAGGGAATCAACAACTTTGTAAAATCCTCGTAGACGACTGCTGCTGTGGTTTAGGGAAAAACAAAAGTACATTGAATTGAATGTGTTTGTGTTTGTGTGCGCAGTCAGAGCATGAGCTTCGCGTGGCCCAGACAGAGTTCGATCGTCAAGCAGAAGTCACCCGGCTGCTGCTCGAAGGCATCAGCAGCACACACGTACGGCATCAGCATTTACTGCAGAGATGTTTTACACTGTTACAATGTTACAATTTATTTCCTATTTTTGCAGCTGAACCATTTGCGCTGTTTGAGGGACTTTGCTGAGGCTCAGGCCACGTACCACGCCCAGTGTCATCACTACATGCATGAGCTCCAACGGGAGCTGGCAAGGTAACAGACAATATTTAGAATTGTTATGACATTTCTAACAATAGCGACAAGACACTGTCTTGGGCAAGACACTTAACCCCACTTTGCCCAAAGCCCCCACTGAAAGATCAAGGCCATGCTCACACTCAGAGAGCAGCCGTCCTCCTGTGGACTCACCACCTGCAGAGGGTCAGTGAGGGGCTGGTGCTATGAGACTTGGGTGGCATCTCTGATTGTCACCCCCCTGACCCAGAAATGGATTAAAGGGTAGAAAATGGATGGATGGATGGATGGATGGATGACATTTCTAAAATGTTTCATATATATATGTTATATATAGTAGAATTGACTAAAAGGAACAGACAGTAGGCCTATTGTGTAACTTTTCTACACATACCATTTAAACCTTTGTTGTTTTTTTTTAGCTAGATTGTGTGTTTTTGAATGACTACTTATTTAAGTATCTGCTTTGGTTCAATTTGTTTGTTTTTGAGTTTGGCTCAAATAAGCAGAATTGCACCCAACCCAAATGAAGGCCTCATTCTGCTCTCTGATTGGATGATCTGCTTGAAAACTGTAAACTGAATATTATGAGGATTATATCCATTATATTTTTAATTATTACACTAGCTTAAACGTTAATTCAGAAAATCTCAAATATGACCTATGACAGAGGGACACAGATGTAGACGCAATTTTAACCCTTGTGCCAACCTTGGGTCAAAATCTTAGCCCTAATCTGGACTAAAGTTTATTTCCTACAACCAGAAGTGCAACCTCAGTGAGTGTGGTTCCGCCTCCGAACCCACCAGCCGTGTGCCCGAACCCGGTGTCCTCGGCCTTCATGCTGGAGTCTGGTCCATCTTCCTCCACTGTCCCAGGAGGGTCCTCAAGTCTGGCTCCAAGACCCAGTCCAGTGCAGCTCACTGGCTCCGGTACAAGGAAGGCAAAGGTCTTATACGACTACGACGCTCATGATACAAGCGAGCTCTCGCTTTTGGCTGATGAGGTAAATGTGTGGCTCACACTGGTTTTGATTTCACTACTTGAAAACAAATCTTCCTGCTCTTTTTACAGATCATCACGGTCTACACAGTTCCTGGTATGGACCCTGACTGGTTAGTCGGAGAACGTGGAAACGACAAAGGCAAAGTTCCTGTCACATACCTAGAATTGCTAAGCTAATAAACAAAACAGAGACACACAATTGATAAAAAAGACCAGCTTCACATTCAAATGGACCTTTTTCCAACTGATGAGGCCAGTCAACGGTCAGCAGTCCACAACATCAGATGGACATCTGAATCAGCACTGCAGCTTTCTCAACAGCAGGCCGAGACTACAGGAAAAACAAGCGTCTTTGTTGCATTTTCCTTTTCCTTCCTAATGAGTTACAGGATGGTAAGTCTTAAATCTGCATATGGCTATTTTAACTATATTCTAAAACATTTTGAAACAGCTCTCTAACATTTATGAATTTGAATGATCCATTAATTGTGAACGGAGTACAAAGTTGAAGCCATTATCTTGTTTCCACTACACTGTTTTTAACTGTTTCTGTAAGGACTGGACGACAGGTGTTCTACACAAGCAGGTACAAGCCTACAGTGTAAAGTGTACTGTTTACGCCACACTAAATCTTTGTGATATGTTTCTGCATCCAAAAACATTTAAGGGGGAAAAACCCAAATTGACAAAAACTAAATTTAGGAAATGTTAAGGACCATTTAATAAATCTTAAGTTATGATTAGGTTTACTTTCAATTTTGAGAATACAGTGGTCCCTCACTATAACACGGTTCACCTTTCTGTGTGTGCGCTTCTACATGCACCACGTGTATACTCCAACCACTTCAAATACAACATCAGAAAAACAGCTAGAATAACATGACAATTTCCTTTATTGAAGTAAATAAGTCATCTTTATTTAAATAGGACCTTTCACAGACAAGAGTCACAAAGCGCTTTACAGACGTTGTACAGAAGGCCTACTTATTTTTAGTGGTGGAGGAAACCGGAGCACCTGGAGGAAACCGGAGCAGACACGGGGAGAGCATGCAAACTCCACACAGAAAGGTCTGGAGGTGGAATCTAAACCAAACGCAAACCACTGCACCACCGTGCCGCCCGACTTTAAAGCCAGAAGAAATGTGTAGCCTGTCCCTAACTATGGTGTCCTCTGCAGCTATATTTTACAGTGTTTGCACGGCTTTTGACAGCTGCAGCAGTGCTCAGACCATAGCTCAGACCTACAACCAACAGGTTTTATATCTCGGCCTTTAAACATATGGCTGCTACTTTGCAGATTTCACAAATTGTGGGTTATTTTTGGTAACCATGCAATAAACGAGGGACCACTGTATCTGAGTAATTGTTTTCAAAGAGCAAAATCTGTTTGTGTGTTTCCTCTTATGATATATGCAAATTGTGTGGTATTTAATGAGGAGTATTTGTGGTGGAACCTTGTCTTGTATGAAGTGATGAAATAAGAATAGAAGTGAGTTGTGCAATAAGTGTGAGTATTTGAGAAATTGTGTGACGTCATTAACAAGGAAACCACTTGTTATTCCTGCCAGAGCAACAAATCTGGCAAATATTCACATTTAAGGAAAACTAAACCGTACATTTGTCGCATGCAGTTTGTGATATTCACAGTTTAGTACAATGTCGGTAGAACAAAATCTAAATTGTGTGTGGATGTGTGATTTTTGAAGTGAATTTTTTGTCTGTCTATTTTATTTGTATTTTTTTATGTGTTCAAAACAATGTTGGTGTTGTCTCTATTGTCATACTCATTGTTCTGATGTGGAATAAAAAAGCATGTGTGGAAAAGTCAGAAAGCTACAGATTATTATACAAATACACATACATTATTTTGTGTGTGTAACAATATGAAGCAATTATAAATTAATTAAAAGGACTTGACCTGATCCCCTGCACACGTTCAGCCTTTGGACTCAAAAGCCTGAAAGCCACATATGAGGCTTTTCTTTGATGGTGTGAATATATTTATTCCACATAGCTTGCTTTGACAAGTGCATTTGTAATTACAGGCGTTACCACTACTGTTTACACCTACACCTATGACATCAGACACATAGACTGTAACTCTCTAACGTTAAACTTCTTTGGGGAAAGTAATACAGAACAAGTGAATAGCAATAATGTTGGTTAAAAAAACCTTAACAAAATGTAAACTTCTTGTCTGGAGGCAGTGAAGTGGGTGGAGCTTAGGGTTCTGGAAGTAATTCCCTATTTAATATTCCTAAATAGCTCAAACAAGTTTATCTGCGGGGGTCTAGCAGAAAGTCAAAATGAAATAAAAAATGTTGCTTAAATCATACATGGCACTCACACAAAGGTACGTCTGTGGTACTGCTTCATCTATAAAGCCCTTGTGGGTCCACTTCCTCCGTACCTGAGCATTTATCTTCAGCACTTTGAATCTCCAGCATCAGGATCGAAAGGGGAAATGTCTTTTCAATATTGCGCTCCTCCAGACCGGAATTTCTAACAGAAAACTATAAGTTTGGTACCAATAAAACATCCTCAAAGACTTGGAAATGCATTTGTTGTTCATAACTGAATGTATTGGGTGCTTTACATGCTGAAGGCTGAAGGTTGTATTGTGAGCACCTCTTGGCCAGGGCAGCCTTGGTAAATTCATTTCTGAATCTTATGATGATTTTTAAATAAAGTATAAATGAAAATAAAAAGGTTAAATGAAAAACTGAATATTTTTTTCAGATGAAGACTTATTTTTCAAAATCCTTATGGGTATTTTGAATGGGGATATTTACTTCCTGAACCAGGAAGCTCTGCCCACTTCGCAGCTCCATTTCAAGTGGTAATATTGGAACAGTAATGCACAGATTTCAGAATGTTTTCAGAAAATACTTTTTTTTTTTCAATAAAACATTGTTAGTTTAGTAAAGTTACTCATGTTTATCAAACAAAAGCAGCAGCATTGTCTTGTATCACATGCCTGGTGCCAATAGTCATCTCATGGGCTTTCGTAAAACTCTTACTTGGTGTGGTCCTGGACCCAGCGCTGCAGCCGGGTGCAGTAAGTATTTGGGCTCACTGTAGAAAAACTCTTTCCTGGATGACGCAGACTTTTCCACCAGTGCTCAAGACGCTTCTTAAAGCTGTACACTGTGAAAATGTCTATTATACCAATAAAGTAGCGCTGCTCAGGCCCATCAATCACATGCAGAGGGTTCTTTAAGTTGGGAAGTAGGCGACGGTTTTGAGCCTGGTAGTCCAGCAGATCAATGGTGTCAGTGCACGGCACAGTGCACTCTGGGAAGACTGCTTCAGCTACAGGTGCATCTCCAGTCAGTGTTCTTCCTTTTTCACACCCAACATCCTCCTCGGGAACCTCCCCTGGGACTGAGGCAACAGGATGTTTCGGGCTGTAACTCGGGATCACGGATCTAAGAGAGAAAATGTAGTCTTGGTTGGAGGCATCAACACTTCACTATGTGAAAGCTTTAGTCCCCTGTGAAAGAAGACCTTTAAAGGCACTATATACAAAGCTCGGTTTCTCGTGTCTCACCCGCATTTAGAGCAGGGCTCCAGAGAGTATGCAAACATTTTGACAGGTGCAACTTACTTACAATTAAACCACATAAGATAGATTTAATACACATTTAATTAAAGGAGACATGGCAAATCGACTTTTTCCCTTGTATACAAATCATCAATAATTCTCCACTGGCTCAAACATATATTTACACCCCTCCTGTCTAAAAGCTCCTGTCTCAGTCCTGGAGCAGTCTGATGTAACTGCACCACTATGCTGGGTGCTGTCTCGAGCCCTGATTTAGAACATACATATATAGCGGACGACTCATGCCGTCTGCTTTACATGTGGGTCGAGGGCCGGTGACAGCTCAGTAGTGACTGGGGTCAAGCAGGTGACTCAAATCTGTGCTTTGTGTCAAACAGCTTTGTAATAATTGGTATTTAACACAAATACTAGATGAATGTATAGCTTGAATGTGAAACAAAATGATGGGGAATGAGCAGCATATGTCTCACTTAAACAGACCAAAGATGGTTATTGACTATTTATATAAAAATGACAGGAGCTCAATATTAATTCAACTGTTATAAATTACACAGAAAAGGGACTGCACTGACCTCTTCGTCCTGATGATGATGTTGGCAAAGGAGTGTCCCAGGTGTCGCTCGTCCCAATGCAGAGGTTGATGTGCCAAGAGCAAGCTGTAGTCCAAAACATTTAGTCTTCGAAGAAACTGCGTATCTATTTCCACCTGTCGCAGCAACCACGATCTCTGCTGGTCTGATCACAAAAACATGGATTTTCACTGGTCAACAATATGAAACATGTTTTTTGTCTTGTTACTATATGATGCAATTGGAGCTGTTTAGGGATGAATATGTAATTTCTATGACACATTACAGATGCTAACTAAAACAAACAAAACATTTTACCAATGTTTACTACCAGATAATGTTTAAATATGTTAAAATAAATGTATTTCTCTCTCAAAAACTTACATAATAATAACTTACTCAATGTAATAAATTGCCCTTCGAAGTTAAGGTCCTTGAGAACCACAATAATATGGCTCTCCTCTGGCGCAGGCTCTGTCCATCGGCTCACCTCACAGCCTTTGATATCATACCTGGAATTCAGACATAACTTTAGAGCAAAACAACTTTGGCGACTTTAATTTAATTCAAGCCAGTCCCAGACAAAACTCAGACCAGTGGCCGACGCAAAAAGCACCTATCTACAGCAGTATACCTCCCATGCAGAGGACGGAACACAGCAGGCCACAACAACCTCCTCCTCATTAGATCATATCAAACAGTCATGGGATTGGGATTAAGGAATCCAAATGTCCAAACAAAACAAAACGCCACTGACCTTGCATTAATGCGATCGTCAGGATAAAACACACTTTGCATCACAATAAAGAACTTCTACAAAAGTCAGGAAATAGGACATTAGTGTTACAGTAAATAGTAAAAGATTATGCATTCATTATTTGTTTAAAGTTGGACGAGCACCTTTTGCTGTCGAGGAAGTGCGATTCTGTGGACTCCTAGAAAACAAGTGTCTTTCAGCATCTTTCATTATAGTTGGAGCGAAAATGGTGAAAAAAATACCCAAGAACTTGACCAGAAGAGAATGGGGAAACTTCTCTAGATGTTCCATATACATTTTCAGGTTGGAGAGAAGAAAGTGGATTTCCCTTCTGTTCTGGGTCTTCAAAAAGAAGCGTTTATCATTTCTGTGAAGTCAGAGACAAAGTCTAAGGGCGTGTTCATACTTGATCTGGTTCAGCATTTTCTGTAAATTATATAGGGGAATGTAATACTATATCATGTTGTATGTTACAAAGATAAAGGACGTGAAAACCTACGTCAGGAAAAAGTCAGCCCTGCTCTTGGAGTTACTGATGAATTGAAGATAACAGTGTTCAGAGCACAGGGACTGTTGGTACTCCTGCTCAGTCATACCCAAACGGCCTCGCAGACTGGCAAATGCTGGACCTGCAAATGTCTCCAAGGTGAAGTCCTATAATTAAAGAAATTAGCATCAAAATATTGGTGTTAAGTCGGCTTGAAATCTTCTTCAGAGAGTGTTTACCTTATGAATGTGCGTAACTTCTGATGTGAAGTGTTCTTCTGACAGTTCGGCCTGTTCAGTAAACCATGAGAAGAATTAATAAGGCATATTTATGATGACTGCATTACCCCAATCAATATATCAACCATGAAACAATCAAGTACACTTCTAAGTGAAAAGCATCAGCATCAGCATTTTCCAGGTTGTGGAGCCACTTTCCCCAAACACAACTTCCAGCTCATTCCCAGTCTCTCCAGCGTGCCCAGGCTCTTCCCCAGGGCCTCCTACAGACATGTTCCACCAGGAGGTCTCTGAAAAAGATGCACGATGCATCTCAGCTGACTCCTCAATGTGGAGGAACAGTGGCTCTACTCTGAGCTCCTCCGTATGACTGGCCCTATCTTGGATCCTCCAGCCACCTTGTGGTGGAAACTACTACTTTTACTCACAGTTCAACTCCAGTTAATGTCATGGTGTGGATTTTATTTTTGTAATTGTATTTTATTTTGAAATTGGTCTTGTGGTTTGGTTTTAGTTTTAGTTTTGCTTCCTGTCTTGTTCCCCAGTCTTGATTGTCTGCCCCGCCCTGATGTGTTTCACCTGTGTCTCTGTGTGTCTATATGTACCCTGTGCTTCTCTCCCCTTGTTGCTAGTCCATTGTATTGTCAATGTCTTGTCCACGTCTGTTCCTGTTTTGTTGCTGCTTGTGCCTTTGGATTTTGAGTTTTAACCTGGACTTTTATTTTGTTTTCATTAAATGTTATTTTTTTGGCATTCCTGCATTTTGAGTCCTTCCTTCATTCACCTCCCCCCGTGACAGAATGGACTAGCCACTAATGGACTCAGCGGATTGCCTTTTTTCCCACAAGGTTTTTTATTTCTTTATTTTTTTTGTGCCGATTGCCTTCTTCGCTGCCTACCTCTTACACCTGTTACCTGGAACCACCGCCAGGCAAGAAACTCCGCCTGGGGTGGTTATTCATCTTGCACCACCGCCGGGCATTGATGTCCGTCCGGGGTGGTCCTTTGTTCCCTCTGCCCGTCCTGCTGAGAGGTAGCCAGTGGAGTTGTGCACCGGTTTTCACATCCTCAGTCTGCTGCTCAATGGTGACCTGTCCTTCCCTTGACTCTTGCCGCCGCCAGACATTACCTCCGTCTGGGGTGGTTCTGCCCCCAGCCTGAGTCACCGCCGGGCATATGTCTTCGTCCGGGGTGAGCCAGCTCCTTCACTCTCCAGACCCGCGGGAAGGTTGCCACTGGACTTCAGCTCCTGTCCCTGATCGGTTCCGTACCTGTCTCTGGCCCATCCTCCTGACCCCCGCCACCCTCCCTGGCTCGTGTTTTTGTTTTTTGGGGACATCTGGGAGCTGTCCCTTGGAGTGGGGGTACTGTCATGGTGTGGATTTTATTTTTGTAATTGTATTTTATTTTGAAATTGGTCTTGTGGTTTGGTTTTAGTTTTAGTTTTGCTTCCTGTCTTGTTCCCCAGTCTTGATTGTCTGCCCCGCCCTGATGTGTTTCACCTGTGTCTGTGTGTGTCTATATGTACCCTGTGCTTCTCTCCCCTTGTTGCTAGTCCATTGTATTGTCAATGTCTTGTCCACGTCTGTTCCTGTTTTGTTGCTGCTTGTGCCTTTGGATTTTGAGTTTTAACCTGGACTTTTATTTTGTTTTCATTAAATGTTATTTTTTTGGCATTCCTGCATTTTGAGTCCTTCCTTCATTCACCTCCCCCCGTGACAGTTAAGTGGAAAGACGGTTGGATGTGGAGCCACACAGAATGGTTCAGCGGTGGTGATGTAGTAGTTTTGTTTTGACGCAGTCTCAGTCACGAGCTGCTGCATCAGCAGGAGCTCATGACATTCATTTGCACTGCGGTGCACTCACTCATTCACAAATTGCCTGTTTTAAAATATGAGTTCTATACAAATGTTTTGGGTTTTTCTTCAGAAAAAATTGGAAAACATTTCATAGTGGAAATGGAAGTTTTCAATCCATCCTAAACATCATTGCCCTGATAATATTTTTCTTTCAACAAAACTTAAAATGTCTCAATTGTGATATCTTCCTGAAAAATGTAAATGAGGTCTTACAACCATCCACCTGGCATAAAATATTAAAGGAGCCGTACTCACAGATGGCACGTGGAAACCAGTGCTTTGTATGGCTGTGGCCAGGCCCTGTTTCATCATACATGTGAGCTGGTAAAACTCATGCTGCTCATCGATCTGAAACAGCCCCAGGAGCTGCCACTGCTGCCGCAGGCCGCCCCATCTCCTCCTCTTCCCCGTCTTCTGCTGCCGTGCGGGCGCCTCCATCTGCTCTAACTGCAGTGAAGGGAAACAGCAGCGCAGAGAGGCCCGTGCCAAACACAATAGACAGCTGACTGTCACTGAGTCTCCATAGGAACCAACACAAAAGAATGATTGCAAGCTCTGGTTTAAAAAAACAGGGTAACATTGCAGAGAAAATAAAGTATAAAAAGTCAGTTGTCCTGGATATTTATTTTCTATTGGACAAAACCATGATCATCTATGTTTCTGGAATGATACAGTCCCATTCACAAAATCAGATTTAAGTCAAAGGTAAATACAGCCAGAACTGATTCTTTGTATTATTTGTTGTGACGAGTTCCAAGATGTTTTTTGGGGACTGTTCCATTGAGCATATTAGTCCAAAGAAGTTAATCTGAATGCGTTTCTCTGTGTTTTGTTCCCAGCTCTTAAACAGGACCTTTACATTCATCATTGTGTGAAATTCTTTACGGTAGAAAGGGTCAAGTGGAGTATTGTTATAAACTACAAAAGCACTCGTAGAGCACAGACCTCCACCAAGAGGCGCAGTTTCACTCTTTACACAAAATCCTCCAAAATCTAATAATTTCTTCCTTCCTTCGTCCTTTTTTCCTTTCGTCCTATTTTCAAGAGGAATATCTTGAAAATCCCAGACATTTTTTAGTTATTTTGCTAACAGATAAATAGGAACAAAAACAGACAAAGAATAGCAGAGAAATAGAGTACCCAATTCATTAATTATTACTATAAAAAAGAACAAACATGAAAGCAGTAGCCATTTGGCAAATGTGATATTTTTCAAGCATAGTGATAATTTGTAACATACAGAGTCGAGGGACAATATGCTGTGAAAATAACAGCTACACTAGAAAGAATTTCTGTCATTCCATATTATACAGACAATAAGTGTTATTCTCATTCTCATATGAATTGCCCCCTATTATTTAGCATCAAACATTTCCTCAAAGATGGCAGATGAAGCTTGTTTATTTATATGCATTTTAATTAGTCTATTTACATCATATTTACTTTAGTTTTAGACAAATATAGGCATATGCCAGTGATAATGAAAGTAACTTCTTAACAAACATTTACAAACAGCTCTCACTCTCATAATCATTATTTCATCTTTTTGTACGAGATCCAATTGTGACAAGCTCTTCTCTGATGTCAGTCACTTTTCTTTGGCTTGCGATTTTTCCACAGGACGACCGCTGCGAATGCTCCTTTTGTAATGAGGGAAAACAAAGTGTGGAAGAATTAATATTTATTGAGTCCTACTAGGTACAATTTGGAAAACTGCTTCTGATATTACCCACCTACACAAATCAACAGTATTATGGCTGCGACACCAGGTAGGATGACTGAATACTCCCGAGGCAGGAAATACTTGTGCAGAAAATGATCACGAGCCACAAAGGGCTGTGAACAAAACAACACGTCAAAATAAAAAATAGTTGGTGGTAACAAAATGTGCACAATAACAACAGAAACAGAATAAACCAATTCGTACCAGAATAATGACCCACACAGAGTAGTATGTGAACAGGACAAGGCTGAAGACGACAAGGCTCATGCCAGCGGCCTGGTCCACTCCTGTCGCCTGATGACACAAAAAAAAAAGAAGAAAAAAAACATTTTATTCACAAACAGAACCACAAAACCCAGAGTCTGGAGGGTGAGACTGATACTGACAGTTTGTGCCATTACAACATTCTTAAAGGAGAATGCATATATATTATATATATATATATATATATAAATATATAGATGTGTTTTTTGTGTGGGGACAACGTGTGATTAACAGGTTTTGTTTATTTATCCATTTGAAAAATCTCCAGTGTCGGGGGGAAATAATATGTCTTTCTAACTTGTTCTTTTAGTGGTAAAAAAGGCAGTATTTGATCATTCCATTACAGTACTCTAAACGGACCATGTACTGGAATACAATAAGTACACATTCTTCAGTAAGTCCCCAACATTGTTCATGGCGGTACTGAAATATCGCACATAGGATGAACCATATGGTTAATGTTAACATCTTATTGCAGATGTCTCAAATGTGAGTTTGTCTGCTTGAACTTCAACATATTAGCAGTACTAGACTTTATCTAACCCCGACAACAATAATAACTTTTACTCTGACCAACTAAGATTAGTGTTCGGAGCTCAACCTTACACCTGAGAAAAACATCCGTGAGGACATGTCTGTAACACAACACAATCTGACAAATGTACAAAAGTAAATTCTGAGCTTGCACTGACCATCGCTGATCCGCATTCAAACACTTCCGGGATGACTTCTTCGTGATCAAAACACAGGAGCTGTTGCCTCTGCCGCCCTCTTCTTCTTCTTCGGATAATTTCCGGCAGACTAGGTGCCTCTAGGCACATTGCTGCCTCTCTTGTTCAAGTCCAGCACTACAATACCATTACATCCACAACAGCCCGACGGCTACAAGAAAGTCCACGAGCGCTCTTATAGCGAAGTCCTGGCCCTGTGCAGGGTTTAGCAGAGTCTGCAGAGTAACATCACTCTGAGGGACGGACGCAACAGTTTGAAATAGCTCTGCTCGTTGAGATCTATACAGCGGACACTCAATAAAAACGTGTTTGACAGTTTGGCTCTGCCGCCCTCTGCTGGCAACAGCTCTCTTTGCTACAGTCTCAACATGAGCTGCCAGGCTGCCTTCCCATTTTGGTTCAGCTTTTTGTTTTGATTGAATGTTCAAAAGTATTTTATTATATTTTTTTCGTGTATTTTTTTTTATTTTCATTTTTAAGCCCATGTTAATGAGTATCAGTACAGTAGCCATACATTATAATATATTTTACAATTACAATAGAATGTGTTGGGTACAATGAACATCAATGAAGTATAAAATATGCAAGTGAGTAGTAGAAGCCAGGTAGAGGCCAGTCCCTGTGCTGCTCAGGGTCCGAGTTGGTTCAAATGGAACTAACATGTCATGGATGTGCTTTGATCAAGGAGAGAAAGCGAGCATAGCTGCAGGAAGCCAGTGTGTAAGTTACAAGTCATATCTGCGAACGAGAGCCAAGGTTCAGAATTTTGAACAATGAAATAAATCTGTAGTTGAACTATTTACTTTTGCTTTATTATTATTATACTGCGGTACATTCCAAGCAAATAAATTCCCATGGCAACAAGTAGGAAGTGGATGGGGAAAAAAACACAAAACGAAAGACAAAGGGAAAACAAAGTGATCCTTATTTTACAACAAATACCTTTTATTAGCAAATGCTTATTTAAAAAAACCCAAAGAGTAGAGTAAGCCAAAGAGTACAGGTAGTGACCATTCAAACCAGAACATATCTAAAGCTCACAAAATGAATCATGATGGGATGATGAGAGTACCCATAGAGCAATAATATAGATCGAACTCTATATAGTCTATTTAGTCTCTATATAGAATATAGAGACTATATTATTTTCATATCTACAGGTCCTTTTTATTTACTTTTTTTTTAATTATTGGTTACAGGGTGAATATTATAGACATTGGATTATTAGATTTTCTTTATAATAATTTACAAAAATTATAAACATATGTATATATTTCAAATCACAGTAGATGAACACATCTTGAAACCTAAGTGCAACCAGCCTGCTGGTCTCAAAACATTAAAAAAACAAAGGTCCCAGATAATTATCAGGACAATAAAAGTAAACTGACAACATTTGAACATAAGAAGTTACAATAATGAGTGAGACATGTCCAGCATGGCTCATTAGAATCATTGAGATGCTGCCCACTGAACAGGGCACAAAAGCCGCTCTGTCTGCAGCTGCTTTCACCTCGTCCCAGCGTCCAGTGTGAACTTCAGCGACAGGACGCGGCAGCACAAAACCACCACAGAGAACAGAGCCACGGCAGCAGACAGAGCAGCATTCATACATCCTCAATGTTCTTTCTGTTGTAAAAACTTTGAATATACTATCTATAAAATAATGATATTTAAGCATCTAACACCCACAAAGAAGTGAGCTGAGACATTTTAGTGAAGTGCATAGGTCAAACCATGTTTTGGTTTCGCCATCACATAATCTGAATTTCAAATATGTAAGTTAGACATACAAATCAGTAAAGAAGAACATTCATATTAGTTGTGAGTTTGTCGGATACTACCAAATAAATTCAAAAGAATGAACGCATGTGGCCAGCCATATGAACGTTTGCTGCACTCTGGAGTATTTCAACATCACAATGAGGAAATACTTGATTGACATAATTAAAATGAGAAACGATATAAAAGACAAAAATAAACAAAAAAACAACTAACTTAATTTTCACAATAAAGCTTTTCAATGTAGTGGTTTGTATATTCTGTCTCACATCATTCATATGTGCAAAATATTACAGTAGTACATGCTCGAAATAGTTTCAAAAATAGAAAATGTATTTATTTATTTAAATATAGCCTCATTGCTGACAACCGCCTCTTTTTGAGCGGGTCCTAGTAAAAATGCACTGATACTTTGGAATTGCTGAAAACCTGCAACACCAACTTCAAGGTGGGACTATACTTTCTTTTAAGCCCACTTTATTGTCCTTAAAGGGAGATGTGTTTTCTGCATTTGAGCATCCTTCAATGTCACAGGGCGTCACCACAATGCAATGTCCAGTTTGATCAGGACGACTGTCTCTATGGTGCGTGTTTTAGGAAGACTATTTATGAATTTCAGTGTTAAACTAAGAATCTACTTGTAGTGGCGCTTTGCAGTTTCAAGTAATCTTGTGTTCTTTATGTAAAAAAAAAATATATATATATATATATACTATGTTAAGTGTTTTGTTAGGTGCTGCTAAAACAACAGTAGTTGCAGCTGCTAACAGAAAGTGCTCAATGCAATTGAATATTAAGTCTGGTGCAATGAAAAGTTGATTATTATTCACGTAAGTCACTCAATTATGACTTAATGTCTACATTATACAGTCGTCAGGATGAATCTGTCAGCGAGACTCAATCACCACCGGCTCGAAGATACCTGGAGTCACTCTGGAAAAAGAGAAAACGAGATTACCATCTCAAGAAGAATAGATTTTGAAACAAGACCTTGACTATACCTGTTGCTGAGTGGAGTCCCACTCAATGCAGTGGTGCCATCTTTGCTCACAAATAATCTCAAGTTGCTGTCTGGAAGAAGAGAGGACAATTAAAACCTTTTATTCGAATGTTCATGGAGAGTTTTGCGTCACCTTCGTTGTTGCTGCAGTCAGAGAAGTTTTGACTCTGGACAATCTTCTCCACGATGTCATCAGCATCTATTCGAGTGTCGTCTACACAACTGTGCTGCTTCTCCACTTGGACCTTTTTCCTCCTTAAAAATAATCATTTTACACACAAGTGTGTATTAATGAACAGCAGATGCTGCCGTTGTTCCACAGTTGCACTCATTCATCCTGAACTATTGCACGTTTTTAGAGGAATCCGGAGGAAACCTACGCACACACAGAAAGGCCTCTGTGGAGGTGGATCCAAACCTAGGACCTTCTTGTTGTAAAACACAAGTGCTAACCACTCCCGTGCCGTAGAATCAACTATTGTCAACTATTTGTATTTACAAAAGTGCCTAAACTTCTGAGGTGCTCTGCAGTTTAACCTGATCCTTCTACGTCACAATGACACGGACTCACACTTGAATCTGGTTTGATCTGGACTGAGGGGAATCATATGCATACAAGAGAAAAAGAGTTAGCTGCCCCGATATGCACTGGGTCTGCTCATTCATTTAAATTAAATTGTGTTTATAACCCTTGTGCTTTTCTTGGGTCAAAATGACCCACCACAGTTATTAAAAGTAGAAAAAATACCTCAAATTAGTGTCTAAAATGGTCTAAAATACCCTTACGCCTCTGACACATATTTTTCGGTCAAAAGAGGAAAAAAGAGGATCACCCTCACTCAGCCAATAAACTCTCAGCCCAAAGTTATAAATAGTGACTCACAGGGCTTTTATGCAAAGGATAAAATGATTTTTCTAAGAAGATAAAGACAGTATGAGGTGGTCATGAACATCTTCATGTTGTCACCCCAGCGTATAGCCTCTTGGTGTATCAGTGTACACATGCCTTAAATGTGGTTATCAGTTTGTAGGAGTCCTAACATGCCTCTCTCTGAGCCCCATCCATTAAAAGTCACTGAAAGAACGACTGGTATGCATGCTGCTCATACCTGGAGGACCTGCTGAGGGCAGTGGCTGAGGGTGGGGGTGGGCGCTCAGGTTTGGTGGGAGAGGCCAGTCTGCGCGCTTCAGTGGGAGTGGAGGGCTGGTTCAAACCACAAGAAGCACTGCTGCTCAGCGAGGCATTTCTCTGGTGGCTCAGGTCAGTCAGGCTGGAGGACCGAGAGTGGCCAGTGCTGTAGCCTAAACAATATCACATCACTTCACACAGGAAATCACAAACATACACTGAAAAAAATGTTTAAATCTAATTTAAAAAACATATATATTCATTGGCCAGCTTTTACCGCTGGCTGTTGGTTTCATAAAATTGCAGAGTATACTGCATTGTTTTATTATATATATATATATAATCATTTGTTCAAAATAACATTTGTCATCAATTAAATGTTTTTTTTTATCAAGAGCAGTAGCTGATTATAATAATTCCAAACGAATTAAGTCGCAAATTAATTGTCCTAACTACAGTATTAAAGTGAGGAACATTCTTCCAATAAATGATGTTCATGAGACAAGCAGGTGACCTTTCATAAGAAAACCCCCCTATTCATAGTTGCTGTATACAAACCTGATATTTTGCTGTGTTGACTGGCATAACTTGAGCTGCGAACATGTCGAGTGTGGAGGCCGTCCTCCTGAGTGGACGTGGCGTCTCCATCCTCAGGCATTCCTAAATAAAAACACAATTCATAGAAAAGTATTAACCTTTGTTCTGCAGTGATTCACTGAGCAAGCTTTTGATTTTCATATTGACAAGAATTCAAGGCAGTTTACCTAGACTACGAACTGAGGATTGTCTTGGTTTGAAGTGGCGACTGCCCTCAACAATGCCCCCGAAAGGAGACATTGGAGAGGTTTCCCCCTTACAGTCCAGCTGCAGGGATTGGTCCACACGTCCTATAGACAACGTTTTAGCCGTGCTCGAAGGCCTGATCATGAAGAGGAATGATTATAACTGATAGTGCATTACAGAAAAGACAGTTTTTAGCTTACGTTTTAAAGCAAGGATCCCCGGAGAGAAGGCTCATCCCAATTGTCACCTAAGAAGACACATTTGTTGAAAGTCTTTCATGTCTAAAGTGAGTGAAGTGTGGAAGGACATGTTATAGCTGTGCCTTTAGAATCGAATTGTCCTGTCGGGTATTTTTGGTGTCGTAGCCTTCCAAGATGCAGCAGCGGACTGTAGAGCCTGAGCCAGCAAACTCTGCAATGTTGAGATCAGCAAAACCAATCTGCATGCAAGCACACGGGTCAGTTATTTCTGATTTCTAACACTATTGCAGTGTTATACAAGTGTGTGTGCACCAGTTCACACAAGAGGAATTAAACCCAGCACAGAGTGGCAGAAGTCAATAACCTATGGTGACTTCAAAAACTATTGCTGAATCTGTGTCAGTGTGTGTGGAGGAGAGACTGTGATATTGGGCTATTTTCATCAATGAATATACAGAACATGCTGGACTATTAAGCACATGTTTATGTAAACCGCACATTTCTCTCTATATATATTTTGACAATAGTCGCTGGAGGACAATCAAGGGTTATAAAATAGTGCTTTGCAATGAAATCACATGAAATCCATTCAAAATTTATGCATTCAAACAATAAAACAGTTAAAGCATGAAAAAAGTGTCATCGTGCTAATGAGTGTCAAAAGTGTTAAAAGTCAGTCTGAATAAATACGTTTTGAGCCTCGATTTAAAAAGGCAAAAATCAATAGGGACACGCATGTCAGGGGGCAGCTTGTTCCAGAGTCTGGGTCCAGCGACTGAGAAGGACCGGTCTCCCCAGTGCCAAGGACCTATTCCTAGGTACTTCCAGGAGCAGTTGAGATGAGGGCCTCAATGATCTGCCCGAGTCACGAACAGTCAAAAGTTCGGACAAGGACGAAGGGGCGACACCATTGATGAAGTTTTAATAAGTCCATCACCTCTGGTCTTAACTTCAGCAGTCTGCAGAATCTGGCTTTCACGTGCCATAAAGTAGTGGCTTACGAAGTGGCAAATACGGTAATATCAAATTGCTATAAGAAAAAATTGAAATTGCATAAGGCTTTTAAGTTTCTTCTAATGAGACAAAGAGTGTAAAGAAGCTGGAACTGCTTAATTACCACATGTTTTGGTGATAGAGTCCCACCTTCGTCAGAGGTGATGGTGTGACGTGTTTCTTATTAGCTGTAGTTACCGGATGCGGTCAGTCAGACAGATCGGGCAGATCTGTGGTCTCTGGAGAAGTGAGTCCCGGATCTGTCAGTCTGGCCGCACATGGTATCAACAGCTGATAAGAGACACACCATCACATGTCACACACACGCTTTGTCTTAGTGAAAGAACCAAATAAGATTGAAACGTTAAGAAGACTCAATTACCTTTTTTATACATTTTTGTCCTTGCAAATGAGTATAGAGCTTGGGATGTAAAGTGAAAATAGTTTGTTACTGACAGATACTATTGGAGGTGATAGAAATACTCCGGAACAGTCATCATGGAAACAGATATGTTTCAATTCAAGCAGCACAAGATAAATAAATAATATAAAACACAACCCAGTCAGTGTCATTTGTCTTTAGCCTGTAATTTGTCACCGCAAACAGGTGTGAGCAGATTCACTGTGAGCACGCATGCCCACAAAGCCTCCGAGTAACTGTCCATTAGGGACTCGCTCATGATCCAGCAGCAGTTTCATTACAACATGATGCGCAAAACAAGCCTGTCCAAGTCTCTTTAAACTTTTATTGACCAAGCACTCAGGAAAACAGGCATTGTGTTTGTAGTGTACCTTTGAGAAGGATTTTCCTCCTTTAAGCTCCTACAAAAGGATGAAGAAAGATTATTAGAAAAATTGGTGGAAAGTGGAAATACATAAAAACATAATATAGTTTTATAGATTCGTACCTTGCGCACAGACACTCTACAAATGCAGGGGTCCAACACACCAGTGATGGTGTTTGCACTCATTTTACAAATAAATGAAAACTTCTTGCTCCATCTGACGCAGTTCTGTTGCACCTCCTCCCTGCAGGAAAAAAAACACAATATTTACCATAGTGCAATACCTTCCATACTGCATCATGTGTATCCAAATCTAAATCTATACATTTATGTCATACTTCCTTTTGTGTTGGAGTTACACCCAATAAACAATATGACACTGCACACCACCTACTCCGATGCAAATATATTTCTCACCCCTGATTAATTCCAGATGAGATCATGTTGGGACAGGACATGATGTGGAGCAAGGGATTTCCCCAGCACTATTTGAAACCAATGTCTATAGTTTTTGTAAAATAATCTTTGCACATTGACATGAACACAGACTGCATTAGAAGCATACATGTTTGACTAACAGAGATAATGTATGTCTAAACAATACAACTTCTACAGATGCTTTCCATTCCAGTCCCGTTTTGATTGATTACTTTGATTACTTTTCTTTCCAAAGTCATGTTGTCAGTTTGTGAATAAGCAAAGCTACGGTTATGGGCCCTTTGCCACTTCACTGCAATTTGGGTGTGTTATTGAGGAATTTACATGTTGTAATAATATCCAACGTAAAATAGAGAGTCTAGGGTTTTTTTTATTGCTCCCTCAAAACAGATGATTAGCCTCAAGGGGCAATGCAAAACACACACAAATACAGTAGGTTCCCTGTCATTTTGTTATTTTTGAATCGTCTCATATTTTTGTAAAGTGTGAAACAATTATTTTCAGCATTTGCGTTTAAATCCTAGAGGCTTTGGGGTCCTAAGGCTTTTGGGTGATCTGCATTGACCCATTCTTCACTAGGGGCCGGTCAAGAGCAGCACTCAGGACCCATCTCCAGCTGAAGGATGTTTACATATGGTGTTATGTCATTGGGTTGTGGTGGAAACCGGCGTGCACGGACGAAACCCACCCAGACATGGGGAGAAACATGCAAACTGCAAAAGAGACTTCCAGGATTTGAACCAGAGGCCCTCTTAAAAATGCTTGACCTTGTATCACAAACATCTTGGAAACATTTTATCAATATCTCATGCAGGAAATGCCGAGTATTTTAAGTCCTATGGGAAATGTGAGCATATTTCTTGTAATGGAATGGTCTAAGAAGATGCCCACTATTAAAAGTAGATATTGTACGTTACTGTAGTACAGTACTCTCACAGTGGGAGTTATGCTCCAGAACCTCCTGGTCATGTCCCGACTTGACTTTCATGCATGAGCTGAAAATGTTTTGAGAATAAGAATGACTTTTGAAAGTAAGTTTAGTTACAGTCCTAAATCATCACATTTTGGACTGTAACCAATAATAATCCAGCAATTATTATTTAGATTAATTGATTTGTTGTTAATGTGAGTATGAAGGTGAAGAGAAAACTGGTTCCATTCTTTCTTCATTCCTGTCTGTTTGAATCTTAGTCACATCTCACACACATTCACGCCAGGAGCATTAAATATGCACAAATTAATTGAATGAGTTAAGTGCTCCTGCTTGTGCAAAAGCATATGAAATGATATCAAATTTAAAAAAAGAAAAAAAAAAAATTCATAAATTGAGATTGACCACTATCGCCCAGTCCTAGTTACAGCCCTATTTCCATCACAAACCCCAGGAAGGCAATCACTATTGGAGATCCAAAATAAAAAAAATGTTTTTACATTTTATTGTCACATCCGTCAGCAGGACAAGAGCCTCGTGCTCCTCTGATAACAACTGTCCCACATGCAGGAATGTGAATGAAGGAAGTGCTGACAGGTCACGTCTTAAACCCTGTGTGCACGGACTACACAACAGAAGCTGAACCCAATCATCCACGTCCTGTTTCTCTCACTCCACATGATGTCTTTTCTGTTCAAAGCAGGCGTTACGTCCTGAAACAAGCCTTTTATTAACAATCTTGCAAATTTCAATCTGCTGGGATGGGTTTTGAGAGCAATTGCATCAAAACAAAACAATATTCATAACTCAATTTAACGTATATTGAGCCGTTTTCTTGCGTTAATATTAGCTCTAACATTAACTTTGCCTCTCACATAGAGGTGACCTGGGGTTTAAGCCGTAAGTCTCCAGACAAATGAAAACTGGAAAAGACAGGTTCCACCACTTCTGTTGCAGCCAACCTCCCTTCAACAAACACAGCATTGTACGGCAGGCAACACTATCTCCCTCCGCAATACAGGCACATATGGAGTTACCACATACAAGACATTATACAAACTCACTTCAGGAATATGCATGCCAAGACAACTCCATTTCAAATCTGTAATGAATTCATATTTCACTAACAATCGGTTTTAGTAACACAGCCTCTTTCTTGGTCGACATGTTGTTTTTGAATAGATTGATTTCTGCACAGGCTGACACATGTTAAGAGATGCCAAAGAATTTCTGAATGTGTGTGATTCTACGGTTATGCGACACACAGAGCCAGGTGTGTGGCAAAGGCTCAACCGCGGTATTGAAGTAATAGAACCTTTTGTTTGTCAATTTCAATAGTCTTAAAATCAAGGTGTGTGGATAAGACTAAAGGATTACAAAGAGAAGCTTATTCTAAAACATGCAGATTAAGTGGTGCTGGTTTTAACATGTTCGCTCTGTCGTGTTGGTATTTGTTCATGTTGTTTCTTCATATAGTCAAAGTTCCGCAGCAGCATCCTCAGCGTTAACGCGGCTCTAAGCAAGAACTGAAACAACCAGAGGAGACACGACGCAGTGTGAACAGTGTATATGACATGGGCAAAGGTCAAAACCACTTCGCACAAACACACCCACACTTATGGCACTTGGCACAGCAGGAAATTTCCATGTGTTTTTTAAATTTATTATTTTACTATAATTAATAACTCAGGAAAACAGCAGTATACGTCTATAGCTGTTAGAAACCCAACTAAGTTTCACAATAAAGAATAACTTGACAACTTCCAAAGAAACAAACCCATAAGGAACAAATATCCTTATCTTTTTCAAATCTTACTCAATTGTATTCAAATAATCCATGGATAAACTCCAATACAACTAAAAGATTCAGTGAAACATCCTTTGGACCGCACAACACAGTGTGAAGATTGTGCGTGCAAAAACTACGCCTCAAGTCCGTGACCTACAGGGTGGAGCTGCTTTCTGCACCACTTTCTCTCAAGCCACGAGGGTAGAATGAGATAAGTGACGTCCAGTTTGTTCTCAAAGCGTATTTTAGTGACAGGCATCAAACAGACTCCGCAGATGTGGAACTGCAAAGCCAACAGATCTGATTTACGATTTGTAGATGAAGAATATTTGTTTGAGAAGAGATCGTAATGTGTTATGGTTGTTGTGTGGTTGAGTAGTAGTAGTTAGCGGTGTGTAGTCACATACCTGGATGACAAGATGGCAAAGTCCCCGCCGTCAATGAGGCGAATCTTACAGAAGAGCACTCCGTTGACAAAAGGCACGGCTGTCAGCTCCTCCAAGGTGAAATGGACTTGGAACTTAAACTTCTTCTTTTTCATCAAAAAAGACATGGTTCCAAGTAGCTGGAGTGTGTTTCCACCTCAACAAACACTATGAGCAGAAAATAAAATAATGAATGATACTCATAATGTGTATCAAAAGCTTAAGTGTCAGTCTTTTTCAGGACATATTTATTTGTTTACATTATCCACTGTGATATAAAACAGTCTGCTACATGTAACCGGAAACCCCAACAATAGTTCTGTCTCAATAAATACTATATTGATTCATTGTTCAATAAACTAATGGATGGAACAATAGGTTTTGACTCTCAATATGTATCAACTGTATCAGCATTTTTCTTTGCAATTGTCAGAAGATAAGTGAATTTCTTTGAGCTATGTTGAGGTACGAATAAGTAATTTGTCTGACTGATTATCACTTAATTTAGCTGTTTATCTGTTTCACCTAATGGCTTTTAACGATTAAGAGAAATTGAGATTTTCCACCTGTTTTGTCACACCAGTGGCAAAGTTAATTCAATATTATTACATATGGCAATATATTTCTGTAAAAAATATATTGACAATCAAAATGTGTTATTGTGGCAGACTTACCAAACAGATTAAAATGTTTTGTTATGTAAATGCAAACGTGTTAAACATGTTGTTATGGGCTGCTAATGTTGACAGCAAATAATTGTGATATGAATAATAAGACAAATAATAGCAATGTTGCCAGAGTCAAACAACATTTATATTAATATCCTTTAAAAGGATAAGCTAAAGATAGAGATTGTATTTTTTTAAGTATAGTTTTGTGCTATACTTCGCTTGTGTCCTCCCTTCAACTAGTCTGTAACTTGTAATGCAACACTGACATTTCCCCACTGTGGACGAATAATAAATCTCGTAATCTTAATTTGTTACACTGTCAAATCTAAATGCTACAATGTACAAACATAAAAGAGGTCTCCTGGGATAATTTCCAACACAACCAACTTTTTGATCCTGCCGCCGCTCTCATCGCCTTCGTGCCACGCAAACGCTAGAATCAACCAACGACCACGACACTGTAAAACCCACAAAAGCGCACAAAAAATCTCACCGTTCAGTCGGTCAGAGCGAGCCGTGAGCATTGCTGCAGAGACCGGGTCCCGTTTGCGATCTTCCGCGTACAGATCTAATCCTGATATTCCCCGCTTTACTTTGTGCGGAGTTTTGGAGTCACCAGATGCTCCAGTTGAGTTAGGGACCGTCCCTAAAGAGCAGGGAATGTATAAAAGTCAGAATAATTCTGGATCATGCGTTCCATAGGTTGACTCATACAAAAAAAACTGAAATTCAGGTGTAATTATAAGATAGGAAAACAATAGGAATAGAATAGACACAATGTAGAACACTTTGAAAGCATTTTATATTTTTATTCCTGAACGGTAATTTGGCACACTGGCGAAAGAAAGCAGACTCGACAGTGCCTGAACTATTGCTTTTAGATTTTTTTGGTTGCTTATTACACTAATGCAGAGGTGCCAAGTCACTAAGTTTGTTTTGTCTTTTTATCAGTACTTAACAACGTATTTCCTGACCACTTTTAAATTTCACTTTTTACTCTTATATAACTGTATTTGTTCTCACGTATATATATATATATATATATATATATTTATTTATTGTGATATTCTTTGTCAGTATGAATTATAAATCGATAGAACCAGGGCCAAGCAGACTCTGAAAAAGTAAAGTAGGGTAGGGCCAAGTAAGGGTGGTGGAAACGGTGCTCTAAGTATATTTTCTGTCAATTATTCACAAAACAGAGACATTTACAAAAATGAATGTTACTTTTAGACTTGTTTCCTCATACAAATATGATAACGTCACCGGAGACAAGAGCAGGTGGCCAAAATCTTGCATTGGGCACAAAAGTTTTAAAAAATTAAAAAAGAGCAAATCAAAGTACCTTGAGAATAAGTAATCATTATCATTCATATAATCACAGAGTCACATTTGAAAAGACAGTTCTTTACTTTTTGTATAACTTTTTTTGTATAGCACCCTATGCCAAAGCAGATTTGTGATTTCTTTTTACTTACAAAATCTGATTCTGAATTCTAATGAAGCAGGAAAAAAATTGAATAGAAATGCAATTAATTAATCTAGAATCTATAATCGTTTTTACACACAATTTAACACGACAATTACACTTGTTTTCATATGAAAATATCCAGTGATGAGCGCTAGTCTGAATGTACACACTGACCTCTAGAGGCATATTCGGGTAATAATGGTTCAAGTGTGTATATTTACAGTCTATGGTCTGAAGCATAGACTGTCTGAAGTCAATTAAATAAGCTGGACCTGACACACAAAGCTTTCACTTATAATGAAAAAAGTATGTATGATGTGTATTAGGTAATTTTGTTTGTATATACATTTGTATAAAAAGTAAATAGGATGCTATATTTACGATCAACATACCGAATATATAGAAGATTCAATACATCCTAAATCAACATAAAGAATCAAACATTCCCATGAGACACCCTAGGAAATTTCATCATTAGATCAGCCAATAGGCGTTATAATCTAATCATATTAAGCATATCGCAGTGTGCAGCACAAGTCTATTGATTGTCTCCACCTTTGTTGTGTGGGAGGTGTTTGGGCGGTTCAGGCTCCTACCAGTCCTGCTCCATCCAACTAATCCCAGGTCTACAGTGCAGTGGTATTTGAAACATCCCCAGTCATGTGTAGATATTTACGTCTGTCCCCTTTAGAGCTGGTCTGAGTATTTCTGTACTAGTGCCAGAAGAGCAGCTGTGTCCCTTCCAGAGCCTGTGCTTGTCCTTCTCTGGGCAAATGCCTGGGCCTCCTGAGAGCGTCTCATCATTTTGCGTAGCTCTCAGTACCACAGTGTTGTAAATCAACACGCTGCTCTGCAGTAAGCCGAGCCGAGTTCCGAGCAATGCGACTCTTCAGCTCCTGTAGGTTTGGCTTGCGTCTGAGGTAGTGATTCGAGAGGAGGAGGCCAACCCTCTCCCCTAGGAGCCCCTCACAGCCAGTCACATGGTGGGCGCCGAGCTCGCCTCAATGTGGTGGTGCACAGTTACTCCACCTACTCCCCCCTCCGTGATCCTCCAGCGAGTGGTTAGTTGGCTTCCCCCTCTCAAAGTAGAATACAGATCAGAAATTTTAAAGTTTGAATAAAGCTTCTTCATCACAAAAATGGGAAGGCAGTCTTTACCGATTAACCGACTATGAGGTCCTACATCGCATACCGCAGCTCTGATGCCAGTCCGGTCGCGCTACAAAACCAATACTCTCCTACGGCGATTAATTGCCTAAAAACACATGAGAAAGCACCTTAACAAAAATATATCATAATAAATGCTTAATAAATGTACTTTCTGTACAGCGATGATCCAGTGGCTAGCCCGCAGTCCACTGGTAACGGTTTTTCTGGCATCTGAGTCCATGCAGGTTAAGATGATGGATTGTGGCTTCCTCCCCCAAGAGGCATTACCAGACTCTGCGCTGCAGCCTCGCGGGTGCGGATGACTGGCCCCGGGGCGCCCCCAGTCCGCCCGACGTCCCCTCCACGGCAGCCTTGTTGGGGCACCCACCATTGCGGGCCTTCAGTCTTCATGTCCGACATTTTTTTTTCCCTCTGCAACTCTCTGGGACAGAGTATGTCACCAGCATTCACCTTTTTCAGCAATATCCCACCCATGCATGCTTCTTTGCCCTGTGTGTAACACCCCGATAGAAGTGGTAACAGTGTCTGCTGTTTGGCTTCTCTATTACCTCCACCTATTATTTCCAATTCTACCCTGTCTGAGAAATTCCCTATATTTCTATTTTTTGCATGCGAAGGCCCATTCGCATATTTCCTCCTAGCGGTCCGGAAATTGTACGTATTGTTTACGCCAAAATCCCTAGGATTAGCTTAAATCTAAGTGCGCAACGTAATGGCTTCCCAGAATGGGCTTCTTCTTCTCTGAACCCACATACGTAGTCTGACCCCTCCTACACGCCCTCTCATTGGTCTAATCGTGATGCCGATCCCTGGCATTCATGCAGATGCCTAATGGTACGTAAATTTCAACGTAGTTTATTATCCAACTTACCCACCGGATGAAGCTCACTGCCTTGGTAGATTTTTGATCTGCTTCTAAATTTAATCCTTATCAACGGCATTATGATTAACTTCACGTCCTGCTGTGATTGCCGATTAACGTAGGTCCTATCCAAACTCTCGCGTGTTTGGGATCGTTAGTCTCGCCGATATCGCTGTCGAGTTTTCTGAGAGAAGCCGTCACTTTCATGAAAGCTACACGGACGGCGCAACCCATTCCCTCGATCTTTTTATAAATTTTTCTTGAATGACTTCTGAATCACCAGAGGACCCACGGCTCCTAAGGAGCGAACCTGCCAATTTGGCCACTAGTCTGAATGATTGCGGGTAGTTCTGGTTCTTCTTGGGCATCGCACTTTGACCACCCGCCTTGCGCTACGGGCGTCAGAAACAGCCGCTGTTCTTTCGGCTCCAGGCTCCAGGCGCTCGTTTCACCTCATGTGTTTGTACCAACTATAACTATATATGCCGTGAGTATGGACATTTACTCAGTCAGATCCACATGAGGTGATGTGACCGATTCTCTCTGAAGCACCAGCCAGGGGTCGTTCTTGGCACTGTTCTTCCAGATACTGCCCAGTAGTCCCCGCACGGGCAGACCCTGGCGCTGGAGGTGGGGTGGGACGACCCCCACCACCGTGACCCCTCCCACTCCCTTTCTGGGACCCACATGGGACTACGCATCAAACTACTGTTGTGAATTTGTGGAGTGACCAGGACTCCAAGAACCACCGATTCAAAGTGCTTTTTAAGTCCTTGATGAAAACGGAGATGGGGGGCATTAGCCTTAAACGATTGCCCCATCGGGCTGCAGAAAAACTGGGTGTCCATCCACGAAATGACATTGAATGATGAGTGATGACCCTGTGCTGGGATCTGAACTGCCCCCCCGCCCCCCCCCCCCCCCCCCCCTTTGCCACCATAAGGTTCTAAGCTTGTCATTTAAATTCACTAGTGTCAAGACCCCCAGAACCCCCGAGTATTTCATACTTTGGTAGTTACTCACACTTCCTATTTCTCCGCTGACCAAGTGCTAAACACGGACTACACCCCACTGAGGCACGCCCCACAAACAAGCCCCTACAATGCACCTTGCACCATGCAAATTATATTCTTAAATTCTGTAAAAAGACGAGGTGCTGTACATACTATGCCCACTGGCAGCTCCAGCAACATCAGGATCTATGCGGGAACCCATCAGCCCTCACTATTCCTCTCCTATCCACACCCGTGTAAATGGCTCACCACGCATCACCTGCTAAGGGCCACGGCGCCTGGTGCCATTTGCTCTCCAAGCAGAACGTGCTAGCATTCGAAGTTGGGATTGGTCCCAGCAGGGCTGCAGTGAGGCGGCAGGATTCAAAAGATTCAGAAGTCTATGGTGTCAGCCATTTGCCACATGGTCTCCATTGGTGCCTACTTAACCCGGTCGATTTGGATGAGTAGAGGAAGGATCCCTGGTTTTCAAATGTGAGTTTTAGATCCTGTGCATCGCCTTAGTTCTCGTCTGGGGAGAACAGTAGTTGCTCGGATGGAGGCCTCATGGCGGTGCAGCGCTTTGGCCCTGATTCAATCTCTTATTATCACATGTTTGAGGTCACTGTTTGTGTGTCTCTTGTACCTGTGGCTGTGTTGTGCGACAGTAGGCTTAAAGGATGCTACTCATATTTGACCAATAATGTTAACAAGAGTGGGGTCTGTCGGGGGCATAATGAGGACCTCCTCGGAGCAGCTTTGCTTACATTAGTGCAAACCGGAAAAACATCCCCCACCACAAAAGACGACCCCTTTAGTAATAATGATCTGAACGTGGAGATCATCACAAGGTAAGTGACACCGATGAGGAAGTCTTGGTGGGCCACTTTTCGGTAATTAACTGTTTACAAGCCTATTTTGTAATTACCCAATCATGGGAGTCTTAAATGTTATTTATTTGATACAGCCTAAAGTATAACCTCCGTTTCATGACCTGTTTACTTCTATAAAGATGAATTGGATCTTGAATAATGTGGCATTTATGAATAATCTCCAATGTGAGATAATAAAAGTTCCTCTTCATCTCTATTGCATAGAAGCTAGTTAGTTTATTTTAAGTCAGCTTGCCATTCAATTCTTGTCCTAGATAAATCACAAATAATTCAAGCTCCATGAATCCGTGTCCGTCACTTTCCCAACGCTCTTTCCTGGACAGTATTCATGGGTGCACGAGTCCAACTAAAAAGAATTTCTGAGAGATTGCAGCTAGATGTTAGTCCAAAAAAATGATTTTCTGTCTTTCTCTTTTTCAGCCTAATTAGTAAAAGCTGGTGATAAAGACCTTAGGATGGGCCAGTAGCATTTTACGAGTTCTGTGCATTAATCTATCGAGATAATGAAACCGAAAATTGGATAGTCTTCAAACGATTAGACCACAGAAAAATGATGCGTACGTCCTGTTGTGTGTGGAACGGCAATCCATACCATAGTCCGATATACCATTCGTTTTTCTTATGATCATCGGGCTCATGCTTCTCAGGAGCATCTTCGCCAGTCTGTTGAACCTTGGCGTGACCATTATCTGATGAACAGGCCCGATTCAACATCTCAAAAGTTGACCTTTACACCAGTTTCACAGTTTTCCTTCTTGTTTAGTTGTGTCCTTTCCCTTCCCTACCGGCGCCAGTTCGTCAGACCTCAGTCTAGTGTCTGGTCTTTCCACTGTTGGTCTAGGCCTACGGAAGGGCCCATATCTGGGCCCCCCTATTCTGTAGTACGTAGTAGTGTTAACAATCTGTGTCATACTTTTCCTTTCCTATTCCATTTTCCCTTTTAGTTATTTGTGTCTTTATTTAGTGTTATTAAATGTGCATAAAGGAATATTATTATAATTTACTGTGATGTCAGTCGGACCGCCTACACATTTTCTGTAGATGCTCTTCTTCATATACGACCATTTTCTACTGCATTAACGGGTTATTGATGTGCCCTAGTGCCACCATCAATACCCAAAGCCATGTATGTCGCATATTATTTCTGCCTGCCTTTGATTATAATCTGATTTCACCTTGTTTGCACCGTGAGCACCGCAATTTCCTATTATGTGGCTTCTGTTCCTCACTTGGCCTAAAGGCTTTGATTCTGACTTTGGCCAAGGTAAGGAAAAGATTTTTTTTTATTTTTAATTGTACACTGCTGTGCTGTTTGGGGAATATAATACCATGATAACCTTCCCCAATTTCTCTGTATTTTAGCTACAAAAATGATTACTGTATAAATACTTTTTTTCTCAATGTTATCACTTTTTCTTATCTAGCTTTGCTAATCCATAGCTCTGCATCATTTATTTTGAATCTATTTCTTTTATTATACAGCAAGGATAAAATGGCTCCATGACCATTGACTGGAACGCGTGGCGAGATTCCCCACCTTCTGCATCCAGCGCAGCAACCATCTGTTCATCCTGCCACATGGAAAATTCATGAGAATTAAAATGTCAACTATTACGACTGTGAATTATTAGCAAAAAAACCCACACTTAATATTAATATCTGTTTGCAGATTTATTGATGTTGGGGGAGAGTTTGGTGAGTCCAGATGAATTCACAG